AGAGAAGATGGGAACATTAATGCACGACCTAGAATACGTCCGTGCATACATTGATGATCTACTCATCTAATAACGGCGATCTGGCAGATCACGTTGAAAAGTTGGATGAAGTTCTCCGAAGGCTTCGAGAAGCCGGACTTAAGATCAATGCTACCAAGTCCTTTTTCGCAAGAGGAGAACTTGAATACTTAGGTTACTGGATACTCGAGAAGGAATCCAACCTATAACAAAAAAAAGAGCGATCCAGTTATCGCTCTTCCTACCAACAGAAGGAACTCCGTAGATTTCATTGCACTAGTGAACTACTATCGAGACATGTGGATTAGAGATCACATGGACTGGCTCCACTCCTTCTTGACTTCCAAAACAAGAAGTGGAAATGGGAAGCCGAACACGACAAGGCCTTTAGCCAGATGAAGAAGATCATAGCAAAGAAACTTTGCTCGTTTACCCTGACTTCAACGATACATTCGTTATCCACACGATCGAGTGATACTCAACTAGGTGCGGTAATTCCCAGAAGGGAAAACCTATTGCGTTCTACGGCAGGAAGCTCAACCCTGCTCAGAAACACGTACACGTTACCGAGAAGAACTTCTCGGTATGTAGAAACTCTGAAAGAGTTCCGTAACATTCTCTAGGACAGAAGATTGTTGTACATACGGACACAAGAATCTTACATGTAAGAACTTCATACCAATCGCGTAATGCAATGGCGCCTTATTCTGGAAGAATACGGCCTGAATACGGTACATCAAGGGCGAACAAACATCGTCGCTGATCGTTGTCGAGACTTAACATCTCCAACAAGACGGTTCTTCAGAACAGATGAAGCCAGCGAGATCGCTGAGCTCATGGCTGCAGACGAAGAGGACTTCCCTAGGAGTTCCCTCTCTCGTTCCCCGAGATCGGAACATCAGTCAGAAGACAACAACGATATCAAGAAACTCCAGGGACAAGAAACGACTACAAGAAGCAATCTTTCCCAGAGGGGATAAGTCTTACGACTTAGTAGTCAAGGACGACAAGATCGTCGTACCTAAGACTATGCAGAAGAAGCTAGTCGAATGGTACCATGGTGTACTGATGCATCCTGGCGAGACTCGCACAGAACTGACCATCAGCCAACACTACACCTGGAAAGGACTGCGCAAAACTGTGCAGGCCGCATGTCAGCGTTGCCAGAGCTGCCAGATGAACAAACCCAAGACGCGTAAGCTGGGATTGATGCCTCCAAAGACTTGCGAGGAGATCCCTTAGGAAAGACTATGTTTGACCTGATAGGTCCCTACAACGTCGGGGATCCTAAGAAAAAGAATTCCTGCACACTTCATTGCTTGACAATGATTGATCCCGTACCCGAATGGTTCGAGATTGCTGAGATCTGCTCCAATGCAGCAGACGAAGTAGCCATCATTCTAGAACAGACGTGGCTCACCCAGTATCCATGGCCTGCTGAGGTTATCATGGATAGAGGACGTGAGTTCCACGCAGAAGTCGAGAAGACTCTCCGGGATGAATATGGACTTCATCGCAAGTTCATTACCACACGTGTTCAATCGTGGCGCGATTCACAACGTCCGTTTCGAAGTAAACTGGAAACACATCAAAGAACGTCGCCAACGACTCCTCCAGAAAAACAATGATAAGGAAAACACGACGCGTGTCCCTCATCAATACAATGCCAACGACACTGTGAGGTTTCAACAGTATCAGCACCGCAAGTACGGTCAGCCAAAGTACAAAGGTCCTTACAATATAGACCGAGTCAATAACAATGGCACTGTACGGCTCCGACATGCTACCGCCAATGGCGGCACAGTCTACCAGACTTGGAACATAAGGTATTTACACCCATACAAGGCCTGATCCCCTTGTAGGATTGCCATCGTGCGACGCACATGTCTACATCCAATCTCCGGAGAGTGCCCTGCACTTTAATTCATATGTTCTCATTGTCCGACTGCTGTCGTGCCTTCTGTGACCCTTATCAGGGGGCGAATGCAATACACGGCTCTTAGCCTTATTCGCGACTCGATCCTAGATAGGGTTTGAGTTCGACTCATGACTGAGTCTCTCGTGAATAGTCATTTGAGACAGGGTTCTCAATGACCGCTCTAGTCATACTAGGTTGATGATGAAACATCGCTCTAAATATTTAGCCAGCGTGGAGTACTTCCACGCTACTAGATCCATGCTAGACGAATCTTCCACGCGTTCCGTTTTAGGATCGTGGAGATTCGTAGGATTACTACCGCAACCTACTCTATCACACTTTATAGTCTCCCACGGGAGACCAGATCTACGATCCTTTGATGGTGATCTCTCTCGTTGATTAGTTTTCATAGCTTTCTAATCTCTCTCATAACTTTCATTCTCTCAAACACAAAACACTCGAAAGATCTTTACACTAGCTTTTAGCGTAGTGCACAGTGGCCGTTGGTGTGGCGTAGCGTCTTGTTGTCTTTGCGGAAGTTGCTCTGCCGATGGATGCCGGTTTCGACTCGATAGACTGTAGTAGCGGTAGCAACTGTAGTAGCGGTAGCGACTGTTGCCAATCCTCTTCTTGTTGCAGCAGCGGTAGCGACAGCCTGTCGTTGTTGCCGTAATGCATGGTAGCGGTAGCTTCGTGCATGCATGGTAGCGGTAGCTTCGTTAGTTCTTCTCGCAATCTTCGCCGATGGATGCTTCTGCAGCTCGTTCCGCAGCTCGTTCCACTGAGTGGCTTCAGTTGTGCATCACCTTCATGGTAGCTCGTCGTCGAGGAAACTCACTGGTTCAACCAGACTGGTAACAACCGTCGACGATAACAACAAACATGCTGCCGTCAACCAAAGGTGTCGACCGAAGGAGGCAGGTGGTGGCAGGTGGCGGCAATGGACATGGACAACCTCCTCTCACCAATGGGCTCCAGGACGACCCAGACAACTTTTCAACACCAAACCAACATGCTCTATGTTCATCTAAGAGGTAATAGAAGCGATCGGAACGGCTTATTTGGTTACCCCTACCATGGTTGGTGTGTCAAAAGCGCGCTTTTCCGCCAAAATGGTGAAAATATTTAAGGATAGAGTTATGGATCTCGTGTTAAGAACCGTTTTTTACTAGCCCTATCCCTCTGTTAACACGGCGTATGGCGGTAAAACTGCTGTTCAGAAGCAAGTCAGAAGATCGCCAAAAATGACTTTTTTGTTGCCCCACTAGAAGTACAGTCTCTTCACAGTGGTTTGAGCTTGTGCTTCTAATGGGGCAACGGCTGTTAAATTTTATGGCTTTTTACAGACTTGCTTCTAACCAGCAAGTTAACACGGCGTTTATCGAGATGAGAGTCGCAACGCGCCGGCCTGCTGGGATTGATGGTCGCCATTGGCTGTGGGGGTCCTAGTAGATTCATTTACCTGGAGGTGCTGAAGCCGATTCTAACGGTACAGCGAGACCGAGACCGAGACATCCACAGACGTTGAATTCGAGCCTGCCGTATTTACTTAAGCCAAAGATAAACTTTATTCATTGTTGTATAACATATTAAGTAGTGTCTCTGATTGGCTGGTTGTCCATTGTACTGAATTACGTATAGTAAACAGTCTCGGATGCATGATTGGAGCCACGAGATTTCCAAAAAGTTTCGGGAGCGCTGATTGGATGGAAGCCTTTTCAATCCGTTGAATAGTTTGACATCCTCGATTTCTATGTCTCGGTCTCGGTCTGGCTGTACCCTTAGTTAGGATCGGCTTGAGCCTGAGGCGTGTTCCTAACCAAACTCCATGTGTGTCCTCCGTGCATACGCGAAACACATTTATTTTCATAGATTTATTTAGGCGTACGTATTAAGTTTTCATTCCTATCCATGTGACACACATACGCGGTACGCGAAAAATCAACGCAAATCCCCAACTCTAACGAATCGATTGAGTACGTATGCTCTGTTCGATTCGATCATCATTCGATCGAATCGAATCTTCAATCTACTAGCTAGCTAGCTATTAGCCATTAGCTTGCTAGCTGCCAACAGACCAATCTCGACAACCAAGAAGGTTAACAAAGCGAGAGTAACCTACATGCTAATAACTTTGTTAACCTTCTTGGTTGTCGAGATTGGTCTGTTGGTAGCTAGCTAGTAGCTGCAATCGAACGCAGTGTTGCTACCGGTACAGTACCGAATTCGAAAAGCTTGCCGATTAGAGTTAGTGATTTGTGGGATTGGTTGAGATCGGCTGGCTCTAACGTTTTGATTGGTCCTACGCGAATTCTTTTTCCCCATTAATTTTGGTACGGCGAATTGAGAATGCAAAATTGCAGATACGCCGTACCAAAATTAATGGGCAAAAAGAGGGAAAGCCAGCCAACTTTAACAGTTATCTCGATTTCGCGTACGCACGGACGAAAAAATGGCTCAAAATGGCTGGTTAGGAACGGTTCTGAGCAATCCCACCCCACTTGAACGGATTCGATTCGGCTTCACCGCGCAGACTGCAGAGACAACAACGAATGGCCGAAAATTTCCTGGCAAGTGTTGGCACTCTGCACTGGTACCGGTACCCGTAATCTGAATCCCGCATCGAAGTGGAACAGAAAGAAGACGGTACCATAACAACGAATTCTCCTGATAAATAAAATGAGACAGTATCGGCAGAGAAAAGCTGCAATCTCGGATGCTCTTCAATGGCTGGAGATCTGGCTATAGTCTTTGCTTACTGAACGATGCCAAGCAATCCAGAAGGACTAAAGCCTGGAATATGGCTTAAGCAATCAATTCACGAGTGTTCTTCCGTTTAGGCTTAATTGGAGTTCACAACATCGACTGACTGGCATCTTTGTTGTACTAAGTATTTAACAGTGAAAATTGGGAATCACAAATTCGACAAAATCCTTCCAAGCAGACAAGCAAACAAGAGACAAGCAAACAAGTAAGTGAAGTCATTCATTGGTCCAACCGTTGCGGCGTATGGATGATGTTGTCAGTGAGTACTACTAGTGGCAGCAGTAAGAAGAAGAGCAAGATGGGATTTGGCAAACTGTTCAAGAAGAAGAAGGAGTCTTCCACTACTCGTACTACGGGTACTGGAGATTCCGGTAGTGATTCTACCAGCGCAAGTCGAATGACTCGCGTGTGCTCTGACAGCGCTCTACTCTTTGCTAGCACCAGCACCAGCACCAGTAAAAGCAAAAAGACGCACAATGGCCGTCGCAGTTTGAAGAAGAGACATCAAGTGATTAGTCAGTTCCTTCAAGTCACTAGTAGTAGTAGCGCTACTTCTACTAGTATTAGATCTAATAGTACCAATGGCAACAAGAACCACATCTGGAAAGAATCGGATCATTCCGAAGGAGCCACTTCAGTCGAGTCCTCTTCTCATCATAATGTGAATGGGGACACTTTTACGAGTCTACACCGCATTCGAACTAGCAATGTTGATGTTGATGGGGTATGCTTTAACGATGGAACCAGTGACACTGCTTCCAGTGACTCACAAGCCAGTCACGTTCCAGAACCAAAATCCGTCAGGTTCACTGAAACCGTGGTGTCGCAAGTCTTCATCGTGGAAAACTGCCACTATTCGCAGGACGAGGAAAAACCAGACAAACGCAAACTATACCGTGGACACTCAGAGGCCACTCTGCAATGCTCCCATGGGGTACTATCCACTGCCTCACTCCCACACTATGACATTAATGAACTGTACCGAGCACAGCCCAAAAAGAGAGTCTTCCTCACCGACGAGGAACTCACTCAGCTCAGACATCAAAAGGAAAGACTCAACAAGTTCAGAAAGAAGGTCAAGAAAAAACACCAAAAGGCACGCAAAGAACGCACACAGATCAAACTGGAACTCGCCAACGAAGCCATAGTCAAGGCACAACAGCGACAACAGAGAATCATTGATCAGTACAAAATGGCCGCGCCATCGGCACAACAGCATAGAGTCAGAAGACGCGCAAAGTACATTCTGGCTCATGCCGCACGAACTGTTGCACTCGTCCAACGAAGACAGACGTTCCTCAACTCAATCGTTCAGGCCGCCAATGCTCTCGCGGAACGAAGGAACCAACAACAAGAAATGCTAAATGACATGCTGCCAAAGTCTATCGTCAGGAGGCAACACAGAAAGATATGGGCACTACAAGCAAGCACCAAGGCAAGAGTAAGACTGTACAACAAGAAACTCGTCATGGAAGAAACCACACGCGATCCCGTCATGGTTCCATTCAAGAACGCAATCCAGGAAGACTCAGATGACGAATCCGATTGCTACTATGACACCGACGATCAAGGCGAGTACAGTGATGATGATGATGACGACGACGACGATGATCTTGATTGCGATGATTTGCAATACCGACGCCTCGAATGGGCTGTCATTTCCTTCCTGGCGGCGGCCAAGACAAAAGCACCAAGGTCAAGGTCAAAAACCATTGAGGTCTAACCTAACCACAACACAGGGCATGAGTAGGGCACCCCTACCGGTACCTACCGGTATGCATACTCCTACCTAGAATGACGGCAAAGTGATCCAGTAAAAGAATGATCCTTCGTCCTGATTTCAAGCCAGCCACCTTCACCTTTTTGAATGCATAGCACTACATGTATTCATTGATACTAACATATTTTTTTAAAAACATACGTGTACTTCATCTAGACATAATACATTAAACGAAACACCAATACAAATACCTTGCAGTCTCAAATCGGGCACTCGCTACATGTACAACACAGAATAGCCACTGCGCAACACTGGGGTAAGTCAAAAGAAAGAGGAGTATTTGCCAGTGGAGGAAAGCTCAGAATCGTCAGCCAAGGCACCAGACACGTTCAGCTCTTGGCTGCCAAACACGACCTCGTTCGTCTTGTCAAATGTACTCGGACGGTACGTTCTCTTGCCCTTGAGACCTGCGCTCGTGCTCCGATGGCTTGCACAATCACCTTCTTTCTCTACCAGGGCGGCATTCACAAAGGGATACACAGATCGAACCCTCTTAGCCTTGCCACGAGCGCCCCACTCCTCATACAGTTCTACTGCTCGCACCAAGTAAAACGCAGCCCAATCCTCGTCGTCCTGATCCAAAAAGTACAGCCCACAACTCTCGTTGGACATGGCCTCGAAACTCTTCAACCCACTCCGGGCACAGACGCTGATTGCCTTGTCAAAACTCGCTTTCGAAGGCGTCTCTTCCGCAGACAGAAACTCGCTGATTGGATACGCATTCAAGGAACCCTGCTGGCTATATTCCTGGAAATACTTGAGGGAAGACCTCCCAATCTCAACAAACTTGCTCTTCTTCGGTCCAGACGAGGATCGCGCAATGGCAAATGCGGCACACCCGGTAAAAGCATGTCGAATGTGCATGCGAACAATGCAAGGGTTGAAATGGGGGAACGCCGAAAGCTTCTCAATCAGTTCTTCACACGTCACATAATCGCCATAGACACACGCCAAAAATAAACGAAAAATACACGTATCTCGAAGTGTCATGGACTGCGCATGTCCTTGCATCACGGACAGAAAAGTCTCAGCCTTGTCCATGGCTCCGCCTTGCAACGAGACTGGGTTCTGAGACGCGACAATGCGGTTTGCTGCATGATGGGGAATTGGACACATATCGATGGTGTCACTCCCATCTGCCGAGACTCCTCACCATACGATGCCATGTCAGCTTCCAAATGTCCCAACGGCAAACCGCAGAAAAGGTAACTGTACCCGTACATCATGGTTGCTAGAGCTGCATACTCTACGTCACCACTTCGCATACCAGATCGGTGGGCTTCCAGAAATGGGTCAAGGCTGTCCTGAATGGGCCTCCTTTGGGTACAGCAGAGCAAGAGAAAATTGTATACGGTAGGTGTAAGAAAGCCGGCAGCGTTCCAATGCAGAGAATCCAGCAAAATAGAAACTTACTTCATGGGAATGAGACCTCCATGGATCGATACCAGAACTCTTGCTTTGATCATATCGTGCCCTGGCTTGGCAACAAGGGCTTTCAGCATGTCTTCTGCGATGCTGGCTCGCGTGTAGGCTTTTTCGAACTTTTGCTTTTGTCGCTTCGTGGCTGCACCAAAAAGTTGCGAAAAAAATCGAATGGAATCAAGTCAGGTAATGCAGGTAATGCCAATGCCATCGAGCGGCAAACTCCTTTGGTACCGTACTACTCACCTGCATACATCGCCATGGCAAGTGCTGTGTAAATTGAGATTCCGTTCTTAAGAGCGTGGCGAAAGGACTTGAGCGATGACAGTTCACAAAGGGATCCATCCCCAGCCAAGAAGGAGTACGACGTCAGTTTCCCAAGAAACACAGCAACACACTTTGATCCAGGGTCAGACGAGGAGATGAACTTCTGATGGCAGAGTTCTTCCAGCCGACCAGTGGGAAGAACTTGATTCAAGCGCCGTCTCTCCATAAAGATGTGGCTGTCGGTCGCCTTTTTCGGAAAATCAATTCCATACGGCTTGAGGTATTCAATGCACATGTTTGCCCCCTGTAAAATGTCCCGATCCTTGCCATTGGTGACGATCTCTAGAAAACACGATTGTGCCCGATACTGATCTTCTTTGCAAGTCGTATTTCTCAGAATCTCGTCTATAGTTTCTTTGGCGGCTTCATGGTCCCCAACGGTGTAACACATCTCGGCTAGGCTGTTGTGCAGAGCGAGGGCCAGTTTGTAGTTCCGGGACCAGATGTTTGCCACCGATGGAAACGGATTCTCTTCCTCCAGGACATGGATCCCCGATCTGAGAAGCTTGACGGCCGGGTGGAATGCAGACTTAGCTATTGACAGTTTGGCTGCCTCGTAGTTCAAATTTGCCAAGTCCAACAGCAGGATGTTCCCCCCTTCGACAGCCAGCGTTGGGATCGGCACCTGGTTCAGTTGATCGGCGGCCAAATACACCACAATCTCTCTTGGCAACGTGGATGATTCAGTCCGAGATGTGAGGTCCTTCAGCAAGAGCTTTCCCAGGCCAAGGTGCACTTGGTATCGCTCCTCTTCCGTCATGAGAGAGAAGGCAGCTTGTTGTAGTTTTGCGTGTGCCCAGTAGTAGACGCTGGACCCAGCCTCGCGACGTCGGATGATCCTGGCACGGACCAGTTCCTCCAGAACAACCTCAAGTTGCCGTTCCGATTTGTCATCTGTCTTGGCTTCGTCGGCCACCATTGTCGTGGTTTGGCTCTGGGCGCGCGTTTTCATCAGCTCCAAGTATCTTCCAATGACTGGAGGCAGTATTTGCGTCCCAGCGCAGGACGCCACTTTCAATATTCGTTGAGTATCCTTGTCTAACTCCTTCAATGAGCTGACGATAGCATCAGCTACTTCACTCGATATGATTTTCATGGCTTGCCGGATATCTTGCACATCTGACCATTCCCACGAGCAGGATAGAAGGGAAAACTTCAAATGTCCCTCTCTTTGCAGAATCTGGACAAACTGTTCCACGAACAGTGGGTTGCCTAGTGTCTTCTCAAGGATAACTTCAGCAAGAGGAAGAAGCTTTCCCGTTTGGTCTTTCTCGCCCATGGCCGCAGACAGTAGCTTACATATTTCGTCCAGTTTAAACCCCTTGAGATGCATCTTGTGGACTCTTCGGCTAATGTCCTGCTTTGACTCTTTTGTCAATTCATCCAGCTGTCGAACAACCGGGTGTCGCACAATCAACCGATCCAATTGCTGATGCATGCTGTCATCCTCTTCGTCGTCCTGATCGTCCGCGTTTACATCCTCCGAACGGAAAGCACTGACAAGAAACAAACCCGGGATATTCTCTTCTACCAAGTCTTGAACAAGACGAAGACTCTGCGGGTCCGCAAATTGTAGATCATCGAAAAAGATCACAACCGTTCGCAGCTTCCCCATGACGTTTCGACTAGCGTGGTCAGAACCTCCGCCAATGTGTGTGTCGTTGCTGCCTGTGCTGTTGTTCGTCATGGCTTTCAATAGCAGCAGTAAGATTCTCTTGAGCCTGTCAAAGCTGTTTTCTTTGGATTTGAGCTCTTGTCCTACAGCAAAGATGATTTGCTCGTTTTGCATGTCTCCCGCGGACAAAAGTGAAAGTGACGACAATGATATCCGCTCCGACGGAGCGCCGCTGTCTTGACCACTTTGAAGGACGGCATCAATGGCAGCTTTTGAGTGGGTACCATCTGTTTTCGTCCTTCGTAGGGTCGGGGGAACAACATTAGCAAAGGCGTTGGCGGAATTTCGAATAGTGGTATTGCTTCTTCGAAAAGTAGGACGGCTGGTGCCATCGACACTTTCATTGTCCGAACCGTCGGTATCGTCACGTCTACCGGTAGGGGCTTCTTGCCCCATAAAGCTCGTTTCATTCTCGCTGTCCGATTCGTTGGTCTCCTGCAGCAATGTTTCAAGTGGGTTACCACCCGTCAAACTCGAGCATTTCCCAGTATCGGTCCGGGTTCTCCGAAGGGCCATGGGTTTCGGAATGTTGTGGGTGTGGGCTTCTGTCTTGCTCCGTATGAGCGGAGGTGGCTCCTCTTGACCCAGGCTTTCTCTCTTTCCCGTATCAGTGTTGTATCGACGCAGTGGTATTGGTCCCCTGGTCCCGGAGGTTGCAGTGCTGTTGACTCTTCTGGGCAGGTGTTTGGACATTGGAGTTTCAGCCATGGCTCCGAGTTTGGTTCCTGCTTCTTCGTCTGTTGAGGTTCTTCGTAACGATCTTGGGATCCGTCTGGAAGCAGGAGAGCGTGGAATTATTTGCCCTGGTCCTCTGATGGATCCGAAAGCAGTGGATCCACGGAGACTGGCATCAAAGGAATGTATTCTCCTGAGTGCACCGGGCACGGCAGCTGTAGCTGCATTTGCAGCTGAAGTTGCTACATTGGCAGCTGTGATAGTGGCCGAGGTCGCAACATTGGCAGCTGTGATTGTGGCTGACGTTGCTACCAAAAGTTGTAGACAGGTCAGGACATGGCAGAAGGAAGTCAGTGGCATGAAGTGGTGTAGAGATTTAGCTTGCTGAGACTACAATTGTAACTGGCCTGATCCTCTCTTACCTACATTGGCTGCCGAGATCGTAGCCGATGTTGCAACAGTAGCTGCAGTAGACGCGACGGTGGCAGCCGTGGTGGCAGCATTGGTGGCTGTGGAGAGGGTGACGTTGACCGTATTGTAGAGCTTGGGGAGAAATGCGGATAAGATCGAGTTATCAAATTGCTGCGACGATTCTCGTCTGAACAATCTTGCTTGGTGTCTTCCTTCCTTTGTAGCTGCCCAGTTCTGACATAGGTCATTGACAGCATTGGTGATGAAGGTGAATGGCTGGGCAGACTGGCGATCTTCAAACTTTGCCACCGCATATATGATACACCTGGCTTCTTTCTTTCTCGTACATGGACTAGTACCGGTACCGGTAGTATCTGGTGTCGGTGTTGATTGTTCTGGCTTTGGGTCCTGTGAGTCATTTGACTCCCACGCATGACTGCAGTAGTCGATGAGTGCGGTCTTGCCACTTCCTGCTTGACCCGAGATAACCAGATACTGCGACTCTTCTTCACTCAGCAGCAAGAGCTTCTGGATCAGTTGCTGCTCTTCTTCTCTTCCATGGTAGTTCACACTGCTCTCTCCATACAAGGAAATCGACTGATTCATCCTTTTTTATTCACAAAAACAGAAAATGCCCAGAAAATTCGAAAAATAGAAGAATTTCTTCCTTTGCCGTCCTCGCACAACCAAAGGCTGGAGTTTGCTACTAGCTAGCTAGGTCTAGCAGTACAGTACTACTATAATGGCGCTCAGCATGCATTCGATGTTGACTGTGGTAGAGGTACTAGTAGCCCGTGCCCCAATCCCTTCAGCTTGGTCTTTCCAGGTTTAGCTATTCGTATAGTCTAGTTAGTTTCGATGGAAGAGTTCCTTTGTAATAAAACAAATGTTGCTTGTTGTTGGAGTTGTGAGCAAATGAGCAGCAAAACTGAATGAGCAGCAGATTTGCTAGAATTGGTGTGAAAAGAATGTGTTCTGTTAAATCATAGCGTCACGTGTTTTCGCTTATGTTAAATCTTTCCAATCAAGGACTTCCAAGCCGTTTTTCCCCAAATCTTGAACTGCACAGCACAGAAAAGCAAGTCCACACCCTTCCTTCTACCAATCCACTTCTTGTTGTCTTCTACTAGCTAGAAGCACTTGACTGGTACCAACGTACAGTCGTAGCCAGGTCCTGGGCTTCGACAAAATCGATGAATAGCTAGCTAGCAACAATTCCAAGGCCTGAAAAAGCAGAAAAGAGCACTGAAACAACGATTCTGTAAATTCTATTCCTTGATCACACTTTTGCCTTCTATCTATGGCCAGCAGTACGGATTCGATTCTGAGCTGGCATAATGACATTCAATGAGTCTCTTTTGGTACCATTGCGTGTTTCTTCTCTCCCCAGAAACGAAGACCAGGGAAACAAAGTTGTCGCCTTTGGTTGCGTCTTTCTAAAGTGTGCCCTTCTTGGCATCCTCTAGCTTGTGCAGGCGAGGACACAGGGTGATCGTGCTAGCGTGGTGTCCTCGTCCAATGTAGAACGTTGATTACCGGTAGCCTGAACCCCAAAGATGCAGTCAACGGCTTTCCGTGCGGACATTTTTGCGGAAGTCAAAAGATCCAAGATTGAGGAAAACGTCATATGCAAAAGAATCTCTGTTGGGCTTTGAAACAACGGTCAAATCGGATCGACAGCTCGCAGCTCGAAGCTACCCCACAACACCTTTTGCGGAAGGAGGAGGAAAGAAGCCCTTGACTCGACTCTCACTCTACTCAAATAGCTATTAGTAGGTTGCTTCTTCTTCACCTTCGCCTTCGCCTTCAGCCAAGACCACAAGTCCATTCAAGTTGTCTTGTGGCTGAAGGACCATGACCATGAGGAACCTTCCTGAGCTTACATTCGCCATTTTCTTTCTCGCAGCCGCGGGAAAGCAGGCAACGGCTCAAGTATCCTTCGACTACAACTACGACTGCGACTTCTATAGTACCACGTGTCCCGAGTTTCTTCTCTTCAATGGGGAATGTGAAAGTGATCTATTCGATGAAAATCTAAATCCATGTTGGCAGTCCGATTGCTTCGACTGTGATCCGTGTGCAGGTAAGTGCAGTCTGTGTTTTCTTAAAAGTGAGCTATGCATAGCTAGCTAGATTTCAAGTGCCTGAAGGGTGTTCCGGCTTTACTGCAGTGGCTAGACATACCGGTACTGTACTAGCACATGCAGTCTCTCTCACCTGCTCTGCCTGCCCTTGCATTCTACCAATTCTATTGATCTATTTCAAAAATTGGCTGCAGCTTTCAACGCGGACTGCGCTGGCTGCACGGCAAATGGTTGCTACTGGTGCCCTGGTGATGGTGCCTGCAGTTCTGCCATTCTTGACGCTTCCTTTTGGGACAAATACGTCAAAGAGTCAGAATGCAATGCTCAAAGTCAATGGATTTCGGGGCAGTGCCCAGAAAACCCACCACAGGCTGTCTACAACGATCCATTGTATAGTGCTCAATCTTGGGTTTACGAACTCATGAACGTCGAAGATGTATGGAGGCAAGGAATTACCGGAAAAGGTGTCATGATTCGTGTCAACGATCCTCATGGAGTCGATGCAACTGTGCCAGAGCTTGCCCCAAACTTCAACCAAACTGCCTCGTGTCCAGATTACATGCCACCCATCATCCCGAACATCACCCTCGATCATGGAACCGTTGTGGCATCCATTGCTCTCGGGGCTGGAAACAACAGTGAATGTGCTGTCGGCGTGGCTCCTGGCGCATCCTTGTCTGCTTGCCTCGGACCGTTGGACTTGGTAGATTCAGAACCGGCCAGATTCTTCACGCATGGGATCACCTCCACACACATTTCCGTCAACTCGTGGGGGTTTGATGCTTGCGACCACAAACAAACACCACAACGAAAACTACAGAGAAGGTGTCCCTTTCAAACGCGAAATATCCTTAATCCATGCTTGCAGCCCCAATGCAATGTACTAGACTCGCCCGAGTGCCAAGCCTATGTCGTCCCCTATTGCCAACAATTTTATGAAAACGAGTATCAAGCATGGTAGGTACATTGGAATGGATTCAATTCGATTGGTGCTCATGTGCATGCTTGCGGTTGCTTCTCTCACGATGCACCATTGCTATTGCTATCGTTGCTATACATACCAACAATCAATCGATCCAATGTTGTACCGGTATTAGCGCCGAATACCTTGACCTATTCATTTCATGCAGATTCAATGTGCTTTCCAAGGTGGGAAGAGATGCCATCACAAAAGGGATTACTGATGGAAGGAATGGATTGGGGATCATATATGTGTTTGCTGCTGGGTGAGAGGGGATTGGAACTTTCCGTGCTGCTTGCTCCATATGGGTATTGGCTCACCCAGATATTCTATTCGATTCATTGGACTTTGGAACATCATGAAGAAACGAATTCGCCAAAGCGGAGGGTGAGGACAACCTCTTGGTTTGCTGCCTGTGTCCAATGCTCATACCAACGTTTCTCCTGTCACCCACCACCATGCTCACCGCTGTACATACTCTATCCTCCTCTTCTTTCAGATATCAACATGGAAGGTTGGCTCAACACTCGCTTCACCATCATTGTTGGTGCAGTTGGAAAGAATGGATATCATGCTTCCTATTCGGCAAGTGAATGATTAAACCCTTGGCTTTGTGGTTCCTAAACTCTCGACGCCTGATCTCGTGCTTACCCATGGTCATCATCTCTTGACATCCCTCCAAACGCCAAACTATAGACAGGAGGACCAGCGCTGTTTGTGTACGTCTGCTGCTGTGGCATTGCAACAAAAGCCGGGAAAGCTTTCCTTACGCAGAATTCTAACTTGTGCTTGTGGACTTGCGTATTGGACTACAGAGCTGGTCCTGGTGGGGATTTTGAATATGTAGGCAACCACATGGCTGCAGCGGTAGGTTTTGATGGCCTGGTAGAGGAACTTGCCTGTAGTCTTCTTGCTGAATCAGTGATCTAACCCCACCGGACTACGGCATCCCGTTTCATAAAAGCCCGGAGGCGGTTGCACCAGCGCCGGAGTTGGCACCTCGTTCGCAGCACCAGGTAGGGTTGCCTTCTAGGAAGTATGAGCACTTGGTGAAAGCAGCGACATGCGTTTGCACAGCGCACATTCTGACAATCCCGTGCCCCCTTGACTTTGGCTGGCAACTCAGCGGTAGCTGGTGTCATTGGTAAGTTCTTCCAGTGGTTTCGCGCCTTCAGCCACTCAGACGTGCTCAGCCGTTGTCGACCAACCAACAAGGCCATCGTTGCAATTGAGATACGTTTTCTAATCCATATGGCTTTCTATTCATGAACAGCCCTCATGCTTGAAGTAAACCCCCTACTCTCGTGGCGAGATGTCCAAGGAATTCTGGCGCTGACATCGCAGAGGGTGTATCCCGAGGACGAATCATGGACCGAAAATGGAGCTGGCATTGTTCACTCGAACTTGTTTGGTTTTGTAAGTGAGGGTTACCGTACTGGTACATGCTGAAGCAACACAGAGTGTTTCTGGATGTTGTGTTTAAAAAATGTCATCTTACGAGTCTCGGCAACGTATAATATAGGGCCTTGCCGATGCCACAGCTGCTGTCTTGGCAGCAAGAGACTGGCTGTTTTGGGGAACAGAACATCAGATCATGACTCAATCCACGCTTTTAAATACGCCGATTCCAGACGCTGATGCCAACGAAGGAGTCGTAGCTACGCTCACGATCACTGAAGACGATGTGATTAGCGCAGCTGGCGTCCCTGATTTGGAGGTTGAAAGTGTGGTTGTCTACTTGAAGCTGAAGTACGTTCCCAATGTCAATTGATTGCTTCATCCGACGTAACCCAAACGAAGCCTCACAGTCCTTTCCGAATTTCTGCAGCCACTCCGCTCGAGGAGATCTGGTACGTAGCGGTTCCAAGCAGAATTTGGCCGTAGAAGCACAGATAGAGCCCCCTCCCGCTTCGGATTGTTTGTAATTCTAATCAGTTGCACATGTCAATGAAACAGGAAGTGATGCTGCGAAGTCCTTCTGGAACTCGGAGTGTCCTTAGCCCTGGCAACAGGATCGAAAATACGATCACATCTGGGGAGGAACAGTGGAAACTTTTAACCGTAAAAAACTGGAAGGAGAGCCCGTTGGGAGCATGGACATTGCGAATCACCGACGTTCGAGGAGCGGACGCCCCGCAATGTGTTGACTACTTTTGGCAAACGGACGTGCGGGTGGAAGACGAAGTTTTCCGCCTTACGTGCCAAGACATTTCAGACAACCTGCCAAAAAATATTTCTGAATGCACCAATGAACTTGTGGCTGATCTCGCGGGAATTGTTGGAAATGTCTTCGACAACAGAACGGCTCTCTCCGCGTGCTGCCGATGCGGTGGTGGAGTGGCGGCTTCTTCCATTCCAAACTCTTTGATCTCTTGGAGTCTAGCTATCTATGGCCACGAGCCAGTTCAAAACTCAGTCTCATTACAAACCCCTTGTGGTGGTTCATGCACTGAAGATGTTGAGTTCTGTGGGAATGACAACAAGGTGAGGGCTACGGTCGCTCGATTAATGAAATGAAATGCAGTGCAGTGCACTGCAACGCTAAAGTTTCCTAACCCCATGTTGACTGGCATACTATCATCATCGCGGGACAGTGTCATCCTATTACATGTGCCGATTGGTGGCAGTTCGGCCCCGTTGAATACACAGGGCGAAATCCAAGAAACCCACCTCAATTGGTGTGTTACAATGACTACGAAGAGGGGGCAGAGGACTTTGCTAATGCCATCACGTATGGTTGCAGTGCGTTGGAATATCGACCGGGGACGCAGATCGATGACGCTGATTCCGCGACGTTTTACCACCAAAGGAAGTGCACTGCAGAACTTCCAGGAGGTCTCGGGTTTGCTTGCTACGAGATCGCAGAGGGGACGAACTTCGACAACTACTTCAACGAAGTTGCCGCTCTTGGTCTTACGAGCTGCCCGGACGGCACATCACCGAACTATTATTACCCCCAGCTGATCCAGCAGAGACGAGGCGATCTGGAAGACTCGTTTGGAATCTACTTCCAAAGTACGGCCTTCAATGAAACCTTGGCCCTTCGTGCTACCTGGGCTGTATTGAGGGAAGATCAGGACGCATGCTACCCTTCTGGCCTTAATGCTTGCCCGTTTGAAGATCTTTTCGACGGGGAATGCCAGGACTGCGTTGGAGATTGTTTCGATTGCGATCCTTGTCAACGTGAGTCGCTACATGAAACAGCACACCTACTTTGTTTCATCTTGAGGAAACTCTTGCTTACTCTTTGGATCCCTTTCTGCATCAGAGCACAGTTACGACTGCAATGAATGCGTCCAGTCTGGATGCTTTTGGTGTCCCGGAGACGCCACCTGTCAATCGGAACCGCGAGACGAGTCGTTCTGGCTCAAATATGGCGGTAGGAAAAAGTCAACATGTCCCTTATCATTCTATTGGATTCAAACATGTCAAGATCCATTGGATTCGAATGCTTTTTCCGATCCCTTGTATGATTCCATGGCATGGATTTACGATCTAATCAATGTAGAGGAAGTCTGGGCACAAGGAATCACGGGGAAAGGAGTGCATGTTAGAGTGAACGACGACGGTGTTGATGCTACTCATGCTGGTACGTGATCAGTCGGAACAATGTTCATCTCACCTTTATGGATGGGGCTAAAGGTTGCTGAACTCAACCCGCTTCCTTACTTCACGTCCAAAAAGAATTTGCGGATAAGTTTGACGTAGCAAATTCATGCAGCGCATATACACCCGCGGACGAAGAAAAAGACAACCACGGGACTGCAGTGGCCTCCATCATTGCTTCCAATCCCGACAACGGTGTCTGTGCTGTTGGAATTGCACCGGAAGCAACGGTATCAGCCTGTGTAACGTAAGGTTTTCTCTTCGCTTCAATTTCACGTGAATCTTCTTGCGTTTACACTAACGGTTCTTTTTTCTCCCCAGGCCTCCGGACGAAGAGGGCCCGGAAGCTGTGGCTGCAATGTTCCTAACCCAATTGGCTGCTGTTGACATAAGTACAAACAGTTGGGGTCCAGTAGTAGTGAGTCGAGCTTCATAAACGTGTGCAAACCAGACGTCAACCAATGGGATTCATGTTCTCACCACTTCTTCAGTGTGTTTCCCCGTTTCTGGAACGAGGCCGCTCGCTCCAGGAATGCCCCTTCTCCAAGGACAACTGGGGATCTCCCTGCGAGTTGTGCAAGTTGTATGGCTTCGATTCAAACGAATGCCACGATGCCATTTCGGACTACTGTCTAAGCCAGTATCAATACGACAAGGTAGCATGCGCTGACCATCTCGACCTGTTCGTGACCAGCTGCGAGTATCACATGCTCGACCCTGTGGTACATGAGGCATTCGTCCGGACAATGGTTGAAGGCCGTGGTGGAAAGGGAGTGATCTACGTTTTTGGTGGCGGCAACGATTTGGCTGTTGGAGTGAACACAAACGACGATGGTAAGTGGCACTGGCGACACGAAAGCTCCAAAAACTGTCCTCTGCTTGTTCCTTAACACTGCCTTTAAAAACGCTTCAAAAGGTTTCATCAACAGGTGTGTTTGTCTGTTGAGAAGTCTTGATTGGGCTCGACCTGGCCAAGTGCTAACACCAATTTGTGTATCAATATGCTCAGTCGATTTACCATTGCCGTTGGCGCCGTTGGTCATGACGGACTGCACGCGAGCTACTCGACCCCAGGAGCTGCTGTGTTCGTGTACGTCCTCGTGCGCTTGCGTTCTTGGTGCTCACGTTCGAGCTAGCCACTACCGTCACTCATGGGGAACGCCCTACAATTTGCCTTCAAATGCTGCAGGACTGCCCCAGGCGGCGACTCCGAAAACGTTTCCAACAATATTGTTGCGAAACCGGGCGGAGGCTGCGTGAGTCCAGGTGCTTTGATTGGAACTATGATTCATATTGTTACATCGCTTACGTTGTTCTCCCCTTATGTCGTTTCCAAAAACAAGCACGATATCACTGTTGGAACCAGTTTTGCAGCTCCTGTTGTCTCAGGTATCCATTTACATTCCGAGCAGATTTGTTTGCGGCGTTGTCTTGGTTTTCTTGCCACTCAACGATGTCATTCCATGCTGCTTCCTCGTTTCTCTAGGAGTCATTGCGTTGATGCTTGAAGTGAATAACAACTTGCACTATCGGGATGTTCAGGCTATCCTAGCGACGACGTCGACTTTGATGGATCCGACGGATGGTTCCTGGGTCACCAATGGATTTGGCGTGAATCATTCCTACAATTATGGTAAGCAACATGCACTGCTAGCCTGATGCAGCGCCTTAAACAGGTCCGCCCGGGTTTTCACTGACGGACTATTTCACTGACCAATTCGTGAACTTAGGTTTTGGACTCGTAAATGCAGAGGCTGCCGTAAACGCTTCAATAACCTGGACAAGTCTTGGCCCCGAGCTCCTTGCGCAAGGATACACTGGAGAGGTTAATCTGGACATTCCAGACGTCGGAACCCCCGTGTTGTCAACGGCCAGCGTGTCCATATCTGATGAGTCGAACACGTTTGTAGTGGAACATGCAGTTGTTTTCGTGAAGGTTAAGCACCCCTCAAGGGGCGATCTGTGAGTGCTTCTGGTAAAGCATTTCATGTGCTTGCTGGTTGTGGGCTGACTTTGTGCCGTGTTCTCTTGTACCGGTACTGTGCAGGAAAATCACTCTGACAAGTCCATCTGGAACTGAAAGCATTTTGACACAAGGCGGCCGTCCTGAGAACCAGCAGCTCGAGGAAACAGAAATGTGGAAGCTGATGACACTTAGGTATGTGTATTCTGCTGATTACTTTATCGTTCTGTCTCTCTTTTCGTTGCTCACCGACACGGCGATACGACCATTGGTGTTTCCAAAGAACATGGGGTGAAGACCCCACCGGAACCTGGACTTTGGAGGTTGTTGATGAAGTGGTTGGTGTTGGTCGTGATTGTGTGGATTCCCCTTGGGCATACTATTCGTTTGAAGACGACGAAACGATCAGCTGTGAGAAAGTGATCGACTGCGACAACGAGGAGTTGGTGACACCGGATGTGATTGCGTACAACGACAATGGCCTGACCATCAATGATGCTTGCTGTGTGTGCGGCGGAGGGAGCAAGGTTGTGCAAATGCCACCCGTTCTGATGTCATGGCGCTTGATTGTGTACGGTCACGATCCCAGTGCACCACCTGCCGAGAGTGGATCCGTGGGCATTGCGTCAACTGATTTCGTGACCGTCCCAACCAGCAATAGTACAACACCAACCGAGACTTCCAGTGGTGCAACATTGCCCAACAACAATGCATCCGGGACTACACCCCCAGGGACGACCAATTCCACAGGCAACGTGACAGGCAACACGGACAATACCAGCAACGCCCCTCACTTGCTGGCTTGCGCCCTCGTGTGGACATGTGGTCTCATGATCATACCTGCTATGCTGATGCTCTGAGGAGGTGGAATGCGCACTTACGAGTATCTGCCAAATGTGTATCTGGCGAGGATGTGCGTGTTGTGTTGTGTGCTCGAGTTGATGCCAGATTATATGTTATCTTAAAAGAAAGGGCGGCCGTAAAATGTTCTTGAGAAAAGTTATTCCGTGCGGATGAAATCAAGCTCTGCGGATTTCCGTGGACCTAAATTCCATTTTAACCCCAACGCTATAACTGGAATAAATCCTAACCCTTTATCAGCGCTTCACAACGGATGCTTCCGCGAACAAACAAAGAAAAAGTTCGAGACCTCAATGTATGTGATGAAGGAGACAGAGGAATCGATAGTGCACAATAATAATTGAGAGCAGCAAGTTATTGGAAGATGAGCAAACCTCCATCTCGTCGCAATCCTCGCATCAGAGCCTTTGAGATTGAGACTGACGGCGTTGATACCAGTAGGGACTATAGAGCCCCGTCGCTAAGTGCGACTGGCGTAGACGACAGTACGATTTCTACTGGGGCCACTGTGCTAACAAGTTCCACGAGCCTCAGCACAGACCCTTTGCAGCTGACCAACAAGAGTGACTCGCCTTTGCCGTTGTCATTTTCAGCACCGGAATCGTTTTCAGCATCAGCATCAGCATTAGGCTATGCCCGTGACCATGAATTCCCTTCTGACCATCAGGATCCTCATGCAGCTGATCTAGGCGGAGACTTGACTTCAGCTGTGCTGGGCATTGTGAAGGCCATGGTTGGTCCCGCTATTTTGTATCTTCCCCATGGCTTTGTGGCTGCAGGCTATTTGGTAGCATTGCCCATCATGGCCATTAGTACCGCCATGTACTTGCATTCGAGCAGATGTCTCTTGGAGGCTTTCAAGTTTGAATCTCAAAAAGAGTTGGTCCCGCAGCAAGATCTTGCCAATGACAATGACATGGAACACAACCCTCACAGTAATCCTCACAGCGCCACTGCCAGTGGTGCTAGAAACACAGCACCAGAGGCAGCATTAGCAGCATCTAGCATACCTACCGCCACCAACCTCTCATATCCTGACTTGGCATACAGAGCGTTTGGAACCAAGGGAGAAACTCTGGTCAAGGTGGGGATTGCTCTCATGCAGTCAGGAGTGTGCCTCACGTACGCAATCTTTGTACCACACAATCTACACTCATCTCTGCTCACCATGTTCAATCTAGACCTACCACCAAATTTCTACCTTTTCCTCATGGTCTGTCTGCAGATCAGACTATCTTTCATTCAAGATATTAGAAAGTTTACAACTACAAATGCAATCGCAAACGCTTGCATTCTTTATGGGCTAATCATTTGCCTCTATTTTGCATTTGGGCAAGCCACTGCACCTTACGAACCTGACGAAAGCAACAACGACAACGAGCACAACAACAACAACAACAACAACAACAGGTTCAGCAGTGGCTATGGAAGTATCAATTCTGCCATTCTACCAGTGCTTACAGATGCTCCTATTGCCGGCCCACTCACCAATTTGTGGGAACACTTCATACATCTCAGCCCACTCGGTGATCATTGGATTCTCTTTATTGGTACTTCGGTGCTTTTGTTCGAAGGATCCATTACGCTCCTATTGCCACTGCAACAAGCTGTAGACGACACTCACAAAGAAGAGTTCCCAACAGTGTATCGGAGAGTCATTCTCTCCATTCAAGTTTTCTATGTGATTTTCGCCGTATCTTGTTGGATGTCTTTTGGAGATTCCGTCAACACAGTACTCACCACAAGCCTCCCACCGGGCTTCCTGGCCACCACGGTGCAGTTGGCATACTCGGTAGCTGTCTTGTTCACGTTCCCGCTGCAAAACTATCCAGCACTGGAGATTGCATCCAAATCCATGCAACAATATTTGCAACCACACAATTCGGCACCGTGCTTATCGCCGCCCACAAAGGAAGTTTTGAGGCAACGACATATCATTGCTGCCATATTGGTTTGCATCCTGGCGATTGTGGCTGTGACTACTATGGACTCACTCGACAAGGTGGTGTCGCTCACTGGAGCACTCATTGGGATCCCCATTGCGTTTATGATTCCGCCGATGATCCATTCACAGTTGATGGCTACGCAAGTGTCGCCACAACGGCTTCAAATCAACCTTGCTGTGACACTATTGGGGTCTGTTGCCATGGTTGTGGCTTCTGTCACTACTATCCTGCAATGGAACGATTAGTCTGGCGCAGAAGAGATACCGTGCGACGCCAAAGTTACTTCATATAAAGGCTCTTACGTAACCGTAACCGTAACCGGAGGTGCACTTGCGACGGGAAACGAAAGCTTTTACAATTGGCCAGGGCAGGCAAATTTTTCATGAGTGGATTGATTACCCTCATCTATCTGTAGCCAGCCAAGAACTAGTAATATACTTGCTGGCAGTGACGATGTCGAGGCCGAACCCCCTACGATTGAAGCAGTCTAGCGAAGAGTGACTGAATTAAGTTCATTGTACCGGTAGGGACTGCTCTCTTTTATTTAAGTTCAACAATTCCTCTATTTCTAAATTTAAAAAATGCTTTAGGCCATAGACGGAGCCACTTTGCTGTGTTGGCTCGAATCTAAAATGGATCTATCGCTGTGCGAGGAGCCTGTTGCATCGAGTTTGGCGTTCATGGTCTCCTGCATCTTATCCGACCTCCTCGAGTTCTCTTCCTGAATCGGTTCTTCTTGGGTTTCCAGATTGAGGTAGATGACTTTCACAAAAGCCGGTGGTTTGGGGTCAATCATGTTGGGCGCTGCCATCAAATCACGCGAGGGGATCTGGTTAGCTAACCAATTCATCATATTTTTGCGCTTCTTTCTGAGATCCACATTAGGTGTTCGTGGTACCGGTAGGAGGGTACCTGTACCGGTAGGATAGTCCGAGTTGGACGTACCGGTAGCATTGGTTTGGAACGAATCGTGGTTGTTAGCTACGGCCATGCAGGTGATTTCGGCGCTTGGCTCGACATGGTCTTCTTCCTTTGGGTCGGCCTTGGTTGTGGGGAACATCGCGTTGGTGGTTGCGGGTGGGTCCTCTTTCAGAGCAGGAACAACATCCATACCGGTAGGACATGTAGGATTCAATTGTTCTGTGATATCGTCCGAGAGATGTGCCGCCATGGAATACAACGTCATGCTCTCATCAAACCAGCTGACAGTTTCTACAGAGCGTGCCTGTTTGTTGGCAAATCCTACTGTGCTACAGGCACTCAAACCTGTGCTGCTCGTGTGAAGAGTTCGTCGTCTGCGGAATAGCTTGGCCGGTTTGGTTACCTTCATGGTGAAAACGACGTCAGACTCTGAAGAGTCGTCTCCGAGGTCTTGGCTGCCTGGAACCCGCAAAACCAGAGAAGACCGGACACTTGTGGTTCTGTCAGGTTGCCTGCGATTCAGTTCCAGCTGCTCTTGATGTTCCCGGATAAGTGCCTTTCGCCGTTCATGTTGAGACGCTGTACGTAACTTGCATGATCCGATCTGATTATCGTCTTGTATTCTTGGTGTGGATCCATTCAGGTTCACCGTGGCACGAAACGTGCTGTAGTCGATCAGCTGGGGGCGACTAAGAAACATTGGAGGGTCTATACAATCAAGGCCCGACCCACAACTGATCCGCCTTGGAAACTGGTTTCTTCTTTGGTGGTGGTGGAGGTCGGTCGAGTTCATTGTCTCTTTTTTGATGTTGCTTGGCTTGGATTGCTTTGCTTTGCTTTGCTTTGCTTCGGAAAGTGTGAGCCTTGTCATTGGAGTGGAGGTCACTGGTTTCTTTGCCGTTTTCAACAGATCCCGCACCGTGACGTTGACAAGATAGTTTCGGCGACTGGGCTTCCACATCAGCATTGCCTTCTCGGTTTGCTGGACTGTATCTTATGCCCTCGTCTCCTTTCACTCTTGCCTGGTTTCCCCACATTGTTGCTGTGACCTTTGCTTCGGGGAGTTTAAGGTTTTTATAAGCTAAGTATTATAACCAATTCCTCCCTCTTGTATGCGACTATGTGACCTCCAAGATCGAAACAGTCACTTGCTTGTTCAAGTTTTCAAGAGGCGATGACCCACATTCCTGCGAGCAGGCAGAACACAAACCAGTAGAAATGGAAAACTCATCGTCAAAGTAAGGACGCAGGACAGGAAAGTCTCCAATAAGAATGTACTAGCTACCGGTAGCTAGGTAGTATTTGTTTGATGAGTTTGCCGTCTTCGTTTGGCAGGAATAGTACGGTACGGTGCAAGTGAAAGATGGACGACTTCTCTTTCTATCATGCATGGATTTAAGTAAAATGTATGCTTGTGGTATGTTTACGTTTTCAGGCTTCTTCAGGCCGAAGGAGGGACGATCCTGGTGGGAACAGGAGTTTGCCCCAAAACGATTGTTCCTTTGGGTTTCACCAAACCTTCATCGTCCCGTACCGAACAAGGCTCATTTCGACTCATCATTCCTCCTTCCCTGTTGATAGGCAAGTAGGCATCAGAAGTGGAACCTCCATCAGCAACGCCCAGCCGCATATGCTGAAGGGAAGCAGAGAGATTTCGAGGGTTCTTTGTAATTCTTCTTGAGTTCTCCATGCCTTCGTACGACGCCAACATGTCTGAGAGACTGCGCTTCGCTCTCACACCACCGTCGGAAGAGGATCCGGCCACAATGTCGACCTTAATGCTCCTTCCAGGCTTCGTCACCTTGTCCAGATTGGCAAGAAACTCGTCCAAACTGCTGCTGCCACTGCCACTGCCACTCGTTTCCTCAGCAGTCATGTCCACGATCATGTCACCAGAAGATTCAGAGGCAGGCAGAACTTGGGTCAAATATCGGTGGACACGACCAGAGATACCAGTAGTAGGAGTGGGGAGGAGTGCACTGCGGCTTCCAAGTCCAAGAGTGGTCATGTTTCAATGGTGGATATGGCTGTTCAAGCAAAAGAAGGCGTACTATGTGTACTATTAGTCTGTCTACTATTAATAACGAGTAAAGAGGCTTGGGTTTCGTTACAAAAGCTGCTTCAGAATTGTGAGAAGAAATGTTCTGGCAATGGGGCTATCTTTTTCACCATGTGCCATCACACTGTTACTATTGTTGATAACCAGTCATACTGTACTAGCTACTCTACTAGAAGTGAACCTCGGCTTGGTTGCCGAAATACTAGACCGGTAGCTAGTAGTAGCACTGACAAGATCAGGATGACTGGTTGCCTCTCCACTCCGCACTGCTTCTACAACAGTGTCCGATCTCCCCACTAGCTAGACTAGCTAGCTGGTAGGATACTACTAGTGGCTACTCAGACTCGACTCGACTCGACTCCGTAGCGGCTCTAGCAACCTGGTATCAGGTACCGGTGCCAGCACTAGACTACTAGTTGGAGTCCTAGACTTATCTATTACCGGTACATGCAGCAAGTAGCAAGGCTGTGCCTTCTGTTCGTAAAACGTGATTCAATGTCTTTGAACGGTCATCCAGAACAGTAAATTGAACAATAAATCTTATGGAAGAATTATCGTGTCAACCAACAGAGAAGCTGCCTTCTGTAGTTTTGCTGCTTATGATCACTTTCTCCTTCAACACAGAAACACAGAACGAAGAAGGCCTGGTACATGTACTGATTAATTTTCTGAGCAGTGGCAGTGGCATACTACTATTAGTACTGCTCCTTCGATGTCTTTGTAACAGAGCAAAATGGAAGCAAAGGGGGACTATGGACTATGGACTATGGCTACACAGCTGGCTACACCTAGTTACATACTGAGTACATCATAATGGACGGTTCTCTTTTCTAGTAGAGCTCTCTTACTAGCTTACTAGATCTAGCTAGTAGCTATCTAGTAGTCTAGTATTATGGTTCCTTTGGATTTTTTGGCCGAAGGCCGAAGGCCATCAACCGCCCAAGTGCTCAGTGTGACTCGACTCAGTCAGTGACAAGTTAGTAGTCTACTACTAGTAGTCGTCTAGCTCTAGCTAGAGTCGTCCAGCCAGCTACTAGCTACTAGTGGTAGTAGTCTTCATTCTGCAGAGAAGCCGAACTAAAATGACTGTGATTCAAGTTGCACTCAGGCCCATCCATACGGTACAGTACCCATGTCTCCATACTAGTAACTACCTGGTACAGCAGTATGGCTGATGGCTGATGGCTGATGGACGACAAACGATGTGAGAGCTATGGTTGGAAATGCTGAAATGCTGAAGTAAAAATGTAATACTGAGTACGGTAGTTGTGTCTCGGTTAAGGCTTTTGTTCAAGGTGTCCTTTCAAAAAAGCTTACCGTGTACCCCAGACCCCAGACCAATGGATGTACAAGGGTACAAGGTAACAAATAAATAAGTATGATGTCACTTGTAGTTGCAATGGGCCCGCCCTTCGTTGGTTGGTGGTTGGTGGTAAACTACTGGTACTCCTGAAGTGCATGTAGCTCTTGAAGCACTAGCTACATGTAGACCTAGCTACTCAAGCTCTGCTCACTCCGTAGACTAGACTAGTACATACATGATGTAATGATCCTCGTCTTCCCCTGATCGAGCTATCAGATTCTATGCACTACACACTACACGGTACGGTACACGGTGCAGGTCTTGAGAGAGTTGAGAAGCACCAGTGTGGAATGCTTCTCTCAGCGGAGCAACGTACATATACCGAACCCTGTGTTAATAGCTAATCACTTCTTTGATGCATCAATGAGTTAAGTGGCGTGGTCTATGGTCATTCGAATAGATTCACTGTGCCCACAGGAATTATTGTCGTGGTTAGTTGGTTGAGATTGAGTCGAGTCAATAATTTTACAAAAAATTAACCCTGCTCTTGTCTAAAAGTTGAAGTCTTCGACAGCTACCGTACGGTACGGTACTGTAGAGCTCTTCAGCTCTTTACTCTGAAACCTCTCTCTGAGTGGCTGCTTTCTCAGCCACAGCTATTAGGACATTAGGACGCCTTCAGCTCTGGGACTGTAATAATCGAAGCGACCAAAGATAGTCTAAATGTCATATTTCGGAGTTTGAGCCGGTGCCATGTGCTTTAGTTCTCGGTTGCGAAACTATAGATAAGCAGGTGTGCGCAGAAATCACAGCCCAGCAGAAGTGAATAGAAGGACATAATAAGGATATCAATACGACCAGCAACGACCTGCTCCCTCTAGCTAGAATGGGCTCTGATGATTGAAGATTGGTGAGCAGTGAGCAGGCTCACAATTTGGCTTCTCTGGTTCTCTGGCTCTCTGGCTAGCTACTAGTACTAGCTAGCTAGCAGGCGTCTTCCACTTCACAAGCAATTCAGGGAGCTTTGATCGAAGGAAAAGAAACACTTGCACCCACCAGCCAGAATCGAATTCAGAAGCATGCAGCTCAAGTCCATTCTCAAGTCGTCCACTGGTGGCACATACACTTGGAACTTTGACCAGGATGCGAGTTTGTACAACTCAGTTGGCCTTTTTATGGATTCCAGCCAGAATTCAATTGACAGCAGCGACAATGGCAACAATAGAATTCCACACTCGAACTCGAACCGATACGCACAGAAGCCCCGTCAACGCCGTCATCGACGAGCGAGGAGATCTCGCTGCAAAGACAATGTCCTCATGGTCAACTGTGACAGTGACCACGGAAGATCACACAGAGGACTGTCACTCCAATCTCACTCGCCACAGCCACACAGAGCCAGAACTCATCAAAAAGCCCGCCGGTGCGTCTCCTTTTCTGGGCTGGATACTAGCCGATGGGATAGTGATAACTCTTTGAAAGATGACACCTCTTCTGGCGACAGTTTCAACAAGGATGCCAGTGCAAGCACCAGCTTCAGGCGCAGAGACATCCCCCGAAAGCCCGAGCGCCGCACATCCCTGGGCTAGCTATGACATACGTACCGGTACGGTATCGGTACATGTACGCGCCCCCTTACAGTACATGTGTAGCTTCATAGACTTGCTTACTACTAGACGTGCAACATCGTGATGGTGCCTACATAACTTCAAGCTCAGCCATTCATGACCTCACGTGACCCCATGACCTGGACTGCCAATCTCGCGTGTCACATTGCTATATTAATAGTGGATGTATTTACATGTAATGGCGACAAAGAGGTTGAATTGTTACCGGTACACTTCCAGCAGGTTTGCTTCCGAGGATCGCCATTGTCAGTAAAATGATGGGGTCAAACATCAATGCAGCCAGAACTTCAGATTTTAAAATATTACCAGGTCTACCGTATCGGTACCTGTCAGCTATGACCAAAACGGACGCACCCTCCACGCCACTCTGCATATATATCAGTACAAACCCACGAAGTTGTTCCATCAGTCTTGAGGAAGCACGTAGCTAATTTGACAAGCAATTCCAATAGATCTAGACACCTGCCATGCATCGAAGCAATCGAAGAATCGAGCGAATACCGACTCGACTCGACTCGACTCGACTCGGATGGTTACAAGGAGCCTGAACTGAATTGATGGATTCCCACGGTCAGCCGTGCGTCATCTGTGCCCCAGAACGGATCAAGGGGATCTCAAAGCGCGTACTAAAGAAGATTCTTAGGCAAGACAGAGCAAAGGGCAGCGCTTCAATACTCCTTCGCTACTACCGCCCGACAGGCAGACCCTCGACACTGGCATTTTCTTCCATTTTGCTAGCTCTTGAGAAGCCCCCCCCCCAGCGCCACCAATGAAGACCTTCAATTGCCATCAATTGCTTCTGCTCCGTATTCAACATCTGCCAGTCGGGCTCGGTTCAAGGCAGGCAGACTGCGAGATGTAGCTATTGATGAAAAACCATTGCAAAGAGCGACGTGCAGAACCGCAGACTACAAAGCGATGACCCAACACAAAATCTCCTGTTCCAAAACAGTTTGTGAAGACGCTTCCTTGCTATAATATAAGCATTGGAGCATACAAGAGTGACAGGTACGACAGAAGCGTATGTGAAAGCGGACATGGAGTCGGTCAATTTGACGGTTACTCTATTTCCAACAGTCACCAGTTGATACAAAAACATTGGTTGTTTTCTCTGTCTACTGGATTTGGACTCTCACAATCCTCTGGCTACAGGTATCATAGTCCTTGCCTCCTATGAAACTCGAAAGGTGTTCTTGGTTGCATGGGATTGAATTCGGGCATTTCTTTCCGCGTCCACATGCCTGTGCTAGTGTGGTGCGGCGACCAGCTTTTTGCATTTTGAGAAAGGCTCACTCCTGCAACCCTGTCAGACATGCCAAGATTGTTTCGACACCTGTCAAAATTGCCTCAATTGGCTGTCTAAAGTAGTCACAATAATGGAAAATTCTCAAAAAGGTCAACCATTAAAAAGTACTGATTTGCTGTTGAATTTGTGGCTAATAATGGCCAATAATATGTTGCCATTGACAAATAAGTTTTGTAAGCGTAGAAAAGAGGACAACAACTCAGCCCGTGAAAGATAGATGACAAGCAGTGCGATTCTTGGTGTGTCGACAGGAGACTTTAGCCGTTGCGGTGCACCCAACGACTTTCGTTTTAGGTTTCAGCGCACCTCGAAGCGCACCTCCCCTCTGCTGAAACTTTCGAGAGAGGCGTTTGTGATCGTGGATACGCAGAACAAGCAAGGTGCAAAGTAGCCGGTCGTTGAAACGGGACACCAAGGAGCACCATGCCAACACACATACATGATGCGTGTTCTTAGCTGGTGGTAGTGGTACCAGCTAGCTAGCTAGCCGTAACTGACTTGCAGTTGCTTGCTGCTGTGTCTATCCCCTCTTACTCCAGCTAGCTAGTAGTACTAGCTAGCCAGCTACGTACCGGTACCGGTACCAATCAATTACAACCTTGGGAATATTCCTATTCATCCCAAAAATTCAATGCGAGGCCGCCAATGCTTGCAAGGAGCACAGACACCCAAACACTATATTAATAACGGCGCCAAGACTATTTGATCAACGTGTACAGTAACAGCCAAGACTTCCCGTCTCTTGAGGATTGAATCGAATCATTCAGTTTCATTCTCATTCTCATTCTCATTTTTGCATATCTTCCATCCTCACTCATATGCATACTCGTAGACGGCATGGCGGCCATCTAGCTATCTACTAGCTAGCTACTGTATCCAAATTTTCTTGTTCAGGCGAGCAAGATGGTTCACTTCTTGCGTCGTGAAGACGCGAACGACAGTAGCACTGTCGCTGCTCGAGACGGTCTTAGCCGTGCCCCTTACGACTATTTGCCGTTTTCGTCGTTGGGTCTCGAGAATCAACAACAAGTCGTGATGGATTACATGGCAGGGCTGAAGACGGGAATGTACAACAAAATCCTCTCGGCCAATGCCTGCACGGGAATGGATATGACAGCTGTACACACTCAGTGCGCAGATGTGGATATTGCTGCAATGCCAGGCGACATCATGACACACTTCAACGACACTTGCAATGACAACAACAGCACCTTTGGGGAATACTCTCTGAGTGCCACATTTGAAGCCTCCCTAGATGGCACCAATTCGACATCTGGAGCTGTTCGATTTGGAAACATTCATGTGCGCGAATTCAACCGCACCGTAGGCGATCACCCTGATTGCTCAGAGGATGGACCGCCACTCTCCATGGATTGGGCATACATCCAACTCCAACCCATTCCACTTTCAAAGTACGAAGCCAAGAAAAAGCGTCGAAGACGGCGCAGACTGGAGCGCAGGCATCAAAGATTGAAGCTAGACGATCCAGACGCTCCTTTTCCAAAGGTACCCAACATTGAGTTCACTGTCCCACGGATACGGGGTCCTCTTCGACGTGAATTGCTTCATCTCGAGTTTGACGTCCCCTTTCAAGACCTTGTCGCTGCTGAGCAAGAAGTCAAGAGGATGGCAGCACAACGCGAAGAATCTAATACCCAGAGTATATTGGCGGAAAAAACACAAGAACTCGTGGAATCAGCACAGCGCAAGCTACGAAGATCGTTCTTCTTCGGATACGGAAGACACACCGAGATTTCACGCAATGGTCGCACCAACTCGTCACGGCAGGTTTCTCCATCCACACAAGCGACTACACCTATCTACGACAGGCGCCATCCTCGACGATACAAGGCCTCTACCTCCGAGATGGTGTCAAACTACTACGGCGGACGGCGGGTTCCCCAAGCAGTGTACTAATATCCATTGCCCTTCTTGTATATTGTAGAAGCTGTTGGAGTGCACACAGCATGTACCTAATTCGTGTTCGTCATATCGTAATTTAAAATTAAAAGTTTTGTTCCATTGTAGTCCGATTGTCCATCTATGTACCGTACCGGTACCCGGAAACCAGTTTGTTGCTACCGGTAGAGGAACAGTAGCATGGGTCCGTTCCTATTCATCAGGAGGACACAGAATCATTTGTTGCGAAAGAGGAGAACAAGGTGGATTGGCCGTTTGGCGCGCAGACACACGCGTATTGAGTGCATCGGACCACAACACGCTCTACATGTCTCTCATTCATTCAACTCCTTATCCTTGTCGTCCTCTATTTCCTTGCTTGGAAGATACGGTTCCTCCAATCCAAACTTGATAGCCTGACATTCGAGCTCCTTCAAGACGTTTAGAGGTACATGATCATCGACAAAGTGGTTGGCAATGCGGATCTCACGAAAATCCAATCGGTTGGCCCATCGGCATTCATACTCCTTCTTGGGAGTACGTACAAAGAGCCCGGCAACACAACTGGCGAAACTACCCAACAGACAGCAGATTGGTTCTGTGCCCAAATCTATCTTCTTGCCAGCACTTTTTGTGGAAAACATGTGGACAATCTTCCCCGGCAGAAACAATTCCACCAGATTAGCACCTTCTCGTCGTTCCATCTTGCGTTCTTCGTACAAGTGACGATACTTCTTCCATTCACGGATAAACTGACTGTCGGGAGTCTCGTCGGGAGGATAAAGGATGCGCTCCAACCGGTCCTTTCGTTGATCTGCTGCCAAAACTGTTCGACAGCAGCCATACTCGTTGAACACTTCATCCTTGGGCACTTTGATGCGACTAATCATCTCGACGCAGTCATGCCTCAAATTCTCCAGCGCATTCAAAGAGGCACGAGGGACAATGTCAGCATCCAAAATGTACGCTGTCAAAAAGTCTTCTGTGTAGATTGCAGCATTTTCAGACAAGGTGCAGCCAGGGGGGCTAAAGCAATGGCATCGGAGTGTCGGGTACTGTGCTTTCAACAAGAGAGCCACCAGTGCAGCACATCCGGCACCCAAGCTGTGACCTGTTACGCGCAGTCGGTAGTCTTTGTGCGGACTGTCCTCGTCCTCGAAAAGACTCTCCAAAACCTGCTGTTGTTTCATGTCTTGCACAATCCAAAGGGCAGTGGCCAATATACCCGAGTGTGCAAAGAACGATGATCCATCAAAGCCGTGTTGGTTGCCCACTTCTTCTAGATTGGTCGGAGTCATGGTCAAGTCGGTTACCACATCATCCAGTGACTGAGTTCCTCTGACAACAATCACCACAGATTTCCATTCATGATCTAGCACAACGGCAAAGGGAGATTGGACGACAGTGGATTTGAAGAATGCGTAAAAAATGTCGTGTTCGTCCGGGATTCTTGATTCTTTGAGGAAAGCTGTAGAGTTCAAGCGGCAACATCCGTCACCCTCAAAACCCCTGTGACGGTGATACCGTGTGGGAGGTTCTGGCATGTTTTCCTTGTGAACGTCCCGTTCTTCTCCTTGTTCTTCTTCAAATTCTTCATCGTTGTCATTGTCACTGTCATCGACGTCATCGTTCTTTTTCTTGTTGGCAGCATTGCTGTGCTTTTGTCTGTTTCTGTTTGTTTTGTTTGTACTGTATTTCCCACAGCAATAGCGTTGCGTGGATGTCCATCCCAGTATGCAAATACCGGTGCAAGGTCTGTTTACCAAGCAGTATTGTATCCATGTGTAGATTGCGAGGCTTATTCTCATGAACCTAGCTCCTTCTGCCATGACCAAGTGATCGTACTGGTTTGATGATTTTAACAGTTTGGATGCGTGCGGTTCCCAGCGAAAGGAAGTGCTAGTGTCTGCATTGTCGTTCTGGTCTCCAGCATTCTCGATATCCTGATCCTGATCCTGATCCTGATCCTGATCCTGATCTGCAGTGTTGTTGTTTGAAGCTGAAGGGGTAGTATTGTGGGAGTATCGTTTGAGTCGATATGTGATTCCATCGAGAGTTCGGTTGCATTGATAAATGTTGATAACTTTTTGTAGACTTGTTTCTTGTAGCGTGTGTTGTTGTGGTCGGTATTCGACTTCAAAGTTGTCCTGTGAGGGTGATGGTGTCGGTGTCGGTGTCGGTGTCGGTGGTGCGAGTTCTTCTTCTGGTTGCTGCAGCATTGGTGTACTAGTATCTTCCTGCTGCTCCGTGCTTTGTTGCATGATGAGTTGTTTGACGGCTTGTTCTCTCTTTGACTGTAGTTCTTGTACCATCATGAGTCCTGCCACCATGTCTGTGGGTGTGACATCCAGAGTTCCGTGAAAGTCGAAGAAATCACTGAATAGAATGGCGACGTCAGTAAAGTCTCCGAGTAGAGCATCCGCTCCGCCCATGACGCAACACGAAGCCAAGCTAGTGACTGTGCAGCAGCATTGGCAGAAAACTCTCCATCCGTTTTGTGAGTTGAAAGCCTTGGGCGATACTTTGTTTAGTATTTTGTTTTGCATGAGCAAGTACACAATGAGAATGACATTGCAGAGTGCTTCAAAGAGCTGGGAGTGCACGAGAAAGAAGAACATTCTGTGGTATTTGCCCTTGCAAGCACCTAGTTCGTTTTTGAGAACAAAGTCCTTGCATTTGATGCATAGGTGAGCGAGCATCTGATCGAGGTAATATCCCGTTGCGGCCGTGAAGACTCTCAATGCGAACAATGCGGTGAGATTGATATGGCACAAATGCTGGAGTGGTTTTGTTCTGCGTGACTCGTCAGTAGGAGTTCCACGACGGCTTACGGTGCATAGCATTCCCGCCTGAACGGCCCCCACCGATGCTAGCATCATGGACACCAACAAGAATGCGGAATTGAAATCTTGCAGCTCTTGGCGTTCTTCCTCTGTGATCTGTGCTGCATCCAAACACGGCTGTTCGTCGACAAAGTCGTCTTTGTAGATCGTAGTATAAACATGCACGACCAGGGCGACAGCAATGCCGAGTTGCGATAAACGCATCAAGAGCACGATGGCTCCGTAAATCTGAAGGTCGTCTCCTGCCACGGGAGTACGTTTCCCAAAGATTGCTAGAGAGGGCATCTTCTTCCTTCTTCCTTCTTCAATCTGCAATCTTATTGAATTCAGGAAGTCTAGACTAACCTGCCTTGACTTGATGGCTGTCGTGATCATGAAATGGTCAATGGTCAATGGCCACTGAGGGTTGCTAAGATCCGCCGACTCCAAAAGGACATAAATGAGATCAATGACTGCTACCAGGTACCGGTACACACACCATACCACCATTAAGATCAGCAATAGGGTTGAGGATAACATCAGTACCACGTGCGTCAGCGTTGAGATGTTGAGATGGCAGACCAATCACCAATGACTGGCATTTCTTCGAAGAAATGCCAGAAATACAATTGGAACAAAAGATTTTTGTTCGCACTCTCATTAGTTTTTGTTATCTTCTTCAGTTGCATGCCCATCCATCATCCATAATATTGCAGGTACCGGTACCGGTGCTGCCATTACAGCTATTAATAGGTGACCAGATTCTGTAGCTTCTCCTAAGCGTATTAGTAGCAAGATTTGATTTTATTGGAAGATCAGGATGGCTCAAGCCGTCGAGAAAGAAGCTGCTGCTGACGATGATGGGAGTTACTTGGTGTTGGTGGATGATGATCAAAAATCAGAATCAGAAACTCACTTGTTGCTGGGCAAGACTCCCAATGAGCTCAAGACACTTTTGAAGGACATGGAAACTCTTTCCAAGAATATTGCTTCACTCCAGCTCACCAACAACAACAACAACAATCCCAACACTTCAAGTAGATCTAATCTAAACAAGCTCAAGCTCGACAAGGAAGAAGAAGATGTCGATGCCGATGCAGATGCAGATAAAGATAAAGATGCAGAAGAATGTGCCCCATTGGCTGCAGGTACAAATAAAGAATGGAAACAAGTAGAAGATGACGATGAGGTGGACTGGAAAGAGAGCACTTTTACATTCCTTTACATGTCAGGAATCAAGACTCAAGCATTTTGGTATGCTATCTTCATATACTCCGTGCAACTCTCTACCACCTTGTTGACGCTCATTGACACCATTGATTGGCACGACCAAAATAACAGAGTCGCCATTCCTCCTATGGTTGGCATCACTGTCACCATTGCACAAGGAATCACCATGTTCCTCATGCTATCCTTCCAGACGGATTTGATACAGGCATTCAGCAAACTTCAAGATGGATACTACCCTGCTCTCAACCTAAACTATCCAGGAGCCACATACGCTGCATGGTTGTTCTCCTGCTTGGCACAACTTGTCGCAGGATCCATGCTACTCGTCACCATTTTTGTACTCACCATGCAAGTTCAAGATGTCATTTCAATGATGCTCAACTTTGCAGCACTATCCTTCCTCGCTGATATCGATAATCTAGGATTCGCTCTCGCAAAGAACGGATTCGTCACCGACACCATGAGACGCCACGCAAAGGCTGTTGTTGACTTCAAAGTGCCAAGACGAGTCATTGGTCGCAAGGGACGTGTCCTAAAACGGACCATCTATGTCATTGGACTCGTTCTCCTTTACTCCATGTATGGGGCAATCAAGTACAGACAGCTTCAAGGATGGTACTTGCAAACGTACATTTACGTACAGTTTGGAGACGCACATTATGAAGAACTCTCATATTACAGCGGAATATTCACGTCAGGGCACGGAAGAACCGCATCCCATAGGCAGTACCGAGATATGGCTACAAACAGCACACTGCTGGCATACTGCAAAGATGACGAAGCTTGGACATTCTCCAGAAACGACGACCCATGTGACTTTTTTGCCATTTCACCAAGAACCATTTCATACGATGTCACGTCCATACCCGACAATCAATGGCTTGTCAAAGATTCACTCTCCAGATTGATGCCCTTTGACTCATTCACATTGGTTGGAAGAGATTGCGACCCAGAAGCGTGTCAAGGAGAATGCACAGATGATGTCTGCCACTGTGCACCAGACCGATTCGGTCTAGACTGTGAATTCAGTAATGTATGCCCAGAACTATTGGTCATGTCCGAACCCTTCCCCTCCATGAGAGATGGATGGGCAGTCAGCGAACACTTCGAACTCTTTCGAGATAACACTACTGGCGAGCCCATTCGGGTTTACGGTATGCCCGTCTTTTACTCAAACAAGACATTCCCGGCTAACGTCATCTTCTTTGGAGGGCGTCGATGTAAGTAACGTAACGGTCTGGTTTGTTCGCACCTGCAAGCACGCAAGCTTGCTTCATTTACAGCCATGCTCGAGATTTCTCATTATTGCTGTTTTCACTCACATTACTCATGGCTTCCTATAATAATCGACGGTTCAATAAAAGGGGTGATGACTGAAGAAGCTACTCTTCTTGGCCGGCAAAGGCAAGAGTATTACGACATGGCGGATTCGGGAGCATTCTTCCCGCAACAGACAGCAATGCACCTGCAAAACGAATCCTTTCACGGATACCACGACAATTCACACCACGTTATTTTCTTGAGCGACACAGTCACATATCAAACCATGCGGCCAACGCCCGCTGGGCTCGGCTGGTATGGCACAGTGCTGCAAAAGGCGGACGGTGGGAGACCCATTGTGTCAAAAGGGCACAAGATTGATGCGGTTCTTGCCTGTGAAACGTGCAACAATCAATACTATGGATTTTGCAATTCCCAAGGTGGCACGTGCAACGCAACCACGGGGTTGTGCGAGTGCAACGATGGCTATTCTGGTGACAAGTGCAGTCAAGTGGAAAAATGCTTTGAGCAAGAAAGGCCGTGCTTTGGGAATGGAATATGTGATTTGGCATCGGGAGAGTGCAGATGCTTTTATCCGCACTATGGAGCCACCTGCGACTCTGATTACTGGTGTATTGAAGAGTATGGCAAATGCCTTGAAGGTGGTGTTTGTGATGTTTCTGGTGGGAGTAATTTTGCCTGTGATTGCCTCGATCCTGCAACGACAGGAGCCGCTTGTGAGCTCCGAAAGGATTGCACGTTCTATGGATGTGAAAATGGAGGGAGCTGCAATGAAACCACACATGCATGTGAATGCCCACGCCCATTCTATGGGTATGGTTGCCAGCTTGTGAATGCAACTCTGGACGAGCATATTTGTAGAACGGATGCGGATTGTGTCGGCGGTGGCAATTGCGACGCAACAAGTGGTACATGCACTTGTGAGAGTTCTGGAAGGTACGGATCCCTGTGCGAGCACGAATACGATTGTACAAAAAGCGGTTGTCACAGGAGTGGTGGGCTTTGTGACATCGACAGCCATTTGTGCAAATGCATAGAACCATACTTTGGTCCATCGTGCTCGGAGCTTCCGGACTGCGTGGCCGATAGTGATTGCTTTGGAAGCAATTCGGAGTGCGATGTTGACTCCGGTACCTGTAAATGCAAAGACGTTTTCCGAACCGGCAAGCTGTGCGAGATATCTGAAGACTGCCGGCGGTTAGATTCTGGTGGGTGTTTGAACAATGGCATTTGCGACCCGAATGGCTTTTGTGAGTGTCGGCTACCATTTCGCAAAGCCTTGTGCCACTGGATCATGGATGACGAAGAGCACTAGCTATTACTAGCTAGCATAATACCGGTCCGGTCCGGTCCGGTCCGGTACGTCTAGTATCAGATGTCTACATGTATAAGAAATTCTACCGTGCACATTTCCCTGCCATGTGATTGGAGCCCAAGCTGTTGTCTTGGGGCAGCAGTGACAAACTGAGTCGAGTCGAGTCGCGAGTGACTTTGGCGGGTGCAACGCAACACGGTGGACAATGACGAGAACAAGAAAAGATCAATATTTCGATACGTTCAATGTTCAATCTATCTTTACTCGGCGGTATCCTATCAAGATGACGCCACGTCCTCCACCATGATTATGACAGGAAAGGAAGGCTCACGACGAAAACGAAGACCATCGCTTGGGCTGTGCACGAGCGAGATGTTCGGCACTTGTCTCCCATTTTAAAAATCGCTCCCACTCAGCAACAGCATTCAACTCTGGTGCCCAGCCATTCTGCGTGCACTACTTAAAAAGTGCATTGCCTCCTGCCACAAGTCCTCATCAATCTCATCGTCAATCTCGTCGTCATCCGAATCACTATCATTCGCGGCAGCTCTGCTGTTCCTGCTGTCGATCGGCCACGGTTGTTGCCGTGTTGGGCACTTTTGGCTGGCTTCAACTTCGCCACGTCTTGCTTCTGGGGCTACTAGTACGACATCTAGAGGGCGCGCAAGAAAAGAGGAGGATGAGAGATGTGCGAGAGGGTACTAGTACGAGACAATCACGAATGACGAAGGACTTTGTTTCTTTTGGTTGGTACCAGTACAGTGTTCTCGAGTCGGTATACTAGCTAGCTAGTAGTCTTTCCCTTTCGGAGGAACGCGAGTTGTCATTGTTGAGGTTTCGATTTTGTTTTCTCTCTCCAAAAGGCCAAGAACCCGAAGCCTGTTTGAATTTTAGGGTGCACGCGCGGTCAGTTTTGCGCCCAAATTCATATTTGCGCCCTCAAATTTAAAACCTCCCAACAATAAACAGATCGAGCAGTACCACCTGGTACTAGGTCTAGCTAGCTAGTAGGTGGAGGCATGTTGCGGTACTAGCTAGTCTAGCTACCGGTATTAATAGTACAGTCGTACCGCTATTGGAAATGAGGCTTCAAGCTTCAAGCTGTTTATCAAAGCTGCTTCCAATACCGGTACTAGTATGCATAGCTGTTCCCATACTGTACATGTATGGTACCGGTAGATATGCATAGAGAAGAGATACATGTACCACAGATGGCTCATAGCATTACAAGTGGCCAGTACTAGACTAGATATATCTATGATATTAATAGTAGAAGTGCAGAAGTGGGAGATATGATGAGGAGCTGCTGTTGTGTCCAGCTGTCCAGCTTGGATGAGCAACGCATTCGGCAGCATCATGATGGCGTGATGGCGTGGCACCTGTAATTCTGCATCCATGTTGATCGAGAACTGCAAGACTCCACAAGATTTAGAAACCAATGCGCGCTCGTCCTGAGACTCAACGAGGATTTAACATAGACCATTAATACATCGTTCAATGAACAATGAACGCTACTCAGTACTGAGTACGGTACTCAGTAGCTATTAATAGACAGACCAGAGACCACAGACCACACCAGGGTTCGCTAACCGTTTGGTTGGGTACCGGTTACTGGTTACTCAACCAGTAACCAGTTTTGCTAGGGTACCGGTTACTGGTTACTGGTTGAGTAACCAGTTCTGCTAGGGTACCGGTTACCGGTTACTGGTTGAGTAACCAAATCAAACAACCGGTAACCAAATGGCAATTTGAGTAACCGATTCGGTAACCAAAACGGCAATTTGAGTAACCGATTCGGTAACCGGTTCGGTAACCAGTCAACGGTCACCACACTACTTTTTTTATTTTAAAAAAGTAAGTCTTCTGTAAGTCTTTATTTAAAAAGAGTTCTGATGATCTATCTGATAAGCTTCAAGCCGTTCGCAATGTCACCGGTACCAACCTTCGAAAACAATGGCCTCTTATGTTGTCGCGGCGACGATGAGGGAATGTATTACATAAATCCTGTGCTGTAACAACAGATGTCCAAGATGTCCACGTATTCATCAGCGAGCTAAATATTTTGGTATCGTTGCGTACCGGTGGGGAAACACGTACTACTGTAGCTATCATCTAGTTTGGTACCGGTGGGAAGATCTTGCTTTTGCAAGTTCAAGGCATGTCAGCATTGTTTTCCATTCTCGGCTCATTATTCTTATTCTCACAAGCAAAAAGGCAAACTTGAAAACCAAAAATGAAAGTGAATTTATCTCTGGCTCTGTCTTTGACGACGTTCCCGTGGGCAGAGGCTTGGTCGCCAAGTCCAATGTTCATGCCAAGTCTCTCCTTCCAAAGACATCGAGGAGCAACCTTGACGCTTAGAATTCAGGCATCTGCAATGGGTGTGGAAGAAAACAAGTCAAGTCAATTGGATCAAGTCAAAGACAAAGTCAATGGTCAAGAATTTGTCAACCTTCGCGAATTTGGATCTGTGAATTTGGAGAATTTGGAGAAACTGTACGATTTGGTGGTGATTGGAGGAGGACCTGCGGGTGTGGCTGGCGCAGTTCAGGCGGCTCAAATGGGCCAACGTGCCATTATCATTGACCGACCGAAAGCGCCGCCATTGGCGAATGGACTGGACCTCTTCTTTGGAGCCCCCACGGGGTTGTTCAGCAAGGCCCTTCGCGATTGTTCCAAGACGCTCAATCTAGCCGCCATGAGAGCCCAGGGATTTGACGATGATGTCATTTGGAAGCAAGTCGAAAACACTGTCGTACGATTGGCACAGCGAAATTCGGAAGGACAGGTCGACCTCTTGAAAAGTTTGAGAATTGATTATCTTCAAGGCGAGGCCACTCTATTGAGTCAAGACCACCCTGCCGATCAACACGACGACGAAGAAGAAGAAGAAACCTTCCAGCCTAGAAATATTCTCATCAAAAAAGCACCCATTCAGGGATCCGATGGAATCATCAAGGAAGATCAACAGACCACCATTACTGGAGCAAAAGTTCTTTTGGCTACCGGTTCCAAGGCTACCAGATTCAACGGAATCCCATTCGATGACAAGAGAATCTTTGAAAGTGACTCCATCAATCGACTAGGCTTTTTGCCAAACTCAGTCGTCATTGGTGGCGCGGGAATCATTGCCATTGAATTTGCTAATATTTTCAAGAATCTAGGAGTCGATGTTACCATGCTCATCCGAGGAACACTCGCGGACAGTGCAAAGAAACTAGGGGTCGACCCGGATGTCACCGATGAACTCATCCGGCTACTCATCGATTCGGGTGTACAGATCAAGGAAGGCGCTTCGGTCGAAGAGTTCGAATCCGTACCATCTGCAGATGCAGCTCAAGGCGAGACAGATGGAAAGGTCGTTATGAAACTCACGGATGGAACCAAACTCGAGTCAGATATCTTTTTGGCGGCCTATGGTCGTTCCGCAAACGGAAAGGAAGTCGACACCGGACTCGATTCAGCCGGGGTCGATGTCTCGGATCGTGGAGAAATATGCATTACTGAGAAAGATTCATTGGGCACATCCAGCCCTAATGTGGCCGCCGCCGGCGACTGCGTTGGATGGCCAATGTTGGCTTCCAGTAGTATGGAACAGGCCGTACATGCCGTAGAACACATGTTTGATAGCAAGAAAGCTGGACAACCTCTTGACTTTGCAACTGACATGTCCATTGGGATTTGGACCATTCCAGGTAAGTAAACTGATACCAATACCGTCGCGAAATGACATAGATCTGACATGACTCACCTTTTGTTGTCATTTCATTGCATGACTGCCACTGCATTGTTCATTGTCTCACTATCGAATAAACCAGAAATTGGGTACTTTGGGATGACCAAAGAAGCTGCTGCAGAGAGAGGCATCAAAGTCATCGAGGGTGTCGCGACTTTCGACAAGTGCCTTCGAGGCCGCGTTTTTGATCCAGATGGATTGCTCAAGCTGGTCGTAGATGCCGATTCTGGAAGGATTGTTGGTGTTCACATTATTGGAAAAGATGCAGCCGAGATGGTCCACTACGGAATGTCATTGGTCCGATCCAAGAACACCATCTACGACTTGATGACAACCATGTTCACGGTAAGTTATTCTTACATTGTTGTATGCATGGCAATGGTGACCTCCATTTTCTACATGTGGCCAAAACGTTCAGTGCATAATACGTACTCTCTATCTCGTTCCCCAGGCCGTCACTTTCCATGAGTTGTTCAAAGAGGCAGCTTTGGCCGCAAATCAACAGCTTGACTTTGGTGTCGAGTGGCAAAAGATTTTCGAGGATTTGTCAGACGCATGCCCCATTGATCCAGAAACTGGAGAAGCACTCGAAACAACCATGGAGGAATTGCGCGAAACCTTTGATAAGCTAGACGACGATGGAAGTGGTGCCCTTGACGAGGAGGAATTGCGTGCACTCTTTATCAGCGTGGGAAGAAAACCACGCAAGCGAACAATCTCCAATCTTATACGCCTGGCCGACTTGGACGGAGATGGTGTGATCGATTGGGAAGAATTCAAACTAATCTGGGACAGAATCCAATGTTGAGGAATAACCTGAATGCATCATGTATGCATGCGCATGGTCCCAAGGCAATTGTTACTCGTGGCATTCACGTTACCACCATATTATACAGGCAGGTAGCCAGCCAACCACGATACTTACAGGCAGTAGAAACAGATATAAGATTAGCACCGCCAAATTGAGAGGCTTTTTTCTTCTTACGCTCCCAAAACGAATCCTAAGGATGGTCTTGGGGAGCACAACTATTGCAGGCTTGTACATTGGGAGCTGGTCTGAGTGCCAATCGATCAAAAGGGCTGTGCTAGCTGCTGACCTCAACACGTTCTTCCTTCGCTCCTTTTCTTCAGGGACCCCGATGCTTCCCATCCTTTTAAGTATTGGATTCGTCTTGCATTGTGTTGTGGCTGGACGGAATCTAACATGATTTCTTTGGCTGTTGTTGGGAAACAAGATGCGTGGTGCTTCATTGGTGGTGTGCGAGCACAACCTATCGGGACGCTTCTGTGCAAGGAAACGGAAAGGAATGGTGGGTTGTGGAGGAGACCCGAGTTCTTGTCTGCTCGAATCTATGCAAGGAATGCCCTATGGGCATGCTTCACCCATCCGACAGCTCTATGTGCATCCATGCCCCCAGAGGTTTCTATATCACAGCGAGTCGTTTGCTTGCAATGCAGCGCTGCATGCAGGCTCTATTAGCAAGAGCAGGGCCTAGTCACTAATGCCTCCAGCGGACGATGGATTCAGAGCATCCACCTTCAACGCAGTCACAAGCATAGCGCTTTCTTCCGACTGTTTGGGCATCACACCTGGGCAGACCCAATTGGTTTGTCCCACACTCCTGAACAGCTTCTTTGCGGCTGTTTCGGATTAGTCCGAAGTGGGGTTATTTCAGAACCTTGATGCAGCAAAAGGAGATGAGCTGGATATAATGTTGATAGTTTGAACATACTGATTGCGGAGGTTAAGGATGGCAAGGGGTATCCCAGACTGTTGAGAATGGGTTCAACAGGTACCTCGTACGGCATCAAGGGTACGATATCAATCGCAAGGTCTCCCTGGCAAGTCGTATCCTCCGTGCAGAGTGTAAGAGTGTCACCTTTCAAAAAGCTGAGCTGTCGGAGTGTACTCGGCAGGCATGTGCCGCTGCAGCAGTCTAACTAGTCGGTACCGGTAGGAAGGAAGTAGATCATAATTGATGAGTAACCGACGTCTCTATAGGCACTATTGCCATTGAAGCAACATCGTCATTCAACGTGGACACGCCCTTGAAGGCGTGCAAGAGGGACCCAAACTAGCTACTGGGCCTAGTAGGGTCCTTTTCTCCATGAGAGCGGTGTTTGACTTTTGCCGGAAAGAAAGTGTTTGACTTGTTCATTGACTGCGCATGTACTGGTGTATTCGTGAAGGCTGCATGTTGCTATTAGAGGGGACTCTAGTAGGGGGAACGGACTCCAGAGGATGAGTGCAGAGTGCAGCAAGGGCGCAATCCGGACCGCCGAACCGACCAACTGCACAACCGAAGGCCGGAGGAGGAGAAGGTGGCCAGGAGGGAGGGCTGCGAAGCCATCAAAGGACGATGAGTGAGCCATCAAAGGACAAAGACTACTAGCGATGGAGATCGAGAGCCCCACGATCGTTCCAATGCACGGGCCTAGCTAGCTATGAACAGCAGCAAGGACAGCCAGCCGGAGGCTAGTGCCCTCAACTTGCATTTTTCTAAAAGCCAAGGAACGGAAGGGTTCTGGTTTGACCACTATTATTACCGGTAGCCTTAACCTTGCAAGGGAAACAGAACCATATGTACGCAAGGGAAACAGCACCTTATGTATGCGACACTACCGGTAGCCTTCACCTTGCAAGGGAAACAGCACCATATGTACAGGTAGCCTTAACCTTGCAAGGGAAACCGCACCATATGTACGCGACAACTGCAAACTTTTCACAGCTGATGCTTCCTCAATGTACACCAACATTCCCACGAGGACAGCCATCACCAAGATCTCAAAGTGGCTCAAAGACAACCAAGAACAGTTCCCAGACCTGCCCACCAAGGCAGTCCTCAAGGCACTGATTCTCATTATGGAGTGGAGCTTCTTCCACTTTGGTGACACCACATGGCGGCAACTCAAGGGCACTGCAATGGGAGCCCCACCAGCCCCACCCTATGCCACCATCTACTTTGCCATCCTGGAGTCCATTCTGCTTCGATCCTTCATGGATAGTCTTGCAGTTCTGCAGCTCTACAGGAGATACATCGATGATGTCTTCGGCATATGGCACTGCCGAATGGAAGACAACCAGCTCCTGTGGGAGGGCTTCCAAAAGGCAATGAACAACAATGAGTACAAGTTGCACTGGGAGTTCACTGCACTCTCCAGTCAGGTGGATTTCATGGACATGACAATCACCCTCACACATGACAACAAACTGGTCACCACACTGTATGAGAAACCAACCAACTTGTATCTCTATATCCCATCCCACTCCTGTCACCCACCAGGCCTCCTGTCTGGAGTGGTGTATGGCAACCTCTTTAGGATCTATACACTCTGCTCTGAGGAGACTGACAGGCTCGCCAGGACCAAGCTCTTTTTCAAGAGGCTCCTGGCCAGGGGCTACCAAGCCACCACACTTCGGCCCCTTTTTGAAGCAGCAATCACCAGGGCAAGGGCCTACACTGGCCCCCAGCCCAACAACAACAAGAGGGACACCATGGGAATCCAGTTGCTGCACCTGGAATACCATCCCAAGGATCCCCCATCAAAGGTCTTCCAGCAAGGCTGGAGGGATTGCATTGCCAATCCTACGAACCTGATGCCCTTCAAGCATCTCCGGATCCCACACACAGTGGGCCCCATGCGAGGCAACATGCCAATGGGACTGGATAGGATGATTGTAGCCTACTCCAGGCCCCCCAATCTTGGTAACCTACTGTCCTACAGGAAGGTTCCAGAACTAGATGGCTCCCCCGTATCATCCTTTGCTTTTGGATTAGAGGCCTGTCGGGGAGCCATGGCACACACACACACACACACACACACACCTACACACACACCTACACACACACCCACACCCACACACATCCAGCCCATCGAGGTATTGGATTTACGGTTTAGTTTAGCTTGGTTTCGGTCTATACCGTACCAGCTCCTATGTGTCTATTCTCGAAATCACCACAAACAGGGTACTACCCTTGCTTTTCTCACAGCCTACCCGGCTTGTATCTTTTGCCATCCCCAGCTTGCTCCACTGATGAAGCAAACAGCGAAATTCTTAAGCTCAGAATTTGGAAATCAGCAAGCAACGGTATACCCATGGATAAACATCCAATGGTAGATTCGTCGTAGATTAACTCTTAGTAGTGTCTACACACATCTCACACAACATCACACATCTCACACAGCACTCAACCTACACACACCTACACACACACACACACACACACACACATACACATACACATACACATACACATACACATACAGCGATAAAAGTGTGAAAGACCCTCAGTCCGTTGAGGGCAAGAACAAGCAGCCGGAGGCTGATGCCCTCAACTGTCAAAAAGAGATTTGATTCCGGAATCGAATCCTTAACATCTTTGGTCAACTGGACACACTAGCACGTCTCAATAGCCAGCCAGTACAGGTCCAGAGTAATGTGTCCAACAGAACACACAATATCAATCCCTATCCTTAACAAGGAAAATGTCCCTTATGTCTTTGGCAAAACCTACACCGTGTTTATCTGGACACACTAGCGAGTCTGCATAGGCAGCCAGTACCGGTACCCATGTGTAGAAACTACTGTGTCCAACAGAACACACAAGATTAATCCCTGTCCTTAACGAAGCAAGTGTCCCTTATGCGACGAAAACAGCTGCAACAAACACACACACAAACACACACACAAACACACACACACACAAACACACATACACATACAGCGATAAAAGTGTGAAAGACCCTCAGTCCGTTGAGGGCAAAAGTGTGAAAGACCCTCAGTCCGTTGAGGGCAAAATCCGTTGTTGTTGCTGCTGCTGTGTCTGTGGGTGACTTCCATCGTCTGGTGGCCTCACGTCTGTCGCACAGCAACAGTGAACTGTATTGCTGACTTAAAAAATGCACGGAGTGCCACGATTTCAGCAAGTCTCGGTCTTCTTCGTACCGTACTACAGATCGTAGTACCTGGTACTGTACAGTTGTCTACCGGTAGCTTGGGTCAAGGAAGAGAATCTGAATGATTCGATTCGATTCGATTCGATTCAATCAGAATCTCCAGCAGCGTCTCCGCGATGCACATGGTGGGAGTCGACGAAAAAGATACAATGCACGATTGGGCCCAAGGAAAAAACAGTTCAACCGCCCTCGACACGGAACTTTCGAAAGTTGTGTGTGGTCCCACTATTTCGTAATTCTCCCCTTGGCTTTAGGCGTCCCCTTGTCCAGTTCACTGTTATAGCCGAGCAATGATTCAGAGCACCAGGAATTACTTGATACCGGTAGTCATCGTTTCGCTTGTTGCTTCTCTGCAGTGCCACAGTGTTGTTGCAGGGAAAAATAAGGACATCGACAACAGAGCGACAACGTTAGCACCAACAGAGGCTCCTGTTACCCCTCACATTGGCTGTAACTTATGCGCAAACGGTCTTCCAGGCTTGAAGTGGCCTCAAGCCAAGGTTGACGCTTATGGGACAACCTGCGCAGCGCATGTTGTCAACATTTTCAAGTTTAAAGCCGATTCTTCAAGCTGCAGGTGGGAAATTATCAAGAACCGACATCGATGTTGTCAAGGAAACATGGAACCTCCAGAAATTATACAGTTCCCGACAGATCCCCCCGAAGTAGGAACTGGAAACAACGTCTGCAACATTTGCTGGAATGGAAAGTTCCCGGGAGACACGGCCATGGTCATTGCCATGTTGGATATTGGCGTTGGCGCAGCCCCTTGCGACTATTTTTATAAGATCGGACAGGATGGGCTCATACCAAAACATCTTTGTGATCCACTACAGCACTTTGCCTATGTCCCCTGTGGCTGTGGGTATGGCATTGACGTTGGGGCAGGTCCTGATCTGACGAGCACTCCCTCAACGCCGACCATGGTGCCCAGCGATATGCCCAGCCAGGTCCCTAGTGACATGCCAAGCATGGTCCCAACATCAAATCAATGGGCGCGGAAATTGGAATCTGGAAGGAGACAGCATGGCCGTCTCAAGGGGTCTACATCGCCGTAGCTACTTTTGAAACCTTGCTATGGCCTGGTAGCGATGGCCAGCAAGGCCAGAACGACCAAACAGCTGCAGAAAACCGGCATGCCGTCGATATGTAGAGTGCTTGCAAACTTATGTGCCAAGTGAAGGAAAGTCGCCGTGGAAAGATAAAAGGAAGGCAAAGCAAATCCAAGCAACCTATACTCTATAGAGCTAAATTTATTCTTCCATTGAATGTCCAGGTTGCAGAAATTAGGAGACTTTATCGAAATGATCTTAATTCTGCGTTCCGAGGCCCAGGCGTCGGGACCAGGTTAGCAGCCAAAAGCCAATGGCAGCCACCGCTGCCTGGAGTTGCCGCCAAGCTAGAGTCTAGAAACAAAAACCGCTGCCAGGAACAAGGGCTACAGAAACCCCATCAGCCTGTCACCAGAAGGCTATATAGTCAAGTCTTCTTGAAAACCTTTTTGACCTTTTAAATCTATTTTTGTATTATCCAGTTGATACCAGGCCAGGAACCAGTCAGCCACCCAAGGGTTACTGAAGCAAAACTCCTGCAATAACACCTAAACCGGGGCTAGAGAACATGCATGTGAAAATCGGATGCATGTCAAAAAGTTAGTTGGTGGTGGTGGTGGTGGTTGCATTGGAAATGACAGAACCCATCACCATTTTGAAAGGTTGAAAATGGTTGGCCAAAATAGCAAGACGCATTTCTGGAGTCCCATACACAATTTTCTCATATTTGAAGTACATGTCATTTGGCTGTTTGATTGGGTTTGGACACTTTGCACCACATTCACGAAGCTTGGGTAGGTTTCCATCTGCAAGTCCTGCAGCTGGTGGTGACCCGTCCTTGCGTGGTGTTTCATGGCAGAAAAGCTCACACACACCCCTCAGAATTTGTTCACGACCTGTTTTCTGGAATGCATCAGGGTCATTCTTTCCTTCTGAGCCAAAGTCAAGCCCATCATAGTATGGAAGGTGAACTCCATAACGCATCGCTGGGGTGTCACTTTCTTTCCTCAAATCAAAAGGAGAACCCTTCCAATGACGCACCATCCAATTCCCTAGCACACAAAATTGGGACATCCTCTGCCAAATTCTACCCTTGTCGGCCTTCCACAGATCCCTCCAGAGTTCTGTAGTCTCCTTCTTGTTGCCATGCATTGCTTCAACATCCGCTCGATACTGAGGAAACATGGCTCGAGGCCAGACTGTGGGCAGCTTAATCATAAAATTCCAATTATCCGAGTCACCATTAAACATCCACTCATCGCCCTTGCTCCACATTCCCTTCTGATAGGTTGTCTCTGCCATGATGTAAGGCGGAGCACCCTCTTTTTCAAGGTTGAACAACATATCCGGGGTGATGGGGGTATGGAATGCTGTATCTGTGTCCATAATCGCCACATACTCAGACGACCCTTGCTGCTCAGTGTACATGTTGAAAAGCTGGTTCCCCAGTCTGCCTGGCATACCATACTCAAATGTTGAATACATCACTTCAACCCAAGATGGGATGTTTTGTCTAGCAAACTCTTCATCACCAACATCGAGAACAACAAGAACACGACCTGCACACCTGGGCCAGTAGAGTTCTAGACTCTCGATCATGACAGCCAGTTCCCATGGACCATGTTTTGCCCCAGCACGACAAACCAGGTCTACACTGTGTGGGAAGGGGTTGACCACCTCGTATTCTGCCAGCAACCGGGCAATGGACATTCCACTGGGGTGATCAAATGTCAGGGCACCAAAGTTGGAGCCTCCCATCATAGTAGGCTTTGGTTCGTCCCAGTTGGCGAGTCTTTTACGTGCACACTCTCGGCGGTCTTCAACTCCACCTGTGCTTGGATTAATGACCTTGTCTTGGATGGCTGGAAATTTGTACCCACCTTGTTGGAGAGCAGTGAGCCATTCTTGGACTGCTTTTACATCTGTCATTTCAATATACTGCCTTTTGTATAGTTCAATCCAAAGATCTTCAATTCGTGCTTGTAATGAATCGCCCGCACTTCCCTCTGTGCTGGATCTCCAGCTGTCCAAAAATTCCAGCAATGCTTCTGTACGGAGATACAAATGCTGTTCGGCAACAAAGTCACCAGCATAGTCATGAGCATTACGGAACTGAGTGACCATGGGTGGACTGTACAAAACACGGGCTGGTGCCTCGAGCTCCCTCAATAGACGCTGAACTATGTAAGATCGCCAGATATCACTGACTCGTCCATTAACAGTAATGGGCAAGTACAATCCCCAAAATGCCACAGGGAAGTGCAGAGTTGCTTGTGCATTATAAGGGCTGTAGAGTTTGGAAGGCACTTCAATTGTCATGGTCTTGGATCTGTCCATGGCAAAATGAAATGGCAATGGTCGACTCAGCCGGTAGATAGCATCTACATCAGGGTCATTGTCACAAACAGACTGGACCACAGCAATATTGGATCGCTCCAATTCTTTGATCAACAGTGGACCTCTCTGTCCCCTGGCTTCTACGCTGCTGATAAGAGACAAAGGCATTCCACGAGGCCAAGAATCCGAGACAGAGGCTCCCATGACTGGGAAAGGATTGAATGCACGTCCCTCATAGGACATGGCTGTGCTGATATGCTTGATCATGTGTCGTTCCCTGTTTTCGTCAGCAAAGGCTGCCATTAGTTCTTCACCAGAAAACATGTCACCTTGCAACTCACTGCGCAGTGAGACCAAATTGTCGTCATCAAAGTCAAAAATGGTAGTGGCTCCCATCCAAATGGCGTAGAGATACCCAATATTCTTGCGTGCAAAACTCCGGTAGGGTGTTTGTTCCACAAAGGGGACCATCTTGGCGAGTTGCTCCTGCGCGGGGACAGACAAGAATCGAACCTTTGTGCCGCCACCAGTGTTGTTCCAGCCAGCCATGTCCATGTAGTTTTTGGGTGTCTTGGTATCTGCCACCACCACCATGCACCATTGGGTAAGCTGATTACCGACGCGTTTGATGGCATCGGCTGGTTCATATATTGTAGTGACCACAGCCCACTGGTTGCATTTTTGGTAAAGAGGCTCTCTTTGTAGAAAGGAGGGCAAGTCCTCTGGAGCTGTACTGTTGCCTCCTGTTTCCATTTTGCTTTTCTTCTCTTCCACTTTGGTTGGGGCTCTGGCTGTCGGACCGAATCGGCGTTGTCCATCAAATTCTCTCACGGGGTCCCCCTTGAATCGACTGGCAGTGGCAGCACTGGTAGCGACATTGGTAATCACGTCCCCCAAAATGCTGGCTGTGGATGCCGGTGGACAGGCAGCAACAATTCTGTCCTTGAAGGAAGCATCGGCCATGTCCAATTGATCCTTGAAATTCTCCAGAACAACCACAACGAGCCTCCAGCTCACAAGGATTGCCAGGATTGTCACCATGAACCTCAACCGGGTGAACTTGCTAGTGTCTCCATTGTTGTTGTTTGTTTCAGCCAGCATGGTCTTGGTTTAGCAAAAATGACCTGCAGCGAAGTCTTGGTATCCTCTTCTTGAACTATTCCAATACTCTGGGACCCCTTTATATATATACCTGTACCGTGTGCTTTTGGTAACCTCCTCGGAAAGATGGGTGCGTGGAACCGCGGATTGTTTTTGCTTTGAACCTGCTGCAGTGCAACCGCGAATGGTTGCTGCCTCAAAATTTAATGGGAAACGCACAAAAAAGTGATAGACGTCGACCACTGAAAAAGGAAGGCTCAAGGCACTTTTGGTGCCAGTTCGACAGTAAAGGAACCAAATGTACCGCGCAAGAGAATATTGGCAGTTGAATAACGGTCAATGCTCGACCAGCTCAGCCTGCTTTTGGACAGCCTCCACCCTAATTTGGCCTGAATCCAAACCAAAAATAAATGAGGTGCGGCCTGACGTCAAACGGATCACTTCAGAATGCAGCCCGTCTCGATCACTTTGCAAGAAGCTCTCGATCACTCTCAATGGTACGGTCGCGGTACGACTGTAGCACAGCGGAGGAGGTCTTTATAGTGAAGACCTGACAACCACAGCGAGCTGGTAGCTTTTAGAATAGTAGCAGTGTCATTGGAATGGTCCCATCTTCAGAAGAAGAAGATGGACCAACCACAAGCAGGAGTTAGCAGAACCTGAATGATACTCGAATCGAATCCAGAACTCGATCGGAATTCCCAGAACACATCACTTCCACCATCGCATCCAATCGAATCTTCCTTTGATTAGCTTCCTTTGACCAAGTAACATGTCGTCGCTCGACGTCAATGACGACAAGACGGAGACTATGTGTCCCGTCTGTTGGGAATCCATCCACGACGAAAAGCCCGTGGCAGTGGCGACGGGCTGTGGTCATATTTATCACCAAGCGTGCACCCATGCCAACAATAAAAAGAATAATTGTTTGATTTGTCAACAACCGACCAAAGCATTTGTCGACCTCTTTATTCGACTTCCCAACGTGGTCAACAGCTCTCTCCGTCGCAGCAAAAATCTGGTCACCAAGTTGGAACATGAGTTTCAGGAGGTCAGTCGTCGAACACAGCTCTCGTTGGAAAAGGAAATTGCTCGACGGGAGTTTGAACAAACCTGGTTGAAAGAAGAACGACAGCTTAGGCTAACGGCACGGGGAAAAGTGGAAGAACGACATGCCAAGGCGGTGCAAACTTTGGAAAACAATCTGAAGGAACTCCAAGTGAACTATGAACGAAAACTCAAAATGATTGAAAGGAAGAAAGAACGACGAAGAAGCACAAACAAACAACATGACAATCCACGTTTTGGACATTCTTTGAGGTCTTTGCAAGATGAGCCAGTGTTGGACAGGTCTGCTACGAATCAAGAGGAAGACCAAGAACAGCAAAGTTCGGAACTGAATGACCAATCTTCCTCTGCAGGTTTGAGTGACAGCCACACTGACAATCAGGGCAGACAAGAGACAACACCAACTGTTGAATCAGGTGGTCAAGGCACTATCAATAGCGAGGTCAACGCTTGGCCTCAAAGTTTGGTTGGGGTCACCAGCAAACAATACGAACAAAGCTCGTCAACAAATCAAGTGGCTAATCCCACAGAAGCTTCCAGAAGTGATGCAATCCTTGATGTTGCCGCGCAACAAACTCGCAGCAATTATTCCAGCAGGCAAACGCGCGCTGATTTCCATCACAGCAAGCAGCAGCAGCAGGCGACCAAGCCTCCTCCAACAGGCACACGGAACCGGAAATCATTTTCAAAATACAAAGCCTCTGCTCCGACAATTGCGTCATTACAACCAAAGCCCGCGGTTGCTTGTGCTGCACCAGCATGGTCGGACGAAGACAGCAAGGTCCCTGGGAACAATGACACCAAACCTCCATCTCCAGCATCATCCAAGAGTCTCCCTTCGTCGTCTTGCAACAAAAAGAGATCTCCACCCTCGAGAAAGCGAAAGGGACAAAGTACTACCACTGTTGCTACGGGAAAGTTGTTCTGTGATGACTCGTCATGGGAAGATGCTTCGACGGCCAGTGCTGTGCTGAGTGTTGCCGAGTATGAGCGCCAGAGGCTCCAAGCAGAGACAGCCTATTTACAACACCAAGCAGAGCTCGTAGAATGGGAACGTCATCAGGCTGAAATGGAGTTGGAGCAAGATGAGCTCGCATTGCAGCGTCGAGAACAAAGAATCCGATTGGAGCGGACTCGCTTGGAAGAGTCCTTCTTTTCTATCCAGCGCCGAGTTGAACAATCCAAGCAAGACGCGAGGGATCGCCAGAAACTCACAGCAATGGAAGAAAAGTTCGCCAAGACAAACGTAGCGCGCGTCAAAGAGGACGAACGATTCCAGCAAGAGTTGGATCATCTCAAGCTAGACGACATTCAAATCACGGAACGAGAAACTTGGGAAAAGAGACGACAAGAGAATGAGAAAGTGCGACTCAAAAAGGAAGTCGAAGCACTCGTGAAAGTTATGAACAAATTGGAGCGCGCCAAGGAACTGGTCAAGCAGTTCGAAGAACAGTCGTCTTCGTCCCAAACACAGGACACTTGCGTGGTTTGCTTTGACCCCTTGGTGAACGAAGAATCCGAGTTGGGCGTGGCCGTTCCCTGTGGCCATTCATTTCACACCAAGTGTTTTTCGGGCTGGGAAAAGTCGAAACGTCGACGTGGTTCATCAGCTTCTTCATCCGTTCCATGCCCTCTTTGTAACGTTGGCACGAACCTGTGTGTCTCCATCCGACTGACGCGTCCATCATCGTCATCCTCGTACTGTGCGTCAGCCTCGTCGGCGTCTTCCCTCGCAAGGCATTTCCAAAAAGAAGAAGGCCGATGGCAGAGGCGTAGGTTGACAAGGGCTGGACTGGCGAGAGAAGCTTTGCCTTAGCTGTTCTACAGTACCGTACGTAAAGTTGTAATGCACGTTGTAGCTGCACATTAATAGCGTTGCCTGAAGTATGCATCCCCGTACGTGCGGTTCACACTGCCACGAAGCTCCCCTCAAACAACGTACGGTTCGAGACAATAAGCACCAGCACAAGCGCCGACATGGAAATCGAAGCGGCAAACCAATGAACCCAACCACCACAAGACAGCGCTTGCCCACAACGAGCCAACATTGGAAAGGAGCTTCCCAAACCGTGCGCGGCAGCTACCCAATGCTACGGTACGGGTCTTTTGGAAGAGCTTGGCTACCAGTAACAAGCAGCAAAAGAGTTTCACTCTTTTTGATATTGAGTGTGTGATTGGGTTCGCTACTACTAGAGTTACACGGGCTGCACCACAACTTGATTGATCCATCTAATTAAAAATACCCTTTGGCTTGAGGTCATTGAACACACTCTCAAATTGTCGTAGGATGAAACTTCGTTGCAGCTTGCTAGCCGCAGTCAGACAGTTGTTTTCAGGTGTCCAGGGCGACGCTAGGAGTTCCACTGCGACAAGCTTTTCCAGGTGACTCAGTTCGCCACTCTTCTTAAACTCATTTGCCATATCATCCAAGACCGCCTTGTTCATCTCAGGCGATTTCAGAAGCGTCTGAAAGTCCTTGTTGATTCCATTCGCCTTGGCCCACTTCATGGCAGCAGCCTCTCGCAATTGCAAGAGTGCCACAGGTCGATCCATATCCCCATCACCGTAGCAGCAAATGCCTCCATTCACCGAGTCTACAAAGGTGGAATTGCCGTAAACCATTTCCATCTTTTCCAGCGCGATGTATTCTCCACCCTTGAGTTTTACTAGATTCTTCTTTCGGTCCACAATCTTGAGACTGCCATCTTTGGTCCATTGCCCAATGTCACCGGTGTGGAACCAGCCGTCTTTCTCGAAGGCTTCAGCAGTCACGTCTGGCATCATGTAGTATCCAGACGATAGGGGGGTTCCTCGTGCAAGGATTTCTCCTCTTCCCCAGATGGGATCACCATTGACGTCCAATCGATCTGTTGTCAAGTACGGTTGGCCTGCCTTGTCAATAAAGTCAGGACAGGATTCCAACTTGGCCTCTATTCCGGGGACCGGACCTCCTGCAATGCCGTATCTGACATCATCCGGTTCCTGGGCACTCAAGGCTGCAGCCGTCTCTGTCAAGCCATATCCCTGCATAAACTTGACACAAAATCCGATGCGGCAAAACTCCTCCACTTCTGGATTGAGAGCACCTCCTCCCGACACAGCGTACCGAAGCCGTCCACCAATGTTGGCGCGGAACCGAGAAAAGATGAGCATTTTCAAAAAGGGTGTATCAAATCCGTGGGAGAGAGCAAACTTGCGCCAGGCAAAGGCCACCTTGACAAGGAATTGTCCCAAAATTGTACGTCCCTGGATGCGTCCTTCGGCAATTTTCTTCATGGTATCCCACACTTTTGGCACTCCACACATGAGTGTTGGTTTAAAGCACTGAAGAGCCCCCGTTGGATACGCGCCTGTGGGGGACAGTGTCTTGTGATCGGCATACCCAATAGATGCGCCCATGTACAGAGCAAAGAATTCAATCATCATTTCTAGAATATGTGCCAGGGGCAGGTAACCAACGTGTGCTTCTTCGCCCGGCCGAATGGGATCTTCAAATCCTGACAAGAATGTAGTCGCTGATGCGGCCGCGGCAACCACGGCGGAATGCTTGAGAATGACGCCCTTTGGAACGCCCGTAGATCCTGAAGTGTACATACAGACGGCAGCCGTCTCTGGTTTGGGTGGTACGGGAGGATATGCTTCCTGATCACCAGATGCCACAAAATCATCAAAGGAGATGATGGTGACACCGGGAGGTGCATTGGGAAGTTCCACATGATCGTCTGGCCCTATCATATTGTTGGTATAGACAATAGTTTTGAGTGTTGGGTTTTCCTTGCAATTGTCGACTAGGGCTTGGACAGATCGTTTGTTGCACAAAATGACGCTGATGTGATTGGTAGCAACCACCTGGGTGACCGCATTCATTCCCAGTGTAGCATAGACGGTACAGACGGTGATGGATTGTGTGAAGGCTCCCACAGCAGCAATCATCCATTCGGGACACGAGTTTTCAAAGATGGCAATTCGACAAGGCAGTGTCATTTCCTCTAGATTGGTGGTGGATGGAGCCCCATGCAAACCCGCAGCGCAGAGGGCAGCTCCAAACTGGAATGCTTCCTGCTGGACTTGTTTGTAGGTTCGCCATGCGACATTGTTGCCATTGAAATGTCTGATTTTCTTGTTGCCCTTGTAATAGCCAAGATATTCTCGCTCTCCCATGCATGGATTGTCGGGATAAGTTTCAAAGCCATGTAGGGCCAAATCATAGCATGTCTCGTGGCCCTCAGCGGGAACAGAATTCAGGTTGGAAGAGGTGTTGGAATAGTGTACGCGGTGGACCTGGTCGCCATCCACTGGAAGTGATCGCATCTTTTCTTCGCCACTGCCAGAGTATTTCTTGATAATGCCCAACCAACCACCCGTTACAATGGTAACCTGTCATGACATCCAATAGATCATGAAAAGAGGAAACACAAAGGCATGAGAACATAATATCAAAAACAAAAAACTTCCCAGCCAAACAACCAATTTGCTCAATTGACTCACCAAAATATCAATGGCCAGCAAAAGCACCGCAAAGGGGGTGAACAGAATATCGGTTAACAGACTCATTGTTGTTGTGTTAGTTCTTTCGTTACTCGTCAAATAAATTTAAAATGATAAAGGGATCCCTCTGACTTGTAGTAAGCGCAAGCAAGAGCAACAACCAACCACAACCACTGGCGGCGCTATGGTCTGCAAATAAATAACTAACTGGCAGGGATAGGAAAGGAAAGCAAAAGTCCTTGGGCTTCTTCTTGATGATGATGATCTGATGGTCCTTTTCTCCTCCTGTCATTGAACACTTGCCGCCAAGGTCGCCAATAACGAGACCACGTTGCTCGCCAAAGATTTCCCGGTGTTCAGTCCGGCGAGAGCATTCCCACGGTCCCACCCCGTTTCCCTGTTTCGCCCCCTTTTCCTCTCAATTTTGGTCGTTGGTGGGATCGCTGGTACGGCGTACCATACTAGTAGCACTACGGTATGCATAGCCACGCTGGCTAGCTAGACCACATGACAGTATTTAGGCCAAACGGGTTGAGCTTGATCGTGTGTGTTGCACCGAACTAACTTGACATCCTACCGGTACCGGTGGCAAGGATTGATTGAAGAATGCTGGTTGACAAGCAACCCGGACTGAAAACGTGATGGAGGACACAAAGCTACTGCTGCATTCGACAGACTCAAGCAAACTGAACTGGATGCAGAAAAGGACGTGGTAGAACAGGTAGGACACTCCCACGGACCCAGTCCCAAACTCTGCATCTTCTGTACCGAATAAGCCTGCCCCGCCCCCTCGGTTTCCGTAGAACGTGCCGGTAGACGTGTAGCTAGACCCCCTGCTACTCAAACTTGTGTTTCTCTCTCTCTCCCTCTCCAAGCAAACACTCCTTTATTGGCATGTCGTCGACGATACCGTTCGGTGCACGGTCTTTTACGGGTGGTACTTGGTACCGGGGGGTGCCTCAAACCAACTCTGCATAACTGATTATGTCCTCTACTGTCTTCCACTACCGGAAGACGCCTGGTGGCTCGAGAGGTGGTTTGTTCCAGGTGGTTGCCTAGCTAGTTATTGAGGCTGCTATAGCAGCTAAACGAGAAAAACAAAAAAGATGGTGGTGGTGCAACTGCTAACTCTAGATTAAAATTTCCCATTCCCATTGCCACAGATTGTAGAGTAAACAGCAGAGAAGAAGCCTGAAAGAAACTCTTTGCTCTGAAGTAAAACTCTTCAAACCAAGCAGAACAAAGCAAAAAGTCTCTATCAGGCTTCGATCCTGCTGCCGCCGTCGCCACCAACTAGCTAGTAAGTGACATGGTGGGGAATGCCGTGCACCTGGAACCCGATTTGGGTAAGCACGGCCACCGCCTCAAAGCACAGCTTGTGCTTTGCCCTTTCGTGCCGCCATGGTGTGGCCGTGCACTTCCACTTCTTGATTTCGCTGTTGACATTCTCATGGCGGGCCCGGGCACGTGCCTTGGCACGAGCATCACGATCGGTGAGAAAGACGTGCTTGTGGCGGCATTTTGGGTCACCCCGGTAGCCAGCATCGCACTCCACCATCTCACCAGGAAGTAACCGATGCTTCAGATTGCGACGGAAGATGCTCAAGTCATTCCAGGTGCCACATTTGAAAGGACCATTGATCCAGACAATGTAGCCGGTTTGGATGCAGACGCCAACCTCATAGCGATAACCAGCACACTTGTGCTTGAAGCAGTGCCACTTCTTGGAGAAAGGGGAAGGTTCCAATAGCATGCAATCAGTGCAGTCCACAGTCAACTTGCACGTCCGGCCTTTGTCTGCGAGGAATCGACCTGACAACTTCATCTGAAACAAGACAGGTTAGCAGCAGAAAGGAGCGAGCAATTGCAGGGCATGAGCCAGCGACTTACCACTCGAGGAACCAACCCACAAAGCAAGGGAATCACAATCCAAATAAACTTTCGAAAGGTGTTTTCGACCACTCCTGCCATGTTGAATGTGACATTGCCCCGGAACTCAGCAAGGGTATCTCCCTTTGCAAGCAGCGTTGGAAGGACCAGAATACGGATTTGGCAGTCCGCATTGCCACCGAGCTTGATGATGTGTGCTGGATGGACACTGCTGCTGGTGTTGATTATGAGAAAGAGGACGTGACTGTCCCCTGGCCGGATGGGCGGAAGAGTGAGCTTGTGGCTCTTGATCCATGGGCGCTTGGCCTCCGTGAACGCCCAGTTCGCGATCATCAATCCCTCCATGAGATTGATCACATTAGCTCCACTGGCAGTGGTGCCACGGTTGCTCCATCCTATGTGGTCACTGTGTTCTTCAAGGAAGACAGGCCTCGCCAGTTCCGTGGAAAAAGTGGTGGCCTCCGCATTGATGGATCGTGGGACGAATGTGATGACGACGACTACCATGATTTTGACAATTTTGGTGGTGGAGGTGGCCGTGCCAAGAAGCCGCGTACCACCCCCAAGAAGGGTAGCGGTGATGGTGATGATGACGTTGACATGGATGGAGGCAAGAAGCCCTCTACTCCCAAGAAGCGGGCTGCCACTCCCAAGAAGCCTCCTTCTTCTTCCTATTTTGGCTTCATGTCTTTCCTCTTTGGCTAAGACAACAACAACAACAACAACAGTGATGGGTTAGGGCAACTGCAACTACAACAATGACAACAGCAGCAAGTGGTGATGGGGGCAATGAATTAATGAATAGGGAAATGCATAGGCTAACATTAGTAACAGAAACAACATTGAAAAAGTTGGTTGTGGATATCTTAGGACAGTTTAGGAAACAGTCAGCCGAGTGGAGTTGGTTTGAGGCACCCCCCCCCCCTGTACCAGCACCACTGTACCAGGTACATTGGCACGCAGACGGAAGTACGAGACTCTCCCAAACTTTCGGAAGTACTGTGTTTTAATAGCTCTGCTGGTTAATATTAACCGTTCAAAGTTGAACTGCTTTTTTCCTGCTTTTGTTTATCAAAATTGACAAAACCACCAAGAAAATAATGACCTTATGCTTTTTGAATTTGGAGAAATCAACGGATCGTGAAAAGACACCGCGAGACACAAGACACAACGCCTGGAGCGACACAAGCTACTCGCAACCCAACCACTGGATTTGACACTTGAGTTTTCATTCTATGCTTGTACTATACTCCTTTTCACTGGCTTTTGTGCTGAAAATGATTAAACAGTGGTATTCCGTTCAAACGTGATAGTACAACTGGACAGGGACTCACTGGGACTTCCACTCACGAGTCGTGCTATCCAGTGGTTGGATGGATCCAGTTGTTGAGTGGCGAGTAGCAAGCAACAAAACCAATGCACAAAGTCGACAGAGATTCGATTCGATTCTTCCTTCCCGTCATTGCAAGCCTCCTTTGGAACACCTCCTCTCTATGCATGGACAACCAATCGCGCAAGTCGCTGGGGGTGAAGTGTATATTTGACCACATGTTGTAATATTTGAACGCCCTGTACAGAGCAGAGCAATGCGGCAGGGACAACACTCCAGGGGAAGATCCGTCATCAGGGGCTCTTTGGCTGTTGTGGCTGCTTTATGTGTCTTCTTCCTGATTGCCTCGAGCAGCATGCTGAAAGTCGACCCGTATCCTCAGCCAATGGACATTGAAGAAAACAACGCAGAAAGTAACACCGAAAGTAACGCCGACAGCAGCCGCGACAACAGCCCCGACAACAGCCCGAAGTATCCCCAGCCTCTGATTATTGAAGAAAACGACCCCGAAAGCAACTCAAATACTGCCTCGAGCAGCAGCACGCTGAACGTCGACCCGTATCCTCAGCCACTGGGCATTGACGAAATCATCCCCGACAGTAGTGACCCCGAAAGCGACCCCGAACGCAGCGTGCTGAACATCGACCCGACTCCCCAGCCACTGATCATTGACGAAATCATCCCCCACAGCACCCGCAAACGCGGCTCAAAGCATATCTTTTTGTGCGTCACGGGACAGCTGCAGCGATTGATTCTCGCCAGAAAGATGCAGACCTTGATGGATCCCTTGTCCAAGGATGGCTACACAATTCACGTGGCTTTGCTGTTGACAGATGACAAAAATCAGACGTTCTTCACAAACAACGAGACCATCACAACAACGTCGGAATTGCCATCGTTCGCCAAAGCTGTGGAAAAATTGGAATCCCGAGGCTACCATGTGCTCACACGAAATGCAACTACTCAGAATCCAGACCCTGCCGTGTCTTTCCTCTACATGGGACTCTTGGATAAGAAAAATCTCGGAAAAGCATTTCAAATGGTACGAACGAAAAATCACGCGCGGCAGTTTGAAACCCTCAACGAATGCTACGATGTCATGAAGCGTGCCGAAAAGGAGTACCATATGACTTACCAACTCGTCATGAGGATTCGAGACGACGCTGCATTCTTGGAGCCGTGGGATTTGAGCCAAATCATGCCAGTTACAAAGAAAACCATCATGAGCAGCGACTGCCGGTGTTGGGCTGGGATGAACGATCGATTTGCTGTCGTTTCTCGTGATGCAGCCAAACCTTATTTCAGCCTCCCTTTCCGTCGTTACGAAGCGATTTCGAAACCTGGCAACTGCACGAAATCTACTCCAGAGTATTGTTTGCAGGGTGTACTCAACCCTGAGACTTTTCTCATGCAGACCTATGAGAATCACGGCCTCAGTGTCAACAGGACACGACGACTTCGCCATATTTTGAAATACGTTATCAACAACACAAAGACCGAGCTCCCTGAAAAGGAGATCCGAATCAAATGCCCTGGTGCGAAAGGAGGATATGAATACGCGTTTGCAGAAAGTACAAAATATCCCGGCAAATTGAAGATCGTGTCCGTTAGAGTTCCTCCCGAGCCAACAAAGGCACCAAGGAGACGCCCAAGGACTGTAATCAAGAATCAACGGACGACAGACACAAAGGCGGCGCGTGAAGTTGTTGGCGTTTACAGAGGACGCAGGCAGGAGGGAATGAACGAAAACAAAAAGTCTGAAAAAAATAAGGATAAAAACGTGGAGGTGGATAGAACAAGACGGGATGTCTTTGAGGAGGCAATGTTGAGACACAAACGAAAGTTCGAGGAAGCAAAGTTGAAAAAACCGGGCCGACAATGATGCGGGAAATCTTTGCGGTAATCTACACAGACGACATTCTGGAGGAAAGATGTAATTGAAACAAGAGCGCCATGTCTAACAATGTCGAATGTCATGTCTACCAGTAGCGCATTGCTTGTTCTGTCACGAATCATTTCGGCAGCTCATCATATATTTGAGAGTTTTCGTCCCCTTGCCAGCTTTTGTCAACTAGCAATCCAACTAATCCATTACTCTAGCCAGGCCCCCTTATTCGGTTCCATTGGGGCGATGAATCGATCCCTGGGCGCCGGTAGAGCTAGTCTCAAGTTGCTTTGAATCTTCAATCGTCCTCTCTGGCTAGACCGCTTGCCCGGGCTCTGTCGTATTGTTGGTTCTACTTTGTTGTATTCTTTTGTTTCTCACTTCTGTCTCCTTGGTTACGACGTAATCTCTCAGAGTTTGCTTGTCTGGATCTTGTGGAGCATGCCAGTTTGGGATAAAGGTTTTTATCAACGCCCAAACTCCACTGGTTTTTTGTATGGCATTGCCAACTCCAAGCAGTGCTGTTTTTCTTCTTGGATTTGGTGTCTCAACAGATGGATTCAACAAAATATGAACAGCTCTCTTTTACAAATAAGTCTATGCTGTGGTAGGCATTGAGAGCATGTTCTCTTGAGGGAAAGCTTTGGTTGATTGACGCATTCCTTTCTTCCCTTGTCCAAATACAATCAACTAGCTGAAGCACCACAATGAGCTTATTCTTATACCTCCTCTCGGCTTTGAAAAACTTGTCATTGACGTGTTGCCATAGGGAATCGAGGTGAGGATTTGATTGACCAAGACTTTTGAAATGCTTTGAGTCATATATATCCATCATCACAAATTTGACGGTGCTCTCAGGTCTTGATTTCCCTCCTCTCCTGGAAGAGCCCGAATCCGCAACCCTGGTGTCAGGTAGGCGAGCTTGAGTTGGGTGTTGTGGCAGTCGGGCTGCAGGTGGTTGAGCAGGTGGTGCACCTGGTGGTGGTAATGCTGGTAGTGGTGGAGCTTGCTGTACCCTAGGAGGTGGCTCTTACCTAGGAGGTTGGTTGGGTTGTCGTCTCTGTGGTTGTAACTGCAGCCGATTCAGTGACTGAGAAATTGCTCGAACTGACATCAGAATATCATTCTGATTTCCAACATTTCTGTGTTGGCCCGATTTGATATCCTGTATGTCTGCTTTGAGTGACTGGATTTCCTGACGGTTGGCGTCGAGCTGCTGTTGCATGGCATTTCTTTCGCGCAGCAGTTCTCCCAAATTGTGATTCATCATGGCAAGCTCTTGTTTAATACCCGGAGAAGCCACAGATCCACCAGCATTAGCCACAGATTCTTTGGCATTGGTATCTAGCATGGTTGGACAGCTCTTTCCAGTTCTTTTGAAATCTTGCGGGACCAGTGTGTTAGCTTGGCACTAGCATCGGCATCACAAGTTGCCAAGTCAGAGGCAACAGTAGCACCAATCATTTTCACAACATAGGGATGCCGGTTTCCATATTTCCTCTCGCAGTGCCGGAAGTTCTTAATCATCACTGCTACAACCACCAACAGTAGGTTGCGTAATCGACCATTGGGACCTTGAAACTCCGGGAGGGATATGACAAAGAGGATGTTGATAAAATTGGTAGCTTCACTGCATTGAATATCATGTTCGGGTCAGGATTTTGATACAAGAGTTGAATATCAGGTAGAGTTGGGACGATTCTGGGCTGTGGGTAGCCTGCTAAAGCCAAAATTGCTGGGACAATAGCAACCAAATAAGTCCAAACATACCCATCACTGTTAGCCCCTGTTTTGCATCCACCAAGGGCACTGGCTTCTTCTGTTTGTACCAAGGAATTCCATTGAAGCAAAGACATTGCACCAGTTCGTAGTGACTTGACCGAATAACATTTCTTCAGCTGCTCGGGCACCAAGGTTCTAATTAGAGTGGTCATCTGTTTAGCGGCGGTATCATCTGTAATCTCGTGTAAATCAGGGAATACAAACTTTGCCATCCTGTATTGCGGAGAGTTGGCGTCAGCCATATCATTTGGATTCCGGGAGAGGCCATGGTTGACTGACCAAAAACAACCCAGCATAAAGAAAACACAGAGCTCCGGGCATTGAAAATCCATGCAAAAACCAGAAGGATTGGTTTTGAGCTCTCTTCTTTGGAACCACTGCATAAATAGAACATTGAAATAAGAACACATGAACATCTTGTCATATGATAGGAATTTCACTTCTCCTCCTCTGCCTATGCCGTTGAAGGTAAATAGAAGCTTACAAAGCTTGGTGAATTCTCCCCTGGCAAATAACTGTTGAGCCATTGAGAACAGATCTACAGATCTTGACATTTCTCTCAAATCGTTGTTTGGAAAATCATTGGAAGGTAGGGTTCTGGTTCTTTCGCTGTGCTGTCTAGGAATAGGAATGATTCTTTGAATACATCCAATTCTCTGCTACCAATCACCAGAGTTTGATCAAGATCTCCTTCCAGCATTTTGATCATCTGAGTGACATCCTCGTTAGTGAACAGCTCTGGGCCATTTCTTATGACTTCGTGATTCTCAAATGTCCTTTTGAGATCAAGAATAAGGGTTCGTACATACTTGGTCAAAGCTGAAAGAGCATAAGGCTGGTTGTTTGCCTTCAACGGTGGATTCTCTCCCAACTGGGTACAAAACCCGGTTAGAAGGACAAGGGAGTTGTCGCCTGCCAAATCTCCAGCACCGATATCTTTATATTTCAATTCCATAAATCTGTCCCATAGCTTGATTGCAGCATTGAGCATATTAGTATTTTCAGGGATTGCTCCACCCCTTCTCCAGTTCGCTTGCTGCCCATTCATCATTGCTGTTGTGGTGGTACCAGGTACCGGTTCTAGTAGTCTTTTTCTTTGTGGTACAGTACGATACCTCTCCCTCCTTTGCCTCCTTTCCTCTTTTGGAGGTTGTCGGAACTTTGCGCCTTCTTGCAAGGGTGGATAAATAATCAAATCCACTGGCTTACATCACTGAGTCACTGTCAAGAACTCAGCCCGACGGATCAGGGCTGCCTCATGCATGGCATCGATGGCAAAGCATGCAGTTGTGACGATCGACTCATCAAGATACATTGGATGGTGAAGTGGCTATCATACTAAGCTGGCTGAAGATCCGTGAGCTTCCTACATGCAGAGTTTTCTTCGTTTTGTCCTCTTACTTTTACTATTCGGGACAACGACTACAGTACCAAAATGTCGCACTCAACGTTTGTCTCCGTGCATCTGATTTGGGCTGCCGCCCTCATTTGTTCCATTTCTGCCTTTGGGTTTTCGGCGCAAAGTTCCAGGACCAACCGTTGTCCCCAGAAGCTGCAAGCTGCCCCATCTTCGTCCATAACGACAACTCCATTGGAAGAGATGAAAGATGAATACGATGTCATTGTGATTGGCTCTGGCATCGGGGGCCTTTCCTCTGCAGCCATGCTATCATTGTATGGATATTCTGTTGCCGTCCTGGAATCACACTATTCACCGGGAGGTGCTGCCCATGGATTCAGCGTGAAACACTCTACTGGAGCCTACCACTTTGACACGGGTCCAAGCTTCTTTTCTGGCTTGAATCCCAATTTGAAAGCCAAAGCATCCAATCCACTCCGAACAATCCTGGATGCCATTGGAGAATCCGTAGAATGCGTTCCCTACACTTCCTTCGGTTTGAAGTTCCCGGAAGGGGACTTTTTGCACACGGTCAATTTTGGTGGGAACAATCCAGATGCTGGCAACACTCAGTCACCGTTGGAAGAGGTGGCAGGACCCGATGCCACGGCAGAATGGCAGCGGTTGATGGACGCCATGAAACCACTTGCAAAAGCGGTGGATGCCATGCCAACGGCAGCTCTGCGAGGAGATCTCAGCGCCCTCGTCACGGTGGCTCCATTTCTCAAAAACTTTGCCCTTCTGAATCCACTCGAGAATCTCAAATTGACACAACCCTACTCCAACATTCTCGATCAGGCATCTGTCAAGACACCCTTTACGCGCAATTGGCTGGACTTGTTATGTTTTTGTCTGAGTGGATTGCCGGCCAATGGAACCATCACGGCAGAGATGGCTCTGATGATGGGTGAATTCTACGATCGCGACGCCATCATGGACTGTCCCAAGGGTGGCGCCAATGCCATTGTCGATGCACTGGTGAGAGGCATTACCAAGCATGGCGGTCAAGTCTTTTGCAATTCACATGTACAACAAATTCTACTGAATGACAACAACAATAATCGAGCTACAGGTGTGAGACTGAAACGAAAGGATCGTGCAGTGACTGCCAAGCAAGCTGTTGTTAGCAATCTGTCCGTGTGGGACTTACTGCGCAGTGGTATACTCGAAACATCAGCATTACCATCATCCTTTGTCCAACAAGGACTAGAAACACCACTCGGCAAGAGTTTCATGCATTTGCACATTGGATTCCAAGCAACGAAGGAAGAGTTGGATCGGTTGCAAGCACATTACTTGTGCATAGAGGATTGGTCCCGTGGCGTGGAGGCCCAAGACAACGCAGTCTTGATATCCATCCCATCCGTACACGACAATTCGTTGGCACCCGCTGGGCATGCCGTGTTGCATGCCTATACACCTGCCACGGAAGAATATGAACGATGGACCCACTTGAGAGACAAGCGACAGTCTCTCGAATACCAACAACTCAAAGAGGAACGTAGCCAGTATCTTTGGAAAGTTCTGGAAGACATCATTCCGGACATTCGAGAACGTGCCACTGTGGTCCAGGTTGGAACTCCCTTGACACACGAACGATTTTTGCGACGACACGCCGGTTCCTACGGTCCCGCAATTGTGGCAGGAGAAGCTTCGTTTCCCTTTCCCAAGACGCCACTATCCGGGTTGCTATTGTGCGGTGACTCCTGCTTTCCTGGCATTGGAGTTCCCGCTGTTGCCGGATCTGGGTTGTTGGCTGCACATTCGGTATCGTTGTCATCCATTCCCAAGCAGCAAAAGTTGCTAGAAAAGCTACAGCAGCAATGACGGTCCTTTGAAGGAGGATCTACGGTAGGGCCATGATCAGCTGCTAAATATATGATAGTCATAGCTACAAGATTAGTCAATGACATAAGGATACTGATCAAATCTCTCACTTGATTCTCATATTCGTGAGGTCTCCTCACGATTTAAACATAGAAGGGGGTCTGGGGGTGGCTCGTGCAATTTACTTTGGCTCTTTTGAATAGGAGCAAAAAGTACGAAAGCTGATTCTGCAATTATGAGGTCAAGTTGAAGCGACTTCAGTGTGTTAAAGCATGCACTAGTAATTAGTAGGGATTGAGTGAAAGGAAATTCTTGTCACACTTTAAACCATCACTTTTGGGGATGGTTTGAGGAGATAAAAGTCTTAATACTCTCCATGAACAGCACTAGGTGATTTAACGACATGCTCATCAGGAGAAATGCCTAAGACATTTTATGCATGCTCTTTCAGCTCTCGAGGTCAACCAACAATTATTGTGACCAGTAACAATAGCACAATATCAACAAAATCGCAGAATGGCTTTGATCAACAGCCTCCGTCGATTGATCGCTACTGCTATTATCAAGTGTTTTATTGGCTATCCAAGGCACAGCATTGCCTTCTCTCCCTCATTGAATACCAATGGTAAAAAGGAGACAAATCTAATGCACTAAGCTTGACCAACAAGAGTACTCGTTGTGTTGAATCAGAATCGATCGATCGAGCGGCTGGTACGGAGCGAGGTAAGCCTGCTGCAATACACGGCTCTTAGCCTTATTCGCGACTCGATCCTAGATAGGGTCTGAGTTCGACTCATGACATAGTCCTTCGCGAATAGTCATGGAGACAGAATTCTCAATGACCGCTCTAGTCATACTAGGTTTGATGAAACTCGCTCTAGATATTTAGCCAGCGTGGAGTACTTCCACGCTACTAGATAAATGCTAGACGAATCTTCCACGCGTTCCGTTTTGGATCGTGGAATGAGTAGGATGCTACCGCAACTACTCTATCTCACTCTACAGTCTCCCGCGGGAGTCAGATCTACGATCTTTGATTGTGGATCTCTCTCGTTGATTAGTTTTCATAGCTTTCTAATCCTCTCATAACTTTCATTCTCTCAAACTCAAAACACTCGAAAGATCTTTACACTAGCTTTTAGCGTAGTGCATTTTTGTTAACAACACAATAGCTTTCAGCTACCCCAACCTATTCTCACCTGAAGATTGCCAAAGACGATACACCACTTCGAGTCAAGCTGCGTGACAACCAATCCTTCCTCTCATCGACCTCGATGATGAATGCGAAATCGACGATTCTCGCTCTACCCCACAAACTTCGCACTTTCAAGCAGATGCTAACAGGCCAAGTACACCTTCAAGGTCCAAATCATAATGGATCTGAGACTCCACGTCAAACCATCAGTGGGCTGGACGTATGGAGAAGGTCTTCGTCGGCTGCCATTGCTACGCCTGCGACAAAACATAACCTCCTCAGGAGATGACTTCTAGCTCTGCCAAGAGAGTTACGAATCTAGCTGTGCAGGCATCGTGAAATACGTTGGAATGCTTGGCGCCAGATTGCAGTCAAGGGATTGCTCCACGCGACTAGTGGCGTGAAGACGAAGCCACTTTCAACCGTTTCCAGGCTGCCTGGAACGGAGCAGCTCAGCTTGCTTTGGACGACGCTGACTTACGTTTGGCATAAATGCCTGTATCGAGCGGTCTGTCCCTACAAGGCACTTGAAAAGCAGAAACGCTTTCATGCGCCGCAAGATGCGTAAGCCTGCTGATATGTCTACTCGGGCTTATGTCAACAACCTCAGTCGGATGAACACCGATGAACTTCCTCGTCTACCACCTTTTGGACCCAACCAAACGTTGAACCATGACGAGTCATTGACATTGTTTGTCATGGAATTCCAGCTCGTGGATGAAGAAGATGGAAGAACAGACTTCGATCCTTCTCAGCTCCTATCGGAGAAACCATTGGATTCTGCGAACGCATGGAATCCTCCGAAGACTTTGCAAAGGGCGGTGATGCCAAGCAAGCTCTACGAAGAAGAACAAAGCAAGAAGTACAAGTCTACTCGTAACAACGACCACTCTCAAGACGAAGAAAAATGGTGCGACTACACGAGTCCAGCACTCACACACGCTGACTGCATGACTCTGAAGAAACTCAAAGGCCTAGTCCTCGTCTGACAACGATAACAAGCCAACGTACAACAAGAACAAGACTTGGAAACGCAAGTCGACGACGCCAAAACCTACACCAAGAAGGACTCTCTGTCCTCATGAAGAAGGTTTCCAACGCTGCGGCCAAGGCTGATCGCAGAAGAAAAGCGAATGCAACCATGTTGCCAAGCGCAAGTCTGAAACTCCGACAACGAGGACGATCCTCTGTTGGATCCATCAACATGATGGACAGAAGATGGCCGCTGTCGAAAGGCGCTTGCCGAATTCGACTTCAATCATTCGGATGGAGAGACTCCGTCTGAAGATTAGGCCAGGATGATGATTCACGGAACCATGTTCCGATTTCTCATACCTAAGTGATGAAGATATCTCACTAAATAGAAAACAAGATTGTTTGCAACAAGAATCTACGGCAAATAGATAATTGCCTAGTAACGCTCAACTAGACACTGACGATCTGTTCAGCATCGTTAACTTCGTCCATGGCCAATCAACTCATCAATGTCGCACGACAAGAGACCTTGAAACTATCGTCTATGTTAGATTTAACAGACGAGCAAAAGGGAAACAAAAACCCGTCACTCTGTTGCTTACTGATACAGAAGCATCCGGAACTTCAATTGCTCAAACTCATGCTAAGAGTTCACTCATGAAGAATCATGGGGGCGTCCAAACATTAGGACTTCTTAAAGAATTAGAACCCCGCACGAAGTAAGGGCACATGTCTTCCTGAGTTCCACGATGATAGAATATACAAGTGGAATTTACACGTCACAAAGACTTGGGGGCGCAAGACGATCATAGGTCAAGACACTCTCTGCGATCTAAGATTCAAGTTTGATTTCACTACCATGTCATTGGGTGGAACCAGTCATTTTTCCCGGCGAAAGAGAGCAACACCAATAGAAAGGAAAACTTCTCTTTCCGATTCTGCGACTGTCAGCGACAATGCAGAAGTCTCAAGAAGATTCTTATACAACATACGAACAAATGACTTAAGGCAGATATGCCAAGTCGAAATCCGTTAAACAAGGAGGAGCAAGAACTGCCTCATGCCTTTTAACCAAGTGCTTCGACCCAGTCGAGGATACTTTGGGAGAGTTGCGAATGGACGACTACGAAGTAGAATTCGTCCCGACGTTAAATCCTATTACACTAGGGCTCACCCTACTCACGGGTCCATACCAAACTCTAAGAAAGAGGTTGAACGTCTCTGCGAAACAGGGCACTCAAGAAGGTAAATCGTTCCAAGTGGGCGGCACCAACTTTTATCATTCCCAAGAAAGAGGGATCTGCACGATTCATCTCGGATTTTCGGGAACCGAACAAAGGATCAAGCGGAAGCCTTATCCTACCCCAAAAATACAGGACATGCTTGAACCAGATGGATTCAAATGCGCTACCAGTCTGACCTGAACACGGGACACTACCACATCGAGCTGTCACCTCACTGAAGCAACCTATACCATTGCACTCCCGAAGGGAAAGCACGAGTACCAGAGGTTGCCAATGGGCCTATGTAATAGTCCCGACATCTTCCAAAGGAATGAAAGCACCATGCATGACTTAGAAAATGTCCGTGCATACTTGATGATCAACTCATCCAAACGGACGTCGATCTCGCAGATCGCGTTGAACAGTAGATGACCTTTCCCCAAAGATTCCAAGAAGTCGGGATTGAAATCAACATACCAAGGCCTTCCTCGATAGGAAAGAACTGAGTATTAGACAATTGGACTTCTCGAGAGGGAAGCCAACTCTTAACTAAAAGGATAACAAATGCGATCCAGCTATCGCTCTTCCTCCCAACGAAGGTAACTTCGTAGATTCATTGGACCAATGAACTACCAAGGGCTGCTCCAAGACAGCAGACGGAGTAACCATCGTTGAACAGACGTGGGTTACCCATTATCCATGACCGGTCTGTCATGGCAGAGAACGTGAGTCCCGCAGAGTGAGAAGACTCTCCGGGATGAACATGAACTTCGTCGCAAGTTCGCGCGCGTCAATCGTGACAACCTTCACCACATCCGTTTCAAAGCAACCGGAAATACATTAAGGAACGTCGCCAACGACTTATCCAGACAAACACCGATAAGTAACACGGCACGTGTCCCTCATCAACACCACGTCAACGAACTATGATTTTTCATCAGTGTCAGAACCGTTAATACGGTCAGCAACGCACAAGGTCCTTACACACAGACGAGTCAATAACAATGGCACTGTACGGCTCCGACATACTACCGCATAGCGCACAGTCTACCGAACTTGGAACATAAGGTATTTACACCCATACAAGGCCTGATCCCCTTGCAGGATTGCCATCGTGCGACGCACATGTCTACATCCAAATCTCCGGAGAGTGCCGCACTTTAATTCATATGTTCTCCTTGTCGCTGATGTCGTGCCTTCCGTGACCCTTGTCAGGGGGCGAATGCAATACACGGCTTCTAGCCTTATTCGCGACTCGATCCTAGATAGGGTCTGAGTTCGACTCATGACATAGTCCTTCGCGAATAGTCATTGGAGCAGAATTCTCAATGACCGCTCTAGTCATACTAGGTTGATGATGAAACATCGCTCTAGATATTTTAGCCAGCGTGGAGTCTTCCACGCTACTAGATAAATGCTAGACGAATCTTCACGCGTTCCGTTTTTGGATCGTGGAATGAGTAGGATTGCTACCGCAACCTACTCTATCTCACTCTACAGTCTCCGCGGGAGTTCAGATCTACGATCCTTTGAATTGTGGATCTCCTCGTTGATTAGTTTTTCATAGCTTTCTAATCCTCTATAACTTTCATTCTCTCAAACTCAAACACTCGAAAGATCTTTACACTAGCTTTAGCGTAGTGCACTGCCTACATGTATTATAAAGGGTATTATTGAAGGTGTATCTATGTTTTGTAACGTACACCTAGCAACTGATAGAACGATAGAGCTTTAAGCTGGGAGCTGCTAAACTGGGACAAAAGCTCCAAAAAATCCAAAATCACAATGGTAGGGGTTGCCCACTGGCTGAGCCACAGCGGTAGTGATTGCTCATGGATTCGATTCCAATTGTGTCAATAGTTTTCCACACACACCAAAGTCTCTTTTGCAACACTGAATCTCCCTCATTGAATTCCTATGGGAAACAGGAGAAAAATACTCGCTGTGACGACAAGAGTAGTAGGTACCAGTAAATGAAATCCCAAATTTGTTGTAAATCCCAGCCAAAAGCTCGAAGCTGGGCCAAAAGCTCGAAGCTGGGTGCTGCCAAGCTGGGTCAAAAGCTCCAAACTGGGCCAAAAGCCCCAAGCTGGGAGCTGCCAACAAGCTGGGCGAGAAGCTTCACGCTGGGAGCTGCCAAACTGGGCCAAAAGCTCCAAGCTGGGCAAGTAGTAGCAGTAGTTGTGGTAGCAGTCGCAGTAGTAGTGGTAGTACCAAGTAGCAGTCACAGCACTAGCTAGCTAGTGGTACCAATGCGGTGGCATGGTTCCTTGCCTAGCTGCTTGTCGCAAATTCATTATGGTAGTGGTTGCCAAGCTGGTTGAATTGATCAGCAGTTGATTTGCTAGTACGATATCGCTCGTACGATATCGCTCGAACACCGTGAGGGCTTGTTGTTGTTGTTATCCATATTGTTTTCTGCAAGGTTCCGCATTGCTACTATATTGCTAGTACTTCGGTGGTCGCTCAGATGAACAGCACTGTTTTTGGTCATCGCGCTGTCATGGCCGATATCCAGTTGCTTGTTGTTGCTGTTGCTAATTGATTGCTGGCCGCTCAACGCTGCTGGTGAATGGTGCTTTTGCTGGACGCGAGGACAGGTGTCGTGTAAGAGACATTCCAGGTCAGTTGGAGTGTATTTGGCTTTCACCTCCAAAATTCCCAATGTATCGAATTGGTCCACATACACTACCGTCTCTTTTCCCACGACTTGGTTCAAAATACCATTGGTACGCTTCCCAGCCTGGTTGTCATGAGCACGGAGCATGACATGCGGAACTTCATTCCTTGGTGCTGTCTCATTCCCACTGCTTTGTTCAAAACACCATTGGTACGATTCCCAGCCTGGTTGTCATGAGCACGGAGCATGACAGGCGGTACTTCATTCCTTGGTGCTTTTTCATGCTGGGAATTTTGACGGTGCCGACGCTTTAGGAGATGGTGTTGGTGTTGATGCTTCTGACGGACCTTCTTGTTCTTCGTGGATGCCATTATTTCTGGTCTCGGCTCGTAATAAATTCACTGGGAATGGTATTGGAATAGCTGGCTGGTATTGTGAACTGATTCGATTCTATTTTATGCTCGAGCTTGTCCACCACCAATGACAATGACAACAGACAACAACAACGCCAGCTTTCTATGGGCGGGAAACTCGAGCCAGCTGAAGCATTGCCAGTAAAGCACTCCTGATGGCCATCAAGCACTCGTGATGGGAGCATTGCCAGTAAAGCACTCGTGATGGGAGCATTGCAGCAGCTATTGCAGCACTCGTGATGGGAGCATTGCCAGTACCGGTACTCGGAAAGCACTCGCGATGGCCGGCGGTGCGTGAAAAGATCCAGCGTCTGGCCTCAGGCCGAACCTTCCTGCCCTAAATTGTATCATAGTGATGTCGCATAGCATGAAAGGCTCTCGCTTGACGAATGGCTTTCATTTGATCCCGATGTGCCACATACTCACCCCACGCAGCGATCGCAAAGTTCAGATAGAAAACCCCCCCATAGAGAGATTACATGGTTACCTTCAAATCAAGAGCATTTCATGTCAGTAACATAACTCACATACATGCTGCTCTAGCCACGGTACTAGGAGCAGCCCGTATTGAGCTTTCAGCCAACAAACTCACCAACAATCTTCCGTATCCTTTTTCTGGGTTCTTGACACATACATAGGGTCTGCCCGTGAACCAGCCTCCTGAGCAGTCTTCATTGTCCATTCCGGACCAGAATGCAAAAAGAGGTGCCCAAAGGAAGATATCCGTCAAGGCTGTGGTCCACAGCATTGTGGAGAGTGTGAGATAGACCAAGGAGGACGTATTGGATGGCGTGGAAGCGGGCACTTTGCATATTGTGGCGGTAAACATCAGACATATTTCCCATAGGATACGAGGAACTTTGAACTTTTTAATCAAAGGAGAAAAATAGAACGAGTTAGCAGACAAACTTGTTCGATCCGTCCCCGTTTTCTCTTCTTTTCTCACCTGCCACATGATTGCTTCGTCGGGTCGAAGGACATTGATGAGCAGATTTGTAGCTGATACAAGAACAACTCCATTCAGAAAACCAGGAGTTTTTCCATGGTAGAGTTCCAGTGGATGTTCTTCCAAAATTTCGAGAGAATGACGAGCATGATGGTCCCTATCATGGGGATACAAACGAGTGCTGGGGGCTCTATTGGGTGAAAACTGAGGTCGGTTGGAGGAGGCTGATGTCTGATGTCTACCGGTACACGAAACTAACACCAAAATATACAAGAACAGCCTTGTGGTGCGAGGCAGGGGAGAACTGGTCATGTTAGCCTTCCTGCTTGCCATCTCTCAATAAAACCGTCTTAGGCTCTTCTTCTCTTGGGAAAAGTGGTGCCATCGCGTCCAACTCGGCATCGTTCTTTTGCTTTCACTTTGCGCTTTGCGCTCGTCGGGAAACGACTCGATTCAATCGTGCTTTGAGTCCCCCGGAGACCTCTCTTTCCTCGCTGTGGACCTGCACCGTGGACGAAGCTCAAGGGCAATTTGGTCCGCGTTGCTTCGTGTGCATTCATTTGTAACTTCATGTTCCCTGTGGCCGAGAAGACAACTCTTTTGGACCAAGACTTTCGGATTTTCAATGGCAATAATATTGATCCGGATCATTGGAGAATGGCGCTTCGAAGATCCCGATGGATGATTTTGGTGCCACAACTCACCACTTAAATTTCACTGTGCTGTACTCCTGATCTCTTGGTTGTGCTCGATGGAGTCATTGCTTGCTTGTTAACATGTAGTGTATTGCTTTATTAGTTAGTTATTATGAGTTATGAAATATGAACGGGATTCCATCGGCCCTTTAGTGCGTTCTACATGTACAAGAAAACCTGCTATACAACCTGTAAAAGGCTTGATTGAGACATGCAAATCGCCTTGACCAGGTTACAACAGAAGAAGGAAGGCGGGGATAAGGAGAACAGCTCCAAAAGATGGCATGATTTGACTCGACAGTGCCGAAGAGGATGCACCGTCGGAATCTGCATCAATTTCGCGCTCACCGCCCTCTGGTTCCGGTTGTTCGTCCACCGGTGCTGTCGTTGTATTTGTGTCCGTCACGGTGGTGTTTGCGTCCGTGGCATTCATGGTGCCAGCAATATCTTCGCTATCCACATCTTCAGTTTCGTCTTCAGTCTCGTCTTCGTCTTCCCCGTCAGTCTCCGTTGTTGCTTCACCAGAACCATTGACGTATGTGCCTTGCTCTTCTTCTTCTCCTCCTGTGGCTTCACCGTCAGTTGCTACTCCTTGTTCTTCTTCCTCTTCCGTGGGAACCTGCTGTACCTCGACAGGCATCGTGTCGATTGGTGCTTCCACAACAACGTCCACTGGTTCGTCAGTTGGGGAGCCGGTCGGGGAACCTGTCTCCATGGTCTCAGGGGGGTCGGTTTCGGGGGCGTCTGTCACCATTGGCGCATCTTCGGGTGGAATCAATACCCGGTTTACTACGTGAATGACCCCATTGCTGGCAAGAATGTCCATATCAAATATGTCAGCACCATTGACAAAATATGTGTCATCGCCCTCCTTGTTTAGCGTCAACATGGAACCTTGCGCTGTCTCCACCATGTCTCCATCATTGATTTCATCAGAGAGCAGAATGCCCGGAACAATGTGATATTCCAAGATGGCTCGGAGCTGTGGCAGACCTTCGGGAGTGGTCAGTGATGCAACCAAATCCTGGTCCAGCGTGTTGATAGCATTGTTGGTGGGGGCAAATATTGTGAACGGTCCGGATTCCCTAAGAGCTTCGTCCAAACCAGCAGCCACGATCAGACCCAGCAATTCTTCAAAGAATGGACTAGCCACAACAATATCGACAATGTCAAAGACTGCGGATGGTGGTAGCAAGACTGCATCAATGCCATGGGCAACACCATTGGAGACTACGATATCAGGGTCAACAATATTCGAGATGTTGTTGATGGTGATATCTGGTTCCACCGAGGTAATGTTGAAGTTCTCGCCCAAAGTGGTAAGCACCGTCATATCCAGTGTCATATTCTCAGTGAGAAGTTCTCCTGGAACAATATGATACAAGAGAATATCATAAAGATGAGCATACCACTCAGGCTCGAGGTACTTCCCTGCACCAGGCAGTGCCTCAAAGGCATCATTGTCAGGTGCCATCAAGGTCAGCGGATTGGGGCGTGTTAGTTGAGCCGGAAGATCAGTCATGTTCAACAGTGAATAAAAAGTAGAGTAGTTTTCATCCAAGAATACCCATGTTTCCAAGTCAACATCTTCAACACCACCACCGGTTGACTCGTCAACGGTGGAAACATTGGAATCGTCAGGAGCGTCAGTTGTTACGGGTGCAACGGGGACAGCAGGTGCCAGCACACTGAAAGTTTGCAAGGAAAAAGCATAAGGATAAGATGTGCTTGATCCTCTGTAACCTCTTTAAAATGCATTCACCCATGGACCTACCTGTCGATGATATGTATCACACCATTGCGAGCCAAAATATCACCCTGAAGCAGATTTGCGACCCCATTAATCACAATAGTGTCACCATCAGCCTCTGTGACTGTAATGTTGGATCCTTCCAAGGTCACAGCGGTATCATCCATTTCTACACCACTAGAGTAGGCAATACCAGGAACAACATGGTACAGCAGAATGCTTTCCAGTGCGTCAGCCCCCTCCTCGGACATCAAAAACTCTAGTGTTGTTTGATCCAAAGCTGCAAATGCCTGGGACACGAAAGAAGATGTTATATGTGAGTGACATGCTACCATCATGATTCAATAGTGATGGATGTGGCATACAAAAACACCGTAACTCACTTGGTTTGTGGGAGCAAAGACAGTAAAGATGCCCTCATCATCCGCCAGCGTCTCTGTTAGATTGGCAAGATCCAATAAATCCACCAAGGTTGAGAAGGTCTCAGGGACACCTGCTGCAATATCCACCACTGAGGTCTCTGTGAAGGCTGGAAAGAGCACCTGATCAATAACATGTATGACACCGTTGCTGGCTGTGATGTTGGGAGTAATCACGGGAGCATCATTGATGATTAGGGGATCTACCGCGGTAACGTTAATGGCTTCGTCATCATACAGAGAGTTGATCTCTTCGCCTTGTGCTAGATTATCGCTAAGGAAGCTTCCTGCTGCAACATGGTAGAGCAAGACGGATTGTAAATGAAGAATCCATTGTGGCTCCAACAAAAAATCTACGCCTGCGTCCTCAAAGGCTTGATCTGTGGGTGCAAACTGGGCGATGAAGGAAACGACAATATGTGAGCGGCATGATGATGGCATTTCGATGGCTACCATGACACGCAATTTCCATTACTCACCAGGGTCAGGGGCCCATCCGCTCCGAGGGCCTCCACTAGACCAGCCGACTGGACCGCGGAAACCAAGGTCTGCAAGTCCTCGTTCTCGGAGGCAATGTCTAGAATACTGGGGTCCGGCACCTGTCTTGGTGTCACAATCGACCCGTACTTGGAGTCTTCTGCTCCTTTTACCGAAGACAGGCATGGCAGCAGCAGCAATGACAGGAACTGTCTCATTGTTCTGTATTGTAGTAGTAGTGGTTCGAAAGGCAAGTAAGAAATAATATTTTGAAGGTATTTAGCTCTGTTATCTCGCTGAATGCCCTACAAGACTTCACAGAAAGCACTAGCCACAATTGGTGAGCTCCCGAACCTGAGCGTCGCCGTACGAGCTGGAGCACATCATCTCCGAGTGGGTTTACAAGAATGCCAGGCGGCGAAATTTTTGCTGAAACGGAGGGGAGCTTCCGAACAAAGTTTGCATCCGTTCGTGACCTGGGGTCCCAGTTGTGATATTGTTTATGGTTAGAGTTCCACTGGAAAAGCTTCCGTTGAAGAGCACCCAGCTGTTGATCTGGGGGTAATAACCTATCCCCAGATTGGGTCCACTACAGCCAGTGCTCATTAATTTAATTAGTTCAAACCTTTACCATCTTTATCAACAGAACTAATTAATTATTCCTTTGGCAATGGCGATGTTAGCCATGCCATCGTAAGGTCTTAGCTCCGGTCGGTAGGGATTGATAAGGCAACAAGGCACTCGCCATGCTGAGGCAATTGAGCCGATTGGGTCCAAGCTGGGACCGCCACCAACTCACGGAGGAGTTGGGGGTGATTCCTCACTCCGGTCCTTCTCCTGCGCCATCTCCAAGGGTGAAAGCCACCATCGGCAACTTCCAAGGGTGGATGCAGCAGAAGAAGACCCTACAAACGAGCACACCTCCAACGTCGCCCCACAACACAATCAGATCAGTCCAGAGTTATGAATGCCTGACAACCAAGGGTGCTTCTCGAGCGAAGCCAGATCTACAAGCGGATGCCTGCAGGGGGTACAAGAGTAACAGTTGATAGCTGGATAAAGCGCTGATACAACAACCAAAACGATATAAAGCAACAACACCATGTTCAAACGATCCTCTCGAAACGAACGATCGACGACGAAAAGCAGGAAAACCTGCAAGCTGAAAATTAACGCACACTGTAGCAGTAGTGCAAGGGTGTGTTGATCTGGGGGTAATAACCTATCCCCAGATTGGGTCCACTACAGCCAGTGCTCATTAATTTAATTAGTTCAAACCTTTACCATCTTTATCAACACCAGCTACTCTCGCGGAAACCACCGGACGTCTGTAGAGCTCAGTACATTTCTACATGAGTCGTGGGAAGACCACCGGAAATCTGGGGGCTTGGAATAAAAAAATAAAAATGAGGCTTGGGAATAAACAATTATGGATAACAATAAGGAAAATAGCGTTTTCTGGTGGTTTTGGATTTCCGGTTGTTTCCGCGAGAGTAGCCAGGCCGAATGCCGTGGAAGTTCTGTTCCCACGCATCATTGGTGCTGGTTATCCGATTGTGACATTGTGACCATCCATCTTAGTCTTGGACTTGTTGTGGTTGTTACAGTGTTACCCTCTCACCTTCTCTGTACATTCAGAGAGCCAGCCCTTTGCTGACACTTGTCAATTCCAATTCCCGAGACGATTATCCTACTCGACTAGTAGCAAGGAAGAGTCCATAGAAACAATAAAGCGAGAGTTGAAGAGAGACGCTGCTACCAAATCCCTTATTCAATAATCCCCCGTCACTTCAGTCTACTTACTACTCAGCTCAGCGCTATTTTCCAAGATGGCGTTCAATAAGATGTTTGTGATGCTTCCTGTCATGTTTGCAGCTCGAAAGCTGGACGGTGAAGACCCAATGGTGGTCAACTACCTTCGAATTGCCTATGGCGTCATGCAAGGTCTCTGCGTTCTGGTGGTCCTCTACACATACCTCAAGGCCACGGCAGCGGCAGCACAATACACAAATCATATTGTCTACGTCCCTCCTGCTCCAACGGTACGTGTGTCGAATGAATCAAGGAAGAAACTGGTGGTTGTCTTGTCGTTTTTTGTTTGGGCCAGCGTAGGCTCTTTTTGTCATGAACTGCACTGGTCCTCGTTTTTTGTCGCGGTGTTGTGTGACGATTATTCCTTTATTGCTTGGCGGAATCGAATCTCTTCCTTCTGGGGGAAAATTGCTTCGCCGCGAATACTAACATGTCGCTGTATTATTACTCCATCGGTTGCTACTCCTTTGCTCGGTGCCACTTTATCGGTCACAACTGGAAACTACACCCTACTACCATCAACAATCCGCATTTCTACTACAATGCAACCAACCAACAACAGCCATTCCAAGATCCCAATGCCACCAAAAAGAAATACACAGAGACCAACTATGGCGCTCATGTATTGAGTGCAGCACGGTCCTTGCTGGGGAGTACATTGTTCGGAGTGTGCATGACTGTCGGGTTACACATTTACAAGGGAATGGTAGTTGGTCTCGCCATTCAAACCGTAATGGGACCTCTCAATTTGGCCGAAAATCCATTGATCAAAGCACTCCTTCTAGGAACTGGCAAAATCGACCCTGCGGACAAGTTATTCGACGAAAAGTCGGCTTCCGAACTCACACCAGATGACGAAGTTGTCGATGAAAGTGGAAATCCATTGGTGCGAAACAACATTTCTGCTTTGAGCAACAGTGCCACTGGAAAAAAGACTGCTGCTGCCAAGAAGGATAGCGGGAAAGAAGGAGAAACCGCATCCACCATGATGACTCTGGAGGAAGTCATGTTGGACACCTGGGATTCTGGTGACTCGGCTGATATTTCCAATCTCATGAGTGCCCTCACAGAACAAAATTGCAACACACAAAGCAGCGATGACAAATGGACACCCCTCATGGTTTTGGCTGGATTGGGAGCCGTCAAAGGGACCGCCAGTGCCATTCGCCAGGCTATTCAATTGGGAGCCAACCCAGCCATGACTGACAAGGAAGGATGGAGTGCCCTGCATTGGGCTGCATTCCATGGGAGTCCAGAAGCTGCGAGAGAGCTGGTCAAGGACATTTCCTTGTTGGATGCTACAGACAAGGAAGGCTTGACACCACTAGAAATAGCCAAGAAAGAAAACAACAATGTTGTGGTCAAGGTCCTGGAAGAGGCCGAAGCTGCAGCCGAAAAATCAGAAGATGCGGATGGGCTGAGAAAGCGCAAATAAATGAGGAAAATGGTACATGCAGGTTGCATTACATTTTTTTCAGGATTGTGTCCAAGTAGGCAACAAGGTACATAAAAAGTTGACTGTAGAGAGCATTCTTTGTAAAAGTTCTTGGCAAAAGTGGCGATGGCAGGAAACAATCAACAAAACGTAGTGATAGTAAAGGTTCCACGTTCTGGGAAGATACCCTACCGGTACGACAAATACGTTTCTCCCTTCCTTCCTCTCTTCCGATTTTCCCTTTGTTTATTGCTACCAAATCTATTTCTCAGTGAAATCCCGACACAGTAGTTCGACCCGTCACCCGTTGCAACAAAGAACATGAATGAGCTGAGTCCTCGGTCCGTAGAACTGGGCATGCCTACCCATCATTTTTCGATTGAACACCGAGAAATCCATGAAGTGATGTTGGTCGCTTCCTTCCAGAAACTGAAGGGCGCCCTTGATTAAAATCATCAAATGACGAGATGATTGATTCAACGATAGCGTAGAATCCCATAAGCTAGCAGGTTCTCGGAACCTGTTTATACCGGTAGACAACGAAAGTTTCGATGGGCGAAGCGCACGATCCGAGATTCCTTTGACGCACGAATGAGACTGTCCAGAAGATCCAGAAGCCGCAGGAACAAGGAAGCGGAAAGACAAGCTCCATTTGTCGTTGTGTGGTTGTTGTTACTATCTTTTGTATCATAGCACTTGCCCAGGCCGCCTAGTAGATCCTTGTGGAGCAAGAAGCTGCCTACAACAGTTGCTCACTCTTCACCTTAAACTCAGACTCTCTCGTCCTCGGCGAGAGTCACAATTGCTGTTGTACCAGCTTGTTTCTTCGGGACGAACAGGACAACAACAGAGAACCATGGTATCCACGGTCGGCCTCAAGAAGATCCAAGCAGCCAGCGGATTGGTGATGGGCCTCTATGTAGCTCTGCATCTCTTCAACCACTATAAGCTAAATGCAAGCTACGAGCAAGCAGACGCAATGATGATGAGCCTGCGCAAGTTTTATCGACATCCAATCTACGAAATTTCGTTTGTAGCGGCTCTTCTGACTCACTTCTACACGAACTGCGTGCTTTACACCAAGCGAAGCAAGGTCGAAGCTGCGGCTCAAAGCAAGAGCGATGGAAACAAGAAGTCTGTCGCTGGTTCTTTGGAGCTCAAGGCCCATCGCATTGCTGGATACACCTTGTCCGTGTTGGTATTGGTCCACGCTGGCGCAACTCGCATCACGCCACTGCTCTATTTCGACGACCCCAATGTGTTCGATTATTCCTTTGGAGCACTGGTCATACCTCTGGTACCGTTCAACCTATTTTCTGTCTACTATATGATCCTTGGGATTGCCGGTGGTTGGCACTTGCTCTATGGTACACGTGCTGCCATAGCGACGCTATCAGGCACATCGGTGGTTGGGACCGAGTTTCCTATGCTTCTCAAGTCTGTTGCCATGATGAATCATATTCTCATAGTTGGGGCCGTGGCCGCAATGGGAAAATATGCAGTGCAACACGATTGGTCAGATAAGAAGGAGATGCATGACAGATTTCTTGAAGTAATGGGCATGTAAGAAGGGTTCGAGTGAATGATTTACTGTGCTTGTTGGTACGGCCATGTACGGTACCGGTATTGGTGAGATGGCATCACATTTTAAAGGCTGCTAGAGAGGAGAAAAGGTGCGAGATTCTTCCCAACTTGTCGTCTTCCGCAACATGCCGAGATCTCAGTCTCCGGCACGATGCCTCTACTACTAGTAGCTAGTTAGGTGAACTCATTGATGTAGATCATGGTCATTTCCATTTCAACCAAAAGTTGGCATTTTCTCACAGTCAATCCCACGCTACAATAAGCTAAAGATACCAGGGCAACACTGTATGCATTCAGACAAGCAAATTGGCGTTGCCTCCAAAATAATTGGACATGATGTGAGGAAGTAAGAACCGGTGACCGGTACAGGAGCAACTTGAAGGACAAACTAAGCCGAACGAGCAAGGTCCTTGGCCAGGCATGGCCGGGATGAATCTTGCACAAGGAAATAGCTAGCCGCCTCTGGAGATAGTACCAGTACCGGTACCGTACCGGTGCCATATCTCAGAATGTATGCATGGCTGCAATCGCCCAAAACATGCATTCTCGTCAACTTACAGAAGAGGAGGTTCTCCCAGAGGACCTACTGGAACGCGTCTGCTTTCTTGCGACGTGGAATTGCAATACCGAATATCGCCTAATTGAACCAAGCACATCAAGAGTGTGTTGTGGTACTTCTACAGCCCAAACCGAAAAAGGTAGCTAGTACATACATTTTTGGCCAATGTGCCAGTATCTATGAAATGCATGCAAGATCTGTTCCGGTCAAGATTTGTGGCCACGCGACCAAGCCGACCATTGGCTGCGTGAACCCCATTTTTTAGCCCTTATGCCAACGGCGAATTGGCAGCGGGTTAAGCCTGGACTAACGGCTCGACGGGCGTCTCTATTTTCTGCGATTGCTGCCATAATTATTGCTTCATAACAGCCAACCACAGCAACGCACCTTGATGGGGGGAGTATTAGTATTGCAATAACAACGACACCGCAATCACAGTCTATTAGCTACAGTGATCACCGAGTCCTCGCTGAATTTGACACTTGTTAGCGCGACTATCCACCAAACTACTGAGTAGAGCGACTAGTTACCATCGAGCAGAGCTTGCAAACTTGCAAACGTGACGGTGCAAAAAGAGGACGAACCTCCAACCGCGTCTGTGCCAGTGGCGGAGCGAAACCGGAGCTCACAAATCCTGACAAGACAGTGGCGACAGGCCTCCCGCTGTTATCGAGAATTGAATTGAATCGTATCAATCTGCCTCCACCAAGCACAGCAAACAAACAATCCACCTATTATCTTCCTTTCACACAACCAGACAGCCACGACAATGACTTCCCAAGAAGAGAAAAAGATGGAGCGCATGGGCAGTAACGTGAGCAGCGCCGTGGGTGGTTCCATGTCACTGGAACAGATTGCCGAATTGGAAGTGGAAATGGGTGAGATATCGCAAAAGGCAGCCGACAGATTCGATCGAGAAACCAGACTCCCCAAACTGCGCTTTGAGATTATCACCCACGCTAAACCACTGGGGTATTTGGGGGCCGGTGGCTTTTGTCGCGTCTATCGCGTCAGACTCGACAACAAAAAGGTGGTGGCACGCAAGGGACTCAAGGATAGCATCAAAACACAACGACACGTATTCAAACAGGGAGCTGTTGACATGGTCACGGAAGCCAAGTTACTCAATGCGCTGTCGCATCCGAATATTCTCGGATTGGAAGGAGTGTCCACGGATAATTGGAAAGACAGTTACCTCAATGGACAGTCCTTTTATCTTTACCTCGATCGCTTGTCGGGGGATGTCAGAGAACGATTTGAACATTGGGAAGATACCAAAGAAAACAGCTCCATCAGCAGTCATCTCGTTAAGAGACTGGAAACCATTGCTATTCCCATTGCCAAGGCGGTGGCGTATCTCCATGAAAGACATATCATTTTTAGAGATCTCAAGGTATGTATGCATTCAAAACTCCTATTCTCCCTTCGCTCCCCAGCAGAAAGGCACTAATTTCTTATTTGTTTCTACTACTGCTGTATGTAGCCGGCCAACATGGGCATTGACATGCATAATGTTGTCAAACTATGCGACTTTGGATTTGCACGGGAAATCATTGACCCAGAAAAGAAACTGACGGGATACGTGGGCAGTAAGTTTTGTTGAGCCAGTCCTTGCAACCTGAACAAATCATTCTCGCCACTCACCGCCTCACTTTGCTATACCGTTGTCGCATAGCCCCGTTGTACATGAGCCCCGAAGTGGCACTCTCTGAACGCTACGGATTCCCGGCAGACGTGTACTCCTACGCCATGTTCCTTTTCGAATGCATCTCCTTGACCAAACCATGTATCGAAATGATTCGAGCCGATGATCCCAAACATTTCGAGCAAAAGGTTGTCCACGAAAACTATCGACCTCCGTTGACGCAGACCAAACTCTTTACCGAGAAGCTACAAGCTGTCTTGTCAAAGTCATGGGACAGGAACCCGTCCGTACGACCCACCATGGAAGAGGCAGCGATACAACTCGAAGAAGCCACAGCCGAAATTGCCGCCGTTATAAAGGAAAGGTCGTGGTTCCCATCCTGGACCCTGTCGACAACCAATACCGGTGATAATACTTGGGCGACTTCGACGTATCTAAAATTTGGTGCATCGCCCAAAGCCCACAATAATGAGAATCACAAAAATATCAAGCCGACGAAACAACAACAGCCACCAGCACCGCCACAACAAAGACAACCACAGCAACAACAAAATGGGACCATTAGCAAACCAAAGAGACGAATCAATGTTAGTACGTTCCGATTCTAAGTCCTACTCGACTCTTTGGTCGATGTTGGCGGTGGAGGAGGCCTGGCTGGCCAAACCCTTGGAACGCCTTGTTGGCACAAAATGAATCCTATGTTGTTTCCAAAACAACACCTTGCCAACCCCGTGAGTGCTTGTTTGAATCGCCCAGAGCAGCATGTGCATAATTGCCTGCAGCAACCACAACTTGCATTGAACGCAGCAATGGCTAAAGGACCACACAGGCCTCCGCCCCTCTTCGTCAAGGATTGGTGTGGCCCTGTTGGGCCGCTTTTTGTGTCTCTTGCCAATCTCACTTCTATCCTTGGTTGCTACGCCTTCCTGCTGACAAACCCTCTCGGTTTGTAACCTCAGGCTACTTGCTCCTCTCGAGAGTTTGCCTACCAGGAGGGACAAGGGCTGTTTTGGTGGGAAGCTTCTGCCTGCTAGTATTCGTTTTCGTGTCGATTTGGCTAGTACTCCATGCGCAGCTACCTGCCCCCTTGAGGAAAAGCCTACGTGCAAATCGATTCGATTGAGTTTGAGATTGAGATTGCAAACCGGGAAGATGTTGGTCCAACAAAATTCCTGGTCTGTTTCAAGGAATGGAAGATCTTCTCGCCCCGAAACAGATTCCCGCGTTGCCCTGTACCACCGGTAGAGTAGAGAACGCACCGAATCGAATCTAGTTTCAGATTTACATACTGTTCTCTTGTTACTGCTTCGGGTAGATCTAGTTCTAGCCACGAAATGTCCTGGTGCCTTTGCTATAATAGCAGCACAGCTTTGTCTGACTCATCACTCCGGGAAGCACCATCTATCTGTTGTGCCAAAAATGACCTACTAGCTAGAGTAGTAGAAACCGCATGGGCAACGAATGATGAATCGAATCGAAAAGAAAAACAAATACTAAATCGATACGTCAAGGAGCGGGGGGGGTACCTTTACCGTACGACTGTAGCATCAAATCAGTAGAACCTCAACCTTCCAGTTGAGACGGCAGCACCAAGCCAGCAAGGGTCTTCCCCAACTTTTTGGGTTGACGGGGTGACGAGTGCCGAACTCTGTTCGCCCGAGACGTCAGCCCGGAACAAAACTTGATTGAAAACAATCGAATCATTCGAGTCGAGTCGAGTCGATTCATCAATCGCAATAATATCGCTGTCATCCAAAGATCCATTCTCAAAAATGGCAGTTTGCAAAGAAAGAAACATGTCCATGACGGCTGTGGACGGCTGCCTCCTATCATCCTTGGCACCAGAAATTGTCTTGTTTTCTGTGGTATCTTACTTAGACGGAAAGGGTTTGGGATCCTTGTGCGAGGCGCTGTTGGCGTCGAAGAATCAACACGCGTTTGCAGCAACTTTAATACGCCATGCCATGGAACAACGGCAAGAAGCGGCAATGGATTGTGCGCATGCGGTTGGCTTTGTACACGAGTTCATGCAACCCAGATTCGAAGCATGTAGCAGCAGTATCACATGTGCTTCCACGATGCGTCATGTTTCAGAATGGTGTCTCTTGTGGGACTATCTTTGTGTTGTCTTACGGCAACGACCCCGTGGCACTGCCTCGGTGTCAAGGTTGTTCTGTCAAGAAACAGATCGAATGGGACCTTTGCTGTGGCCTGTCGGAGTGGGCGTGTTTGCCGTGAACACGGGTCGTCAGCCCCTGCAAACCAAAGTAATTGTCCACAGTCCAAGATGGGATCCCGTGGCCATGGAAATCTGTTCTGATATCTTCAGGAAGAACAATAAACCGCAGTACTTTGCTTGGCTTCCATCGGAAGGTGATCTCGATGGGTTCCTTCCGGATGAGAATATTGGTTTTATCGCGCCCTTTGATGACAACAATCAACGAACCTTCTGCGCGACACAAGCGCTAACTCGCAATGATGACTTTTTGCCAGCCATGGGAAGGGCGGCTTCATCAAGTCTCACCATTTTGCCCGCGCTGGATTGTCCCATTTACGGACCATTGCTGCAACACATGCTGACATCTTCGGCCACAATGCAATTTCTCGGCAATGGCAGTAGCAGTGCGAATAGAGACAGCAACAGTATTCCTATGATGATGGGCTTTTTTACTTCGGATCTCAAAACCAGAACTGCCGTCGACCGGGGAGACGTCCCTTTGATGGACCGAATAAAACGTTTGATGGAAGCCCTCGATCATGAAAGATGACAGAGTGCATTCATAGCAGTTGCGAGGTTGCTTGGCACTATGGCACTGTAGTCAGTTGGTGTCCATAGCACGATAAGCAAGCAATAGCGAGCTGGCAAGTTGCACCACAGATTCATAGTCCACACGGCAGCTAAAAAACCTATCTGTCATAGTAACAGTTGTGTTACATATATGATGTTACAACTGGCTCCGTGCCGTCTGAAATCTCTTACCAAGTCCATTACCGGTAGCTCGACTTGTCATGATAGTGAAAAGCAAGTCTAGCTAGCTAGGTCCTGTTGTAGTCGGACCATCTGCCAACGAAGCGCCGAGGGAACCAGGTTTATGCCACAGCAACTACCGCCTTGTCTCCCACTTCCTTTTGATCCTCTTCCCCGTCGGATGCTTCAACCCCGAACAGAGCCAACATAGATACAGAGTGATTCAGAATCTGGCTTTCCAGAGCAATCAAAGCTTCTCCCTTCTTGCTGGTTGTTGGAGGCAAATTTTGTGCGAATTCCTGCTGTTTCTCCAAAGTCTCTATTGCGCCAGATTGGTTGTTGTTGTTCTCGCTCTCGGACAAGTTGAATCGAGCATTGTCCAAAGATGAAGCCATCGAGTTGCAAAAGCGCTGTGGCGCCAGAGGACCTACCATGGGTACTGGTATTGGTTGAGCTGTTAAACGCCTCTTTCGTTTTGCCTTGTTCTTCTTCCGCCGCGAAGAAGCACTTTTCGGCGATAGCTCCAACACTGACAAGGACTTGTGAAGCTTCTTGGTTTCTTTCTCATCATCGCCGTCAGCCGCAGGGCCTTCCATGCTGGACAACGAATTCTCCATGGTAATGGTCGAAGCTGACAGCGCATTGCTATCATTGGCAAAGGACGCATCTGGTGTTGTTGCCTTGCCTTCTGTTTTAGTCTTTTGATCCTGTTCCATGTCTGACGCTTCGACCCCAAAAAGATCAAGAATTGATATGGAGTTGTTGAAAATCTGGCTTTCCAGAGCTATCAAAGCGTCAGTAGTGCAACTTGACAACTCAGCAATTGGTTCTTCCTTCTTGGTGGTTGTTGTGTGCTCCTTGGGATCCTCTTCTGCTATCTCCTGTGATTGCCCCAATGGTTCTGATGCCTCGGATTTCTTTTCCAGAGAGATGGTGGCGTTCACGAGAGACATCCATGGTGCCACTGGTTCATCCCGATCATCTCCCGATGACTTGGATCTCTTTAGCGACTTTTTCTTTTTCCGATTGGGCCTAGTTTGGTTTGACTGTGAGTTATCCTGTGCCTTTATTGCTTCCCCATTAGTAGGGATGTTGCCGTCAAGTGTCTTGCTACGCTGCAGTTTGATGGCGGCTCCTCGTCTTGGCGTGCGTCCTCCTGTACGCATTGTTGAAACATTTTGTGGCCGGTTTGTGGCTGTTTCTGACTCTGAGCCGTTGGCGGACTGTGAGTGGTTGCTATTTTTCTCCAACGAAGTTCTAGTTGGTGGTGGATGAAGCCTCGTTCGGGTGACAGATCCGTCGATGGACCTATGGCGTTGGACTCGTTTGGAGCGGGAAATCCGTTCGTTCTTCTTCGTTGTTGTTCGAGATGTTCCATCGCCCCGGACACCGTCTGACGACTCTGCCGCTCCTACGAACTCGGCCAGGCGCATTTGGCTTAATGAATGTTGCAGTCCCTTTCTCATCGAGGAGAGCTTTTCTCGTGAGACCGCCACATCAACGTCCGGCTTTGATAACGAGGATTGTTGTTGTGTCGCGTCTAGCCCTTTCCTTCGCCGGTCCAACGATAATGGCATTGTCTTGGTTCGCCGTAACTTCGGTGGCGAATAGTCTTGTTTCGCCTCCTCCTCCTGACTGTTTTTGAGCCTCAGATCCTCCCAGTCAAAACAAGGCTCCTTTTGTCCCTCCATTTCCGAGAACGACGACCGCCGTCTGGGGCGCTGACCCAGGTCTGTCAATAATTCGGTATCCGTGATGATGCCTTCGTCCTGCATGGATTTTGATGAAAGTTTCTCATGGCCTCGGCTTCCATCGCTGCCTTCAGAGAGGGTTGAAGAGGAACTCGTCTCATCAAATGTCTGGCTATCTGGCCGGTTGCGTCTTGACTTTTCCTTCTTTCTCGCACGCGATCGACCGGTACTTTTTCGAGATGGGGTTTGGAAGCTGTTGTCTCCATCCCCCAAGTCGTTTTGCAAAGCAGATGGTCTCCTAGCAGAAGGAGACCATGACGTGTGTCCTCGGAAGAAATGGCCGTTGTAATCTTCGCTGTCATCAAGATCATTGTCATCATCGTCACGGTCATCACGCAAGATGAAAGAGCTTCTCTTGTGAGACCACGAAGAGTGTAGTTGTTGCAGTTGCCTATTGCCATTCTTGTGTAAAACATCATCATCATCATCGTCGGAGAGCACGGATCTCCTATGAGACCAAGAATGGTGCCCATTGCGGAACAAGTCACTGTACTTGTTTTTAATCGCGTTTGGTTCCTCTTCGTCCGAGAGAGAGGATCGTTTGAGCGAAGTTCGTGTTTGTCGGCGTCGCCGCACATGATAATTGTCGCTTTTGTCCAGGTCATCGACCGTGAGCGAGTTTCGCCTGAGGGATTTTCGTTGTTGACGGCGTCGTCTAACATGGAAATTGTCGCTCTGGTCTAGATCATTCATGGAGGCTCGCTGGCTGTGTCGTTGGCGTCGTCGTCGAACATGGAAATTGTCGCTCTGGTCTAGATCATCCGTGGTGCGAGAGGCTCGCCCGCTGTGTCGTTGGCGTCGTCGTCGAACATGATAATTGTCACTTTGGTCGAGAACATCATCGTCGAGCGAGAATGAGAATGCTCCTTTGTGCGACCACGAAGCATGCCCAAAGCGTCGTCGATGCGGGTCATCATCATCTGAGTGGTAGGCTCTCCTTTGGGACAACGATGAGCGTTGTGGTCTTCTGCGAACACGAGATTTTTCGCTGCAATCCAAGTCATCGTCCTCCTCTCCGTTGTCCATAGAATTGCGCCGAAGTTTACGATGCTTCCTCCACTGATCGACGGATGTGGTGGTTCTAGTACGTCGAAACGGTGTCCGATCCACGGAATTCATAGTTCTGGTACGTCGTAACGGTGCTCTGGTGTCGTCTGATTTCCGGTGTGTCTTGGAAGGCGAATCACCTGCGTCATCGTTGCCTTGTTCTTTCTTCTTATCCATCATACTCAAGATCCTTCTTCGATCCAAGTCCGACAAGGATGATCGTCTGATGGCACGAGGAGATATTGATTCCTCATCCTTGTCGTATTTATTCTCCTCCTCCAATTGTTGCTCTTGCGCTTGTTCCCCTTCATTATTAGCGTGCCCCCCCGCTCTCAAGGCCAATTCGAGTTCCCGTTCCCGTTGTGCCTCTTCTTTTTTGTGTTGTTGTTCTGCTTGCAATTGTTGCAAGGTAACAATGCAATGCGCAAGTAGCTTGACGGACCGTGCCTTGCCTACGGAGACGGAATAATCCCCCAATTCCTTGGAACTCCCTTCCACGTCCCACAATTCGCTGGGTGTTTGTTCGGTATTGCTGGACGTGTCCATGGCCACGGCGGTGGCATTCTGTTGGACAAATCGTGCCGCTGCCACAGTGACTTGTTCCGGTACGGTAAAAGACACCTTGAGAACGACAGTTTCTCGTACGTAACCATGTTGACAGAGAGTGCGCAATTCGGTTGGTATCCGTAGTGGCAAATATCCAAACATGGCTCCGGAAAATTCAATTTTTTCCAAGTCGGGACAATTGTGGATGCGTTGTAAAAAGGAAATGGCCGTGGCAACGGTGGATCCTCGTTGGAGTTCCAAAATGGCTTGGAATTGGAGTGGAATTTTGAGTTGTCGGACGTCGTCTTCGACGAGACGCCACAGTTGTTGTTTGAGTTCCAGATAGCGTTCATATCTGGCAAACTCGTAGAGGTGATCGACAAATCGAACGTACTCCCAGGGACGCTTGTCGGCAATCATCAAGTCTCGGACTTCCAAAAAGAGGGTTTGGTCGTGTCGTTCAATGAGATCTTCCAATTCCAATTTGGTAATGCAGGTGGTTTGTCGAGCGTATGCCATGCGGGAGAGTGTAAATTCCGTACTGACAATGACATCACTGCAGAAAATGTTGAGTTCGTTCTTGTTTTGATGCCTGCCGTTGGTTTGTGTATTGTTGTGGCTGTTATTGTTCGAGTGACAATCGCTGGAATTATTGTGAATGCCACTGGCGGATTGATTGCCCAGATGCGAGGGGCGTGTCCACATGGATCGAAAGACACCACCAATTCGACCCGTCGCTGTGGCACTTCGTTTCAGTTTGGGCAAGCGTCGCCCTAAGCGTCCTCGACGGACGGAACGTTGACTGGATTGCTGCTGCATCAAATTGCGGCGACTGGGGGCACGTCGGCTTCCACTGCTATTGGTACTATCCACGGAATGATGAGAGCGCATAGATCCACTCACGGCATCCCCGGACCTGAGTAAACACGCAGAACATAAACGAGGTTGAGCGAGCTCACGGCAAAAGAGGATCTTTATTTCCATCAGACCGACAGTCAAAACTCACCTGGATCGGACTGGGGACCGACGCAGCACCATCTTCTTGGATTCGATTGCCTCTTCCTGATACCGGTATCCCCCACTTCTTTACAAGCTCTATTGATATGAATGCATCAGCTATACTTTCACTGGCTGACAAGACATCAATGTTGCATGTCCACGAGCTTGCTCTGCATTGATGTCGAAGAAGAATCCGAATGAGATCGAGGAAAGTCCTTCTGCTCTGAGCTCCGAGCTGCTCCGTTTGGTCATTTTACACCTTTTGCACATCAACACGAGACCTTCTCTTATGTTTCAACGACAAGCGTAATCACAGTTGTTTAAATCTCAAGTTACCACAGATGACATAAAGAAGCACCTAGATCACTGTGGTAGATGTTGCAATGTTGCAATGCTGAAACGCTGAAACTGAAGGCAACATGTACCAGGTACCAGGTGGTACCGGTATGTATGTAGCATGTACGATGTAGCTTTTACCGCACCCGCAGCTCGCACCGCCAGGTCATGCTGAGATAGCCCCGAGCAGTTGCCAGGTCATGCTGAGATATTATTATGCATACTGTAGTCCGAAGAGCATTGTAGCGGCACTGTACGGTACAAGAGGATCGGAGAGGTTTTGCTTCCTGGTACCGCTAGCTAGTAGCCGGTAGCGCTACCGACAGTATTTTTTGTCATTGCTCATTACTTGGTTCACACTGGGAAGATGAATAGGGCAGTTACCAGCAATCAGTACGGCTGATGCAATCCATAAACCGGATGAGGCGAGCTAGCTAGCTAGTTTGGGATGTTTGGCCGTTTGGCTGGCCACTACCTCGTGCTTCCAGGACCGCAGCTTTTCACTTCTCTTCTTGATAGCTGGGTAAACCTCTGCAACACCACCTCACCTACTAGAATGAACTGCAAGCTATGCATAGTGAGATCTTGTTCCACACTAGACACATCGTACTTCGGATCCCATCTTTTTATTTTCCCTCCCCTTCAAAACTTCCCCACCGACTCTGGCTGGTTGAAGATTCATTCTGGGTCAACCCAAAGCAGGATCTTGATTGGGTGTCTGTGTGGGAGAGCTCACAACTCACAATAGCTGTTGCTACATACATGTAGATCTACATGTACCGTCCTGGTAGTTCCAGCAATCCGAGGACGAGTGACAGTTCTAAAAGGTTCTGAGGAAGATTGTTTAGGTCAGCAGAGCTGTTATCCACCAACATGCGACCACAGGCGCGCACTCACTCAACAACGAAAGCCTGGCAAGCAGTAAGCAGCAACCCTCCAACCGACAACCAAAAAGGACACCGGAGGTGTAATAGATATACCGGGCGAGCTGAATTAAAAGATGGGCAGGCATAGTAATATTGTTGAAGTTTGGCTCAAGGTAGTGTCATTCGATTTTTTCGTCTGAGAAAGTGGCGTGGTAGCTTACGGGAGTTTAGAGGTGTGCAACATGAGACGTTAGATTTTTTCGTCTGAGAAAGGCGTGTAGCTTACGGGAGTTAGAGTGTGCAACATGAGACGTTGATTTTTCCGTCTGAGAAAGTGGCTGGTAGCTTAGGGATTTAGAGGTGTGTGAGATGATTTTCCATCTGAGAAAGTGGCGTGGTAGCTACGGGAGTTTAGAGGTGTGCAACGTGAGGAAAATATTCAGGATCCGTTGCTATGATTTTTAAAAGAGAATGTGTAAGAAATTTGGGGGCCCAAGAGGGGGCTAACGTTTTTAAAAACTCTAACCCTAAGGATAAACAACCAACCAAACCAACCAAACACCACCACCACAATAAAGGACACCGGAGGTGTAATAGATATACCGGGCAGCTGACTTAAAAGATGGGCCGGCATAGTAATATTTGAAGTTTGGCTGAAGGTAGTGTCATTAGATATTTCCGTCTGAGAAAGTGGCGTGGTAGCTACGGGAGCTTAGAGGTGTGCAGCGTGAGACGTTAGATTTTTCCGTCTGAGAAAGAGGCGTGGTAGCTTACGGGAGTTTAGAGATGTGCAACGTGAGACGTCAGATTTTCCCGTCTGAGAAAGAATCGTTGTGGCTTACGGGAGTTTAGACGTTAGATTTTTCCATCTGAGAAAGTGGCTTGGTAGCTTACGGGAGTTTAGAGGTGTGCAAATGTCAGGAAAATATTCAGGATCCGTTGCTATAAGAGATTGTGTAAGAAATGTGGGGGCCCAAGAGGGGGCTTCGTTTTTAGTTAAACTCTAACCCTAAGGATAACCAACCAACCAAAACCAACCACCACCACAATAAACAGGTTCAGAGATCACCGGGGTCTGCCCGGTATATAAAAGGGGTCAGAGATCACGGGGGTCTGCCCAGTATACTAACAGAGCCACCAGTGGCCAGCACTCATCGAGATGACGCCCCGTTGTCTGTTGCTTTTGTTGGCATCCACAAGCAATGGCAGCAATAGAAATGTGATCCTGTGGAACTCTGGCGAATGACCGTTTGCCCAAAGAGCATGGATCGCTCTGTTGGAACAGGAAGTCCCCTTGGATCATCGGATTATTGACCTCTCGTCTAAACCAGATGAATTTCTGGACAAGTACGCCCTGGCGGGTGGCTACGGGAGTGCCAAGGTGCCTCTTCTTGAATATGGAGAAGACACTTTGGTAATCGAAAGTGAAGACGTTGCGAAGTACATTTGTCAAAACCTTGGGACCAACGACCGAATGTATCCTCTAAAAGGAGTCGAACGAGATCTCGTCGACGCGTTTCTCGAGGAGTTCGATTCTGTGATGGATAGCTACTATAGTCTTCTCATGGCTACTTCGGACCGTCAAGTGGAAACGGCAGAGACACAATTTCGTCAGGCGCTTTGTGAATTGGAACCATGTCTCCGTGATGATGCTGGCCCATTTTGTTTGGGCCAACAGTTTTCCGTAGCCGAGTGCATCACAGCACCCTGGGTTCATCGTTTTGGGCTGACGATTCCATACTTTCGTGGTATTTCCGTGACAAAAAAAATTGGTCTCCCCAAAAAGGTACTGGAGTGGATGAAAGCTGTCATCGAACGCCCCTCGGTACAAGCGAGCAATGGACCGGAATCGTACGTGCTCAGGTCAACCCAGAACTACTACGTGAGCTACATTACACCCGGTGCGCCTGGGAACAGTCGGTGAAGCACTACGCACCAGAAATAAAAGAGTGCAGTCCAAAAAGGGTTCTGTGCGCCGTTTTTCTTCTTGAAATGACACCAATTTTCACCACCCTGGCCACAGCAGTATATACAAATGCTGAGGGTTGGAACGTGCAAGTCAATTGGTTGATGCAAAGAGGACACGCAACAAGCAGAAGAAGCAAACGTGGTCTCTATCTACGATGGCACCGCAATGTGTGTCAAGCAAAGGAATGTCTAAACAGTACCGGTACCTTATGTAGCAATCACATATTTCTTTTCTGCTTCGTTCTGAAGCCTAGCCTCGAATTCAAGACCTCCACTTCTCCAGCCATTTTGAGAGGAAGCAGCCTGAAGAAGGACTCTCCAACAGCCCGAGACATTTACTAGAACTGCATTGGCTAGTCAGTAGACCAAATGATGAGGGTTATGAAAAGATAGTTTTTTATCCTGAACATCATTCAGTAGCGGAATAATCCACTGCAGGGCTACTGTGGTGATGCTTGTCCCAACGGTAGTCTGGTTTCACTTTGGCGGCGGTTCTACCAATGTCTCTCATATGGTGCTGTCGACTGATGGGTGTGTGATCGGCATGATTGTGTGCCCAATCATAATCTGGCTTTGGAAGATGACAGAATTGAACCCTGTGATGACTCTGTTTGGGACTGTGTTGCTGATGTGATTGCTTGGGAGATTGTTGGAGTTGTCTTTGCTGAGGTCTATGTCTTTGCTGCGGTTGCTGGGGAGATCTTGATCTCTTGAGGTTTTGTCTACGGTGTCCCAATGAAGATTGAGAGTGCTGGAAGGCGCCTTGGATGTCATCATCATGCAATTTCAAATCCCTCCACCACAAACTGTCATCCGTTTCCTCCGTCAGGGGCGAGTTATCCTCCACTTGTCTGCTTTGCTGTTTGCTCTTTCCCGTTTTGTGCTTGAGCAAGGGACCTTCACGATATGGGTTGCCAGCAGCCTCTCTCTTGAGACTTTGCAGTTTCCTGGAACACGCCTTCAACAGCATTTTGACATTGCTTGCAGCTGCTGTTTCTGTTGCAGCACATGACAGGGAGAGTATGATCATTTGTTCCAGGCACAAGTCATCACTGTGACACAAATCTGCCAACCTGGTGGGTACATTGGCCTTTCAAACCCCATAGAGACCTCCTCCAAAATCAATGCCTGTCAATATTGGGAGCTTCTGTAGTTCCATGAATACTTCTAGGACTACATTCATGGAAGTTCCCGAGGCCACTTCCAGATTGATCTGGAACAGGATGGGCTTACCCTTAGCAGGTTGCTGAATGGCATTCCACATGGTCATTTGCTGGTGGCAATAAGTCTGCAACTGCGTGACCACAGTTCCTTGTCTATCTTGAAGCAGTACAGAATCAATAAATCTGATGTATTTCCACTGGCGTTGCTGAGCTAGCAATGCGCAAATGGCACCATGAATGGCAGCAGACTGACCGTCCTGCCGTGTGACGACATCTTCCAGTTCCAGTTTAGTCAAGCATGGATTGGATTGGGCCTGTTGGATGGTTTTCAGTGTGTATTCCGTGCTGACTACATCACTGCCCATGATATTCAGTTCTGATGGCCGTCGTTCTGCATGGGGCACCTTGTGGCGATGAAGTTGCCCTAAGCCAAGGAATGGGAAGTGATTGGTTCCTCCTGGATTGGAGGAGTTCCTCGTTGACAATTGTATCATCGGGGGGCGGGGGGTATAGTTGAATAAATTTTGCTGCTGGCTAGTTTTCGGAGTGAATCTTGGTTTTTGCTTTCCAGGCAAAATATGAGGGGAGGTCGAGACAGCTGTGACATGGAATTGGACCGCGAGGGGAGCACCATGGTTCCAATTCGGGTTTTCTTGTCGTTCGCCGCTGGTTCTCTCTGTGCAACCTTGAGATGGAGGTAGATGCGGTAAAACCAATTTTGATTGATATGTTTAGTTAACTACAACCCAAATATTTATTTACCTTAACTACCTTTGTCTAAAGCAATCTTCCTGCTAGTCGAGTAAGTGCATGTCGAGTAACGACCAACAGTGTCGGCACAGGCTCTGGCCAAGTTGCATGCTCAATTGAACTAGTCTAACCCAAGCGAGCAGAACGGTAAACCTAGAGCCAGTTGATTGGGGTGATGCCCCTCTAGCGGCAGGGTCTCTAGGTAAGTAATAAGGGTGAAAACACAGGCTGGTTTACTTTTGCCAGACAGGTAATAGCTAGCAAGCTGGCCAATCAAATTCAGGAGTGCACATCGCCTACCGTACAGTAGCTAGTGACGTGTAGTCTAGCTAGGCTGGCAAGTTTTGCAAGAAGGTGCGTTCTCTACTCTACCACTGCTCTCCAACATTGGTTCCTTTCTTTTTCCTACCTCGGTTCCCTCGTTGGGCTGCTGGTGTGAATCGCGTTGGCTCGAACGGCCTCAAGTCAATACTTTGTGCTTCGCCATCCAAGACCAGCTCTGACATGACCTTTCCACAGGCAGGTGCCCATGCAATTCCCCAACAGTTGTGACCAGCGTTGATGTACGCACCCTCAAAGCCTGGAATTTCACCCATGTAAGGTTTGGCGTCGCTGAAGTGGAGAGAGCAAGAAAAGAGTGTGTGTATCAGGATGAAGCAACTTGACAAGTAAGTACGATGTGCAAAGGAACAGACTGATCCAATGCAATTCAATGCAACCCAATCCGACAAACAAACTAAACTCACGGTGGACATGGCCTCATACAAGCTTGCACTCGATCCAATTCTCCTTGTGTTCGGTAAATTGATGACATTTGCTCAAAGGAATTCTTGGCAGCTTGTACTCGGGCCTCTTTGGCATTACAATCCTCCAAGAATGCAAGATTTTTGAGGTCTTCTGTGGATATGTAATCACTTCCTCCGATACCGCAAATGTAAATCTCGCCGTCGGGACGGGGGTAGACCTCGACTGCATACAAAAATCAAGAAAGACACACACAAAAATACGCAAGAACAGCAAAAGTCAGAAACAACCAAACAGCCGGTTGTTGTGTGCAAAATTTCTGCCAAAACTGTAGGCAACAAAATGACATTCTGTGAACGTACGATGGGTACCAAATCGATCGTCTTCTCCACAAAAGAGAGCCGTGGCATCCACCGATTCTCCTTCTGGCTTTTTCCAGACAATGGAGGTGCTCTTGACACCCTCCATGGGCAGCTTGACGGCTCCTTGAAACCAATCTTCGGCGGCACAGGACCAAGGTCCCGCCGACACAACCACGGCATCCGCTGCCAAGAGTTGTTCGTCGTTATTATTGTTGTCACTATTGTCGCGTGGTGTGTATTTGACGCCAACAATTTTGCGGTTCCCTCGTTCGGATCCTTGATCGGTTTCCACGCCCGTGCAGGTTCCCAACACCACATGAATATTGTCGGGGTGTGCTTCTAACATTTTCTGAACAAATTCGGAGGGCGTAATTTGCGCTGTATCATCTCCCAATCCCAAGGGCGATATTCGACCGTATTC